GTAATGATGATGTCATTGTTTGTCAAATGCAGCTATACAAAGATTCTGCTTCACTCAGACGGTCAAGGACGGATTCCTTTGAAATAGTCAGTAACCACCAAACTTCGAGTGTTACGTAATCGTTTGTGTCTACCATGACGATGTTTCCTGTACCTATAGTATATGATTCACCCGTGAAAAATGGCAATTTTAGCTTCGTTTCCCTCCCTCCACATCTCCTCAGTATCAATCGGATGATGGTTACCAGACAAGCAGCTGCTACTTACATCACCCAGTTTCTGACCGGCTTCAACATCGTCATGGCACCAGTAAACAGATATTCACATTTAACCCCTTTCCCACTGCAAATTAACCTTTTCCTCTCTACAATGTTTACCCTCTAAAGCATGTTTTACCCTCATATATAGCTACTTGAGCCTGATGGCTAAAATCATTTAACCCTTCTCTAACTTGGGGAAGTAAAAATCATTTAACCCTTCTCTCACTAGGGGAAGTAAAAATCATTTAACCCTTCTCTCACTTGGGGAAGTAAAAATCATTTAACCCTTCTCTCACTTGGGGAAGTAAAAACATTAACCCTTCTCTCGCTGCAGGAGGAGAAAGGGGCGGAAAAGTACGTGAAGGTGGAGAGCTTTACGTGGGATGTGTTCATACGAGTGGTCGACCATCTTCTCAACAACAGAACTAGTGACCTGGACCTTATCATCCCTTCAGTGTAAGGCCTACACATGCACTGTTGGAAGACATGTGGCATTGGGCATGTTTTAATGTGGCAGTTTTTATATGCACATCTGTAGTTATGTACAGTGTACAATGTCGAGGTTTTAAATTCATCAGTAGCTAAAGGGCTACCTTTTTCTGGACAAGCTGCCTTACGTTTTAGTGCATGTAAAGCATCCAGCATTGCAAATGCAAGACGGGCGCTGGTTTTTCGTTTCCATGATCTGATTGGTCAGTTCACGAGCTCCATCGAATCGCGGGAAATTATGGCACCAATCAGATTCATGCGGGTGTCGACATATGTATGTACCTTTCAATCAATACAGTGTGTAATATCGGTGCACTCTCCATTTGCAGGAGCACGAAAAAGGTGTCGTTGATTCAGAAAGTGAAGATCGATCTGGGAGACTTCCAGCGATTTCTCAACAACGTAAGTAGGCACAGTTTCACTTTCAGTTACTACCATTTCTCAACAACGTAAGTAGGCACTGTTTCACTTTCAGTTACTACCATTTCATGTGTGGTCTTTGCAGCTGCGTTAAAATATTTGTCTCTATTTTTTACCCTGTTCTGCGTTGTTCGAAGTTTTTTCCCACTATGGTAATAATACTTTACTTTGCTCTGCACGAGTTAACCAATTTTTTGTCTCTATTTTCTGCGCTCAAACTTTTTGTGTTGTGCACAAAATTTTTCTCTCTATGTGCAATGGTATGAGATCTGCAGCCCATGGGAAAGATAAGGCCTTCCTTAAGGAAATGCAGGAAACATCCAACGCACAATTTGTTTTATTAATCCTTTCGCCACTGGGCCATCGAGCATGATTTAGTTAGTCACAGAGTGTGACAAGTACAACGTAATATCGCATAATATCTTAGTCGGAAAACTTAGATGTTTATGAGGCCAAGTACTAAGTATGGAAAAACATTCAAAAATTTTTAACATCTTGTGAAATTTTATGATTTGACTTAGTTTCAATGTCTGAAAAATGAAGAAAGTCAACTATACCAGGTTGTAATACATATGTCTGGGCTCTACAAAATTTTGCTTCATTATCCAGAAGAAAAAATATTGAAAAAAAGAAAGAAAAAATTGTAATATTTGCCATGTTGTTGTTGATAATTGCAGGAACAACGGGACCCGAGACTGAATGAAATTCTTCATCCCCCAGTGTCTAAAGGACAGGCCCGAGAACTGATGGAGAGATTAGAGGGCGGGAAAGGTGAGAGAGGGGAGGAGGGGGAGGGGGGAGGAAAGAGAGAAAGAGGAGGGGGGAGGGGGGAGAAATGGATGAAGTGTAACATACGTACGCAGTTCCCAGGCTGGTTCCAAGAAGGCATCGCGCGAAATAGAGTCGAGATAAGGATAGGAGATACGTACATCACTAAGTACAGTTGTAAGGGATGATTAGGGTGTATGTGCCTAGCATAGGTGTATCGGGCCATGATCTTAAACAAGTTACACCGCGTATTGTTGGCCCCTCACAGTTCTGACAGCGCGAGGTCTTCTTGACTACCTGATGAGTGAAGAGAACAACGTGCTGGATCTGGCCTCGTTGGACCAGTACATGGACATGAATAAGCCACTCAATCACTACTTTGTCAACTCTTCGCACAACACCTACCTCAATGGTTGGTTGTAGTGTACTGTAATGTACATAGTCTTGTTGAACCCCTCTCTAAGAACACCCGCTGAAATATTGTCACCTCTCCACCTTTCTTTTCCACCAAGAACTTAATGTGTGCATGTACCTCGTTACCAAAGTTGTTGAGACATGTGAAGTACAGTGGAACACATCTCTAAGGACACCCCTGAAATGTGGACACCTCTCTAATAAGGACACCTTTTCTTTCCCCAAGAGCAGTTCTTGCGTGCAAAGTTAACCCATGAAATAAGTACGCCTCACTAGTAATGGACACAAACACAGAGTGCTCTGCCTTGCTCTGTATGAGTGATTCAGCCCAGCCAGCTGAGCTGCCTCAGTTGGTAGAGCCCTCTCTAGACGACTCTCCTAGAACACCAGAGTGCGTAGCTCTAGCCTGCTGCTGCCTGTATGAGTGATTCAGCCCAGCCAGCTGAGCTGCCTCAGTTGGTAGAGCCCTCTCTAGAACGCATTTCTCTTTAAGTGACTCAGCCCAGCCAACCAGCTGCTGGGTCATACGTGGAAATTCACCAACCAACAGTTGTGTACAGCTAAGTTTGGACTAGTTGTGTACAGCTAAGTTGGGACTAGTTTTCATATGCCAAATAGTCTCCCATCATAACTGTATCACAGCACATCGGCTTGCAGTACACAAATATATATATACACCCTCAGGTCATGAATGTAATACACCTGCCACTAGATTACACAACTCACCTAAGGACAAAATAACTACAATTCTAAATGCTACTGGTGCATTCCTCTTCCTCCCTCTCTGTTTTTCTCTTTTCTTGTTCTCTTTCTCCCTTTTTATCCCTCCCTCCTCCCCTCCCATTGCCTTTCTCTCTCTCTCTTTACCTTTCTCTTCTTCTCTCCCTCCCCCTCTCCCTCCTTTTCCCCTACCACTGTCCACTCTCTCTCCCTTTATTGCTTCATTAACTCTACCTCTCCTCCCTTCCTCCCTCCCTCCCTCTTACTCTCTCTCTACTCCTTCATCAACTCTATGTACACCTCTCCTCCCTCTTCTCTCTCTCTCTTCCTCCTCTCTCTCTCTACTCCTTCATTAACTCTACCTCTCCTCCCTCCCTCCCTCCCTCTCTCTTTCTCTCTCTCTCTCTACTCCTTCATTAACTCTACCTCTCCTCCCTCCCTCTCTCTCTCTCTCTTTCTCTCTCTCTCTCTACTCCTTCATCAACTCTATGTACACCTCTCCTCTCTCTTTCTCTCTCTCTTTCTCTCTCTCTCTACTCCTTCATTAACTCTACCTCTCTCTCCCCCTCCCCTCCCTCCCTCCCTCCCTCCCCCCTCTCCCTCTCTCTTCCTCTCTCTCTCTCTACTCCTTCATCAACTCTATGTACACCTCTCCTCCCTCTCTCTCTCTCCCCCTCAGGCCATCAGCTACGATCCCAGAGTCTCAGCGAGATGTACATACAGACGCTCCTCAAGGGTTGTCGATGTCTCGAGCTGGACTGCTGGCCAACTGGCGGAGGTGATTCCGAAGACATCACCATCACACACGGAGGAACTCTCTGCACTAAAGTACCCTTCAAGGTGGGTGCTTCTGAATAGAGTATTGGGAACCCCTCTCTAAGGACACCCTGAAATGAGGACACCTCTCTAAAGACACCCTGAAATGAGGACACCTCTCTAAAGACACCCTGAAATGAGGACACCTCTCTAATAAAGACGCCGTTGCTTTCCCCAAGAATTTATATTAACCTCTGAAATTTAGACACCTCACTAATATGGACACTTTCTTCTGTCCCATGTATGTATTGGTGTCCCGATTTGAGTAATGCTCGGAAAAAAAGTAAAGTTGCTTAAAAATTCCATGAAATTAAACATGATATCCATAGTGAATAAAAAGTAATTTGACTCAATTATGTGCAAAGCCACATTATCCATAGCAATTAGTGATGAATGCAGGAAAAGAGTTAATTACTCCTTTGTCCTAATCTACCACATTAGTAGTGAAATTCCAACTCAAATTTCATTTTCAATTTCAACCTGCAGGAGTGTGTCGAAGCGATCAATGAGTTTGCGTTTGTAAGGAGTGAGTATCCCGTGATATTGTCCATTGAGAACCACTGCAAGTCCAGAGCCACTCTCATTCAGAAGATGGCCAACATCTTTACCAACACATTTGGGGATAAGCTGATGAAAGAGCCGTTTGACGACATGCCGGTAAAGTGGAACGACAGATTAACACTTAACCAGCCGCTGACACATTAAGTGCAATGGATTGAACCAAGTGTTCTTAATAGAACGGTTGCCGAGTAACACAGTATTGTATGTACATTGAGCTGCCTAACCTTCCTTCTCCAATTGATGCACACTGTTAATATGCGCACGAGTTGCATGGTGAAACCGTACCGCGAACGCTTAGTAAAATCGATGCGATTTAGTAGACATTATTTCACGTGTCAGTGCAACAATTACCTTCTTCCCCATATTATCTTCCCGTGTGCGTCCGTAGCTGGAGCCTGGGGTACCACTACCCTCCATTGAAAGGCTGAAGGGGAAAATCTTCCTCAAAGACAAAGTCAAGAGAAAGAAAGACAGTATGTTCCGCATTACGTAATGATTACATCATTCTTAACATGTTGTTTACGTAATACTTTCCAAGTATTTAGCAAGCCATAGTGATTTTTACATTACGTAATAATGGCCTCATGGATGATGTAATCGCGACCTCGTAGTGATTATGTAATGATTACCTCATCAGTTGCTGAGGGAGGAGGGACTCTCCCTCGAAACACCCACGGAATGACGGCTGCAGCAGAATCTGTGGACCAAACAGCGAATGGTGTGTACTGTCTCTCTCAACTTTTAATGGACTACATTTTTCTGGGGTGCAGGTTGTCTATGTTTTACGGTTACATAAGTAAGTTATTCCACACCCCAACTATAGTCAAAGTACCGGGGATGGTTAGTCTATCTTTTCTTGTACCACGTGCCTGGATAGAAATGCAAAATGGTTGACACCCCCCAGGGGTTAAGGAGTGAGGGGACAACGAAATAGAGGTGAGATAGGAATAGTAATAAATAGCTCCACCTCCTCCAGCTATAGTCAAAGTACCGGGGATGGTTAGTTTATCTTTTCTTGTACCACGTGCCTGGATAGAAATGCAAAATGGTTGACACCCCCCAGGGGTTAAGGAGTGAGGGGACAACGAAATAGAGGTGAGATAGGAATAGTAATAAATAGCTCCACCTCCTCCAGCTATAGTCAAAGTATTACGGATGCCACTGACTTCTTGAGTTCATTTCGAATTTTCGAAAAGTGATTTCGAATTTTCAAATTGTGATTGTTACAGGAGATAGTAGTAAGACGGAGGAGCCGGGAGGGGGAGGGGGAGGGGCTGAGGGAGGCAAAGAAGGAACACCCGCTGCTGTCGATAAACCAGGGGGAGAGGAAGAGAAGAAGGAGGAGGGGGGAGAGAAGGAGGGAGGTGAGGGAGGGAAGAAGGAAGAAGGGAAGGTCGAGGCCGATGGAGATACTTTTTGCGAAGAAGATAAGAAGAGACAACTGCGGAAAGGATCCATCGAGCCTTCTGAAGCAGTGAGTAGACAACTGCGGAAAGGATCCATCGAGCCTTCTGAAGCAGTGAGTTTTAACCTTTCGGATGCTCAGCCTATATTTGAATTGGAGTAGCAACAAAGTCAACTAACTGGAATAGATGTTGAGGTCTAGAAATCAAGTATATACACGAGCTTGCATATTTTAGAGCAGTGTGACAAATTTTTGCATTATTTAGTGGATATTTTCCTCAGCACTAGCATCAGCATAGTTGAATATTAGTCATTGTTTGTTGTTTGCTTGTTTATGTGTTTGTTTGTTTACAGTACAAGGACAGGAGGAAGTTATCGGAGCTGGACATCGGGACCACGCCCACCTGTGTCGCGTCTCCCGGCAACACTCTCAGGAGAGGGGAAACTATGACGGGCGAGGGCGACATGGTAAAACTGAAACTGCACATATGTATTTGTTGTATACCAAATCTCAATGTAATGGTGTATAAGGACTAAATTTAGCTAAAAACGGAAATGCATTCTTCTTTCGGCCGTAATTCTTGCACTGGGCCTGAGTATCGATCTTTACTAACATCAACATCTAAATTCAGCCCTTATGTATATACATGCGATACTGACACATCCCCATTAAACCTCAGTAAGTCGACTTCTTTTTGAAACTCTTTGGACACCATGGGTATCTCCTTAAATAAGCAGAAATACATATTAACGCCTAGCATTGTATGGACTTAGGAGGCTCTGGGAATATGTGTATACGTATATATGCCCATGGCTGGCTATTAGGGTTAAGTGACTACTGCTTGTTGACATGAAAATGTTCTCTCTCTCTCTCTCTCTCTCTCGCTCTCCAACTAGCCTGCATTCCCATTAAACCTCAGTAAGTCGACGTCTATTTAAGTGACTACTGCTTGTTGACATGAAAATGTTCTCTCTCTCTCTCTCTCGTTCTCCAACTAGCCTGTGCGTAATTCTTGCACTGGGCCTTAGTATCGATCTTTACTAACATTTCTAAATTCAGCCCTTATGTATACTGACGCATCCCCATTAAACCTCAATAAGTCGACGTCTATTTAAGTGACTGCTTGTTGACATGAAAATGTTCTCTCTCTCTCTCTCTCTCTCGTTCTCCAACTAGCCTGTGCGGTGGCACTGAGACTGAGGCAATGGTCAGTGGTCCGCTGAAGGAGCTACTCAACTACACGACTGGGATCACCTTCGAGGGATTCGCTGCCGCTGAGAGTGAGCCCCTCTCTCCTCTCCTTTCAAAAACTAACTCTTTTCCAACATCTGCAAACGCATTTACACAAGAAAATATATTCCATACCACCCACTTCTCAAGGCCAGGCACAGTAGGTGTGCCTGCAGATGTGTTTCTATGCAATTTGCGATAATGGTTTGGTTGTGTGCCAAAAAACGGGAAAGACAGTGGGATTGGGGTTGTTTTGACTTTCTCTTTTGCTTTTTTTGTTTTTTGTGAGTGCTAATATTATGTTCCTTTCCTCCCCAACCCCTTCAAGAACTAAACTGTAGTTTCTACATGAGTTCGTTTGTGGAGGACAAAGGTCAGAACTTCATCAAAACCCAGGCCAGGGATTTCGTGAAGTACACGCAGCGACAAAACAGCAGAATCTACCCAAATGGCAGCAGAATTAACTCCAGTAACTATATGCCTCAGGTACATATACTATAGCTCACGTGGTGCCGCGAAGATAGAAATGAATTCTATCCTCGTGTCGCGGGAGTGTGAACCCAAACTTATCTGCCAAACTGTCTTCATAATATACAGATTTTCTGGAACGTAGGATGTCAAATGGTGGCACTCAACTATCAGACTTCAGGTTAGTCACGTACTGAGTGAGAGTGTATCAGACTTCAGGTGAGTGAGAGTGTACTGTGCCATAGCAAAAGAAAGAGCTGTCCTGGGTGTAGTTGACTTGTTTGCCTTGCCTTGCCTTTCTACCTCGTTACCAAGTTGTTGAGACATGTATGAATCCCACCCAGGGCAGCTCTTCTTCTTTTCTTTGAAAAGAAAGAGCTGTCCTGGGTGTAGTTGACTTGTTTGCCTTGCCTTGCCTTGCCTTTCTACCTCGCTACCAAGTTGTTGACTCATGGACAGATCGAGTGCTCTCAGTTCCAAGGAGGCTCGGCTCTGCTCTATGCCGTGTAACTACAACTCTTCGTGACAACAATCAAAAATGAAACTATGTTTGCAAACGAGTGTGTTAGCCAACAGACAACATTTACGAAACAGAATTTGCTAACGCGTTTGCAGAATTCATTCCGGAAACTTTTGTCCAACGTTAAAAGCTTCTTCATCACTCATCACATGAGTATATTATTGCAAGCTACGGCACCGAAAAAAAATATCGTTCTCTCATGCAATCCTCAGATTTGCCAGTGCAACTGAATCAAGCAAAATATGAATTCAACGGAGGAACCGGGTTCATCCAAAAGCCGTGGGTCATGATGAGAGAGGGGGGCGGGGCCGGGATTTTTAACCCCTTCACTCAGAGTAAACTGGAGGACGTGGTCCCAGCAAGACTCTCTATAAAGGTACGTATGTCACTCAAGCTTCTCCTGTATGCCGTAGAGTTACGTACTTGCTCTGAATGTTTAATTCCTCCAACCCGTGTAAAACAAAGCGCGCAAACTCAGGTATAGGCGCATTATTTCGCGGTGGTTTACTAGGCGTTGTTACACGCTATTACGCACGCCGTTGCCGTCTGTGCGTGCTTTTACACACATTATTTTACACGGGAATCTACACCTCTCTTCTTCTGTTCCCAGATAATCAGTGGGTCGTTTCTGACTGACAAACGGACCAACTGTATAGTCGAGGCAGAGATGTATGGTCTGCCGGCCGATACTGTTAGACACAAGTACACCAAGAAGGCTGCCGCGCCACATCCCTTCTGGAATGAACCTCCTTTCACCTTCAAGAGGGTGAGTCGCGAGGTGTCCTCATTAACAGAACTCTTATTGTGGAGAAAAGAAAAGGTGTCCTTATTAGAGAGGTGTCCTCACTTTCGGAATAAACCTCCTTTCACCTTCAAGAGGGTGGTTGCTAAGGTTTTATACACCTATCAAATCACCAAATTTTTAAATTCCTATCCCTCTTCTAAGATGGAGTAAACTAGCTTACAAACCGGTTACACAGGTTTAAGTGTCCAACTAAAAATGGCTTTTGTCTCTCCCCAGATCCTTCTTCCTGAGCTAGCAATCCTGCGAATCGCAGTGTTCGACGACGATCGTGAGCTAGTGGGTCAGCGATGTCTCCCAGTGAGCCACATCAGACCCGGCTTCCGATACATCCCGCTGAGAGACAAGCACAACCAGCCACTGCCCATGGCCATGCTGTTTGTCAATATCAAGGTTGAAGATTGGGTGCCAAACGAAATGGAAGGTGAGGGAGGGAGAGAGAGAGAGAGGGAGGGAGCGAGAGAGAGGGAGGGAGAGAGAGAGAGGAGAGGAGGGAGCGACTGGAGACGCATAGAGAGAGCGAGAGAGAGCTCACGCGTGCGGGGACAGGTAGGGGAGACGCAGCGAGAGAGAGATGGGAGGTGGTCTAGCAGTAGAGGGAGAGGGAGGGAGAGAGAGAGAGAGAGGAGGGGAGGGGGTGAAATAATAGGAAGTGTTCTATCTATTGCACCCAGCCTGCTGAGCTGCCCTGTATAGTGTATACATTTGACAAGAGTTTAATATAACCTCTGTTGCTATAATGCTACCTCTGTTAACTATAATGCCTAATGTTCTTTTTTGAGACTTTCCCTACGTGTGTTCCTACAGACGTGGTGGCCATGTTGATGGATCCTATCAGTTTCGCAACCAAAGCCCTCGAAGAACTAGCCAAAGGAGATGACCTCGTACGCAAGTTTAGACATTTTTATTACTTAACCCTTAGCAAGCCACGGACATATAAATGTGTCCAGAGCCTCCATAAACCGATAAAAAAATTATATTGGGATATACAAACTAGGCGTTAATTGTATTACACATCTTTAAAAGAGATACCCATGGTGTCCAAAGGGTTAAATCATGCTTATGTTTGTTTTATGGATGGTGTTGATTATATATACTGAACCGTTTGTTAAAACAGGATTTATCATAAATTTATGTTGTACATAATCTTTTGCAGGATGATCTTGGGGAGGAGGGAACGGAGGTAGATAACCCCGGGACAGACGGAGTACCCCAAACTACCCTGAAGCCCTCCGGAAGAACTGACCCCGACCAACGACGACGACCAAGAAGACCGAGTCTTCTCCCTCGCCCCCCTCGAACCTGCAGCCCCCTTCAAACCAGGGGGCCACCACGACCCCCTCGATTCCCTCGGTACCTTCTTCGGCGAACATGTCGGATTTCCCGGACACGCTACCGAGTTTCGACAGAGCGCGTGAGAGGCCGCCCCCCGAGTCTGTCTCGTTCGACTCGAAGGCCGTCACGGAACAGAAGGAGTTCATGAAGGTAGTTCGTCGACAGGCAAGCAGAGGAAGGGGCTCGTTCAGGGACACGACAAGGTTAGTTATATACATACACTTACACCATACATTACAGTATCTAGTATATAGACATATATTAGTGAAACGACTTACTAACCAAGCTAGAAGATAATAGCATATAGCATACACTTACACCATAGATAGATACTAGCATATATAGCATTTACACTTACACCATAGATATGTAGATACTATTATAAGTATACATAACACTACACCATAGATAGATACTAGTATAGCATCTAGTGCTTACACGTAGCACAAAATATATTGACAAGAAAAGCAAGCACATCTGCTGTAGTGTTTTCAATGGCCCGTGATATTTCCTTGCATTTGCACTTGACTGACCAAATGATGTATGCTTTCGCATGTTCTATCCTGTACAATTTTCCACTCATGTACTTGCTCATCATTGGCAGTACATAAGGACAGGTTTTGCATGCAATCTTTGCTCATTTTCTCGCTCCCTCAGTCGATGAAGTCCCTTCAGTCAAGACTCCAGAAGACCAAGTCAATGGACCTCCAATCTCCAAATGAAGTCGACTCCATGAAAGCCCAGCAGAAAGGCGAAGTCTTTACATTTGACCACACCTCACTCGTGAGGTCTGCACATTTATACTGCCGTAGTACACCTGTTGAAAAAGACGCTTGGTCACTTGGTTTTGCCCCATACTAATACCTCTGCCATAAGATCTCCCTTAGCTTGCACTGTATTGCACTAAGTATAGTTATGCAAAGCTGGCTCTCGACAAAGGTCATTAGGATTTTACCGTCGATTTTCCTGGAAGCTTCTCCAGGATACCATAGAGTTGTACTTGCTTTTTGCTTTTTTTGCATTTTTAACACCTCCAACCAGACTCTTGTGCTCTCTTTCTGTATATAGTGTTGGTTTTTTTAAAAACAACTCTTTTCATGGTGTATACTGTTTTCAACAGCGCCACAAGGTCCACAGAGCCTGCCTCGAGGCTGCTCAGGCAGTCCAGATGAATGGGCTGGAAAAACTGCACAAGAGGTATGTACAGGTAACATTAGCTCGCTTGAAAAACTAAACAAGAACTACACAAATGTATGTCTAACAAGTAAATTAAAAACTATGTATGTAAGAGTATGTCTAATACTGTATGTACTGCATGAGAATGATGTAATGTAAAATGTGTCGCTGAGGTCACCCAGGAATATAACTGCCTGGGAACCAACTATTGGGACTTTGGTAGACTGTGCTGTCCATAGTCTGCAAATTTAGATATCAGCAGTAACCTGCACCGCGTTCGCTTTTCTGTCGTGCCCCCTCCCCCAACACACGCACACACACACCCACACGCACACACGCACACACGCACTCTGCAGTGACCATGACGCTATGCACAAGGACCTGGCGGCTCTGATAAAGAAGCATTCCAAGAGTGTTCAAACTGCTGACAAGAAGAACCGAGACGTTACAAAGGGTGATCTGGAAGAACGGGCCATAATTCGCGGAAGACCCGACGCGAGGAGAGCCGTGTCCGTTGTGTCATGTGTATTACTCCCATACCCAGAAACACCACCAATTGGGCCCACCCCCCCACGACCAGGTCCCCCGTCCCCCTGAGCATATAACAATTGCAACTCCTCCACTAATCCACCGCACACAATTGGACACCCGACCAGAACCCCCAGTGTCTTATTTTGAGGGTCCTTATTGCAACGACAACTGTCCTTGGGAAGGAAGCCGGCCTGCCTTATTATGAGGGTGTCATTATCTTCCTTTGTGAAGCCCGAACACACAGGTCGCTCCTTATTAAGAGAGTGTCCACATCATTGTTGTCCTTTAAATCCACGTAACTCTTATCAGACACCAATGGGACAGAAGAAAAAAAGTGTCTATATAGTGGAGTTGTCCTGTCATATACAGTGGACTTCCTCTAATCCGACCACCAAATGGGATCAGACCGAAGTGTCTCATATAGTGAGTGTCCTGAGCATCTATTCAACAGTGAAGTCCTCTAATCCAAGGCCACCCCGTGGGACAGAAGAAGACTATATAGATGACCCCGAGCCTATCGTTATTATGCAGGGCACTGTCAAGTGGAAGGAAGGTGTCCTATGTTGTCCCGAACAGCGAACTGCACGGTGTCTGTATCAAGAACCTGCTCTTTGGGAGGAAACGGTGTCCCTATCTGCAGTCAGAGAGGTGTCCACATCAGTGGTGTCCTTTAAACAATTTTTCCACTCCACTGTATTGATGTGTACAACTGTTTATGTTGCCAGTTTGCAAGGCTCCATGATGCAGAGAAGACGAAGCTGACGGAGAGCCACGAGGCTGAGAGAAAGAGATTACTAGATGCTCAGGCCAAGGTACACGTGCAAAACCACAAGTGCTGCGCTCAACTTTGCCTTTATAAACTCGTGATGCCAGAGAGAGAAGTTGCGGTATGCTTTGCTGATGAGGCCCGAAACAGCTGTCCAGAGCTCTGCCTCTTTTTTCTCTTGGCATCATGTGGTCTATTGTTGGTTTGAGGTTTGCATTTGTGTTCTTTGATTTGAACCCCTACCAGCTGAATTGCCCTCAAAATTGCTTGCAACTTCAAAGGTATTAATTTGCATGTAACGTGTTGCGTGATCCCATTAAAATGCAATCATGTACATTTGAACATCTTGAACCTTGTCTAAAACAACAAATTTGCATCTTAGTTACTCACGGTTTTACATTCTCTCTTTTTGCTCATTAATGTTTAGGACATTTCTGATTTGGAAGTCATTGCTGAAAGCGAAGAACCTTCCCCTTCATCTCATCTCTAATTATTATGTCATTATGACATCACTCGGATGACATCATAGCATTACAGTAGCTATTAATAATTTAACTCATCTTTTATTCCCAAAGAATTATTATTATAGTTGGTGCTGATAATAGTCATTATGTCATAAGAGTAATGTGTATTGTAGATGATTTTTATATTTGACATGTGCAGCAATTGAGTTAACTCCGAAATTGAAATGGTGGTGTACTCTAGGTTACCTCGGGATACTTCGAGTATCCCAGTGAGCAATAAACACTGACTTAGCACATGACACCTGCTCTCGCAGCAGCAGACTAGACGTGGTCACGCGATAGTGTCCCGGATACTTCGAGTATGCGAATTATTCACCGGATACTTCGAGTAGGTCTGCGCCTCGCCGCCTATATTGTGTATGTAGAATGATTGAGTAAACTCGTGGTGGTGTTACGATACTTCCGGATACTTCGAGTATCCCAATGCGCACTAAACCCCGAACAACAGTCCTTTCTCCCGTTCACTGTGCGTGGTGGCGGGACTGCTGCGCTGCAGAGAGATGGAAACAGATCTATTGTTGGAGCGCGGTTCAGCAAGCTGGGATGCCACGGAGCACGCGATCTTACCCGGTGAGCAGTTCCGCGGCAGAGCCACGACCGAAAAGGTGACCGACGGACGCAGCACAATATACACAGCTAGCGTGCCGCGTCCCTTCGTGTGCACGATTTGTCCCCATTGTAGCTTATTGGCGTAGCTATGTGCTGATGTTTATACTTTCCTTCTCCCTGTCTCCCTCGCAGACCATAAATCTGCTCTCCCGGGATTCTACTGGAAAAGATAGTTCGCCAACGTGTCTGTCTCCTCCAACCCTCTTCTCTCTCTGACCAGTAGTAGAGGGGGAGGCAGAGGTGGCAGAGGTATACTTTCCACTGACATACCCAGAGACACCGAGCTACCCTTACGATTACTCCTGGCCAGGTCTGAAACTGAAAGCTGGTATAAAAACACAGGCATAGAGACTAACTTATTTTGCCCTTCCTGTCAAATTGTCCCTCCTTTCTCAATTTCTGCCATTTCCCCTTACTTTTATATAAAGCCTTCCCTCTGTTACAGTCCTTTTGCCACTTACTCCCTATCTTCTCCCTATCTTCCAACCATTCTCTCTCTCTCTCTTTCTCCTTGCAGGCTCTTGTTCTGAAGGTTGTTCATTAGGGCGCAGGGCACCAGTTGCAATGGGGCATGGTTGGACCCTTGGGATTCCACCAGGGGACATTGGCAACGTGCCAAGATACCTCTTCTTGGCTGTACAGAGCGTCCTTCTCTTGGCAGCAATTTATGTATCTTTCGCAGCTCCTTTCGACCCAGTGGCACCGAAATGCTTGCGGATCGGTGCTCTGTCAATTGCCTTCTCTGTCAATATATTGGAGCGATCTCTGTTTTGGTTTTGCCGTGCCCATAGAAATTGTAAAGACCGTGTATTGTGGAATCTTCGTGCAGACTTTATTCGCCTTTTGGTCACTGAATTGTTTATCTATATTGGCCTGGGTATAGCACTTTATACCACTTCTTGGTACTACTTGAATGGTTTTCCCGAGGGTAACTATTTGCGTAATGGCTACACTGTTGTTACGGTGATTGGTTTTCTCTATTTCTTGACAGCAGTAGTGATGAAAACAGTTATCTTTGCCAAATTAGCTCGTTTCGTTGTCAAAGCTAGGACTGCAAGGGACTCGAATGCTGTCTTTTTTCAGGAGCGTCTTTTCATCGTGATATTCAGCAGTAGCAGTGCATGGGCACACATACAAGTTGACTATGTGGTTTTGATTGCAGTAATCTTGCAAACCCTTTCGGTTACTTATTTGTGCCTGTTGCGATGATTGCCATTATTCTAATGGGTATGTGGTACCTGTATATTCTTGATGTCTTGCCTTGGGCTTGGTTTTTCCCAACTTCAATTCTGGACAGTCCTCCACCACACAAGAACATTCACGATATCAGCGCCTTTTCATCGCTCTATCAGGAGATGCACGGTTTGGTTATAGCCTTTGGTGGTTTTAGGATGAACATACTACGACTAGCAAGACCCAAATTTGTGTTACCACTGTTTGGGCTACTCATCACGTTCAGTTTCTTAATAACGGTTTATATCGTCGTATTTTTATTGCAGTGATCTTACGAACTTTCTGCTAAATCACATGGTTTTGTTTCAACACAAACATTATCCCGCTTGCCATGTATTGTGTTGTCCACATTGTGTACATGTTATATAGTGCTGTGGGTTTTCTGATCTGAACATTTTTATTCGGAGACGCTCTATATATAGGGATGGCACGGAATACGTGAGATACTAGTTCAAGAAGTTCATGGATCGAGTGTTGTGTTAGTGCGCATGCGCACAGCCATGAACGCTCTTGCGTAAAAAATCGCGCGATTTGGGCTATGCGTTCTGACAACTTTCTCTGATCTGATATTTGACACTCAGTATAGAGTGTTGTTTGGTCGTCCTCCATCTGCAGCTCAGAGATGTCGACAAAACGACGAGCTGCGGCTGCAAGCGGTGCCTGGCATCGCCCCGAGGACAGCACCGCTACGGCAAACGGTATAAAAACGGGCAAAGTCGAAGACAAACAAGCCGTTTCGTACACTGTCACGGGTTCAACATTCGTACCGGCTTTCCTTGTCTTCGTCTGCCCCGTCTTTGCCATGGTCTTCATCAGAATCATCGTGGAATTCGACGGAGACCTGCTGGAATTCGCACGCGTCGCTGCGAGAGACGGCCCCCTACAGATACTCAAGACGAGCGTATTCCCGTACGTTTTCGGTTCCCGCAGAGCCTGCGAGTTTATCCTCCCTTTCGCCGCCTTCCAGCTCCTCCTAATGCGACTCGTCCCTGGAAAAACTACCCGGGGGCCGGTCACGCCGGCTGGAAACATTCCCATTTACAAGGCCAACGGTCTTTTGTCATACTTCATAACCCTAGCTGTGTTCTGCCTATGTGGGTTCGTGTTCAAGATTTTCAACCCTGCGGAGGTTTACGACCATTACCAGGAGATAATCGGGACTCTAAACCTCTTCAGTCTGGTGTTTTGCCTCGTTATCTCCCTCAAGGGTAAGCTCCTGCCATCATCGACCGATTCCGGCGCCAGCGGCAACCCCATATTCGATTACTATTGGGGAACGGAGCTCTACCCGCGGATTTTGGGTTGGGACGTGAAAATGTTCACAAACTGTCGTTTCGGGATGATGAGTTGGGGACTTTTTCTGCTGTGCTACGCAGCGAAGCAATACCAGCTCGGAAGTCTGAGTGACTCTATGGTTGTTTCCGTGGTGCTGCAACTGATCTACATCACCAAGTTTTTCCAGTGGGAGATGGGGTACATGAAGAGCCTGGATATCATGCATGACAGAGCCGGATTCATGCTGGTGAGGTGTAAGACTATTAATCTCGAGAACTCCTTATTTTGTACAAAGTGTGTCATCGTTTGAGATTCCGTGTTTAGCTTGTTCTGCATGCATGTGTGTGTGGATGGAGAGTATGTTTGTATACCACAGCACCAAAAAAGGTAAATTGTCCTGTAGCCATTTCCTGACAGTTATACCATTCATGATCACTTCACTTCCACTCTTCATTTCTTCTTCTCCTCTTTCTCTCCCAGTGCTGGGGCTGTATGGTGTGGGTTCCCTCTGTCTATACAAGCCACACCCTCTACCTCACCACCCACCCTAACGACCTGGGGCTTCCCGTCTCCGTGGCGATTATCGCTCTCGGGATCTTCTGCATATTCTTCAACTACGACGCAGACCGCCAGCGGGAACAGGTACGGAATACGGACGGGAATTGCACGGTATGGGGACGCAAACCGGAGATAATCCGAGCTACTTTCCACACGAGCGAGGGCCAGGAAAGGAAGAGTATTCTACTGATGTCGGGATGGTGGGGAGTTTCCCGCCATTTCCACTACGTCCCTGAAATAACCGCCGCGTTTCTGTGGACCATTCCGGCGCTGTTCTCGAGCCCAATCCCGTATTTCTACGTCACGTTCCTGGTCATTCTACTGACACACCGGGCGATCAGAGACGACGTGAGATGTGCGGAAAAATACGGAGAGTTCTGGAACGAGTATTGCAAGAAAGTACCTTACAAGATAATCCCTTTTATCTTCTAGCGGATAGTAATTATAGCGGTAGGGTATTATTCACAAAATTTAACGAGGTGTAAATGAAAATAATGTACTCTTATTTATGATGTCATTAAATTATTAAGTGGGGGGTTTGGTTTTACGTCTCAATGTTTGGATCTGAGGGGTTTCCACTTTCGATGAGTCTTTTTTCGTGTTTCATGTTTGGAACTTCTGTTCGCGTGTGCCAAACCAATACCTGTAGCAATACAGAGAGATGCATACAACCCATTTCAGCAAATGTATAAAGGTAAGTGTAACCCCAAGAATTTTTGCCATTCAGTAGTCAAACTCTTTATGATGCTTTCCAAGGAATAGTAATCCTGCACTTTGTGTAGCGAGAACAAGTTTAAGCTTCCTTGGAAAATGTCGCCCTTGCTTTGCGACTTTGTTGATATTACTTTGGTCTCAATTTACCATGCTTGATATAACAACATCTTCCTATTCTACAGTACAGCAAGGTGGGTGTGTATGATATAATTACATTACCTTAGTACAGTCATCTCCCAGTGGCTCTAACTGGTCCTGAGTGACCAGATTCTCCAGTAGAGAAGTTTCCAGGTGTCCTCGCGGTGCATTTGGGTCTATCCTGGCTTCTGGGTGGTCCAACAGCAGCTGAAGATTCACCGCAAATCCTGGCCAAAGACAAACAACTATTAGTTGAAGCGCTTTGGAAACAGTTGCAGTGTATATCTTGCTCCCCCCTCCTCCCCCCTTCTCTTCTCTTTCCAAAAAATAAGTGGTCCTTGTGCATATACCGCAATCTCGCTGTCCCTTCACCCCTTCCTTAACGATTTTGCATTTCTTGTACAAACAAGAGAGGAAGAAAAGGCAAACCAACCATTCACAATGCTTTGACTATAGTTGGAGAATGGAATAGTACATATTCACTTTGACTTAACCATAGCCATTTACACACTGCACCCTTCTAAAAAAGTGATCCTACGTACGTGTACAGTTCAGAGGTTGTTTTTGTCACGTGACTATCACATGACCTCTCGGTACCCTTATCAGATTAATCAGCAATGATTGAGGATCACTTTGATACATCACGTGTGTGTATTGCTTACAGCAGGACTGAGGAATTGGGCAAAGTGTAAAAAGTGACCATTAGTGCTTGCCACTGTACCTGCCATATCAATCTGGAAGGCTCGTTCAAAGCCCCACATGGTGTACCATCCAGTGACCCGCCCATCGTGACACACTGGACCTTCAAACCTCACACCACCACTGATGCCCACCAGCCACACGGACACTTTCTTAGTCTTTCTCATCTGACGAGGGGGTGAAAGAGAAAAGGTTATATATGTAACCAGTGGAGGATCCAGGGGGGTTCCTTGGGTTCCGCGGAACCCCCCTTTTTTGTCGTTTTGCGCGACATGCATCGCCGGCCTCGTGCGCGCACACGAGCGCAGTCGAAAACATTCTGGATAGCGGAACCCCCCTTCAAAATCCACTGATAACTATAGAATGCAACACACAAGCAAACGTCTATCATGAACGAGGCGTTTGAACTGGCCTACGTGATTTTGAGCATGCACATTGTCAAGTGGCAGAGTCACACTGTGCAGTACATACAACTACAGTACATGCTTTGCTTTGCTCATTAGTGAAAATTCTCAAAGGTAATCAAGCTATTGACGAGGCTGTAAAGGTGTGCTGAAATCACCTCTTCAAATATTGCAATGTCATACGTGTTGTCGTCATCACCGAAATAGACCACACCCCTAGCCCCACCCACAAGGGTCCCGTCTGCCGCTTTCCGCCTCAGCAACTCCAGAGCCTTGTTCCTCTGCTCAACTCCTCTGTTCTTTCTCCATACCGGTTCACCCTGTTTTAGCCTGTGTGTATGTATACAGTGGAACCCCTCTAATCCGGTCACTAATGGGACAGAACAAAATGCCCATATCAGTGGGGTGTCCTTCTTTCAAGTAACGCAAGAACTGTTCTTGGGGAAAAGGTGTCCTTATTAGAGAGGCGTCCCTATTGCAGATGTGAATGGACCATTACAGGCAGTACAAAATTAAAAACTGACACACCTCCTGACTTCCTCTGTCCGGACGTTCAAATGAGTGATCTTCAAAACTTCCATCCGCCTCCGTTAAGAACTCTGTCACTAGCTCCGTCTTGCGTTCGGAATCTTCAACCACTATCCAGTGGAGGCGAGGGACTTGCATGAGCGTCTGCGCCAGCCGCGTGAGGTCCGCCTTCTGCGTCCATCGCGCGTACGTCGGCGTTATCATGTAAATCCACGCCAATTCGTCGTCTTCTTGCTTGTCGTCTCCCGCGCCTTTTTGGAGCTGTTCCAACCTGCGCTGAAGCCTGCTTATGTTTCTAGAGAGACTGGAGATTAGCTCGGACTGTTGCTGAATCCGCTGCACGTACTTCTCGCTTCCTGCACTCGACTCCGGCACTGTAGCGAGAGAGTAAAAGTAGATAAGCTAACGGACGGTGCGCTCTAATTAGAAAGAAACGGTCGAACCTCCGAGGTAGAAGATGACGGCGAGGTTTACCGCGGCGGCGACTAGGAACAGTAGCAGCAGTCGCAGCACCGTCCGTCTAGCCGGCATACTACCATCACTGGCACCACGCACAAGGCCAGATAGAAAGCCGCTGAGATGACGATTTGTCCCGCCCACTTTATTCTGCGCAGGCGCGTGGCAAAAGCAACATGTCCGATCCTCCTCCTCCCTATCCCTATCCCTCAGCCCCACCGCTAGAGAAGAGTCCCTATGTCTGTGGCTGTATACTGCCGGAGAGCGGGAAACACGAACCAGAGTGTCCCAAGTTCCCCGAGCCTTGTCCAAATGGTTGTGAGGTGGGCAGTGTGGAGCGGTGGGGATGGAGCAACATCGCAGTGTGTGTCCACTGGAGCCCGTGGCCTGCGAGATGAAGGAGTTTGGGTGTAGTGTCGTGGTCCCTCGCAGGGAGCTGGCGACACACATGAGAGAGAGTGAGCTCCAACACCTGACGACCATGACTGCTCTCAACCTCCGTCTCACCAGACAACTGCAGCAGGACTCCGCAGAAAGAGACAGGAACATCGACCAACTGCATCAAGAAATCGCCGACCAGAAAAAGGAAATCAAAAAGATCCAAACGTTGCTCAACCCACAGCAAGCGCAGAGAAAAACGTCCAATCTGGCGGTTTCCATTCGTGAAATTCCTCTGGGGACTAAAAAGATTGGACACTCAGAATTCACAATAACCCATCAAAACTACGAACACCTCAAAACTAGCAGTGGAGAAACGGAAAGCCAAGACTATTTTGTGGGGAAACTCGAATACATTTTCAAAGTGATGGTTCGCTACAACTCGTTTCTCAAATCAATCGGAGTTTTCGTGTGCCTGAAAGGGGCACGCAGCAGCGACACTCTAGAGTTGCCTGTTGCGGCTCAAGTTGAGTGTGAATTACTGAGTAAGTTCAAGCACACGCTGCTGAGCTCCGTGCGAAATGCAAGCATCATGTGGACTGAGGAAACCATCGGTAAGTATGGCGTGGTGGACAGCAACTTCAAGAAGTTCACTGACATTGACAAGGAAAACCTGGCAAACAATTGCCTCAGGTTTAGATTTTCGATTGCTTGGTTTGCAGTGAGTGAGGCTGACGTTCGAGTTATATAGGAACTAAGTGATTCCCGTGCACCATAATGACATCAGTTTTCTACATGGTACACAGCTGCAATCATTTGCCAAGGTTTTGATTTTGTATAAAATAGACCTTTTTTTAATTTCTAACGTGAATTTTTCTATTATACTTCTTTCGTCAATCAGTTTGATCACAATGTCATTAGGATTAATCATTGCTACACAAAATTTTGAAATACGAAACATAATTGTGAAGACATGAGACGTGAAAAGTTAACACCAAAAGTATAATTATAGTGAAAGAGGAGATGAAAAAGGCTGTGTGTATTAATTAATTATTATTAGTGTCACTGAAGCTGCTGAAAAAGGTCTTGTATGGTATTTGGAGAAGGGGGAGGAGGTGGCACACTTGGCAAATTTTCAACGTTAACGCCACCACCATTGGACAGCAAGTCCACCGAGCTGAGAAAAGAGATGTTTGCGGTAATTCCACTGATGGCATGGTTTAGTCCGTTTTGACCACTGTTGGTCACGTGTGGGGGGAGGGGTTGGTACTGATGGTTCGGTCCATTGACAAAAGACATAGGGGTGGGGGAAGACCCGTTTTGAACGTGATTGTAAACCGGTTGTTGTGGTTGTTGTTTACCGGCAGGCAACTGCGTCTGAAGGAATTTCTGTTGCACGATAAGGTCTTGCAATAACTCTCTCTGTCTCTGAATCTGGTCTTCCAGTTGCATCTGTCTCTCCACCCACTCATGAGATGGAGGAGGAGGAGGTGTTGTGTTGTTGTTGATGTTGTTGTTGTGGGGTGGAGAGGTTTGCTGCTGTTAGCAACATTTCAAGTGTCTTATCGGAAATGGAGCCAGCCATGGAGATAGGTGGAAGCTGAAATTGTTGTTGTTGTTGTGTTGTTGAGTAGTGAAATTGAAGGCTGATGGTATGTTTGTTGTCTGAGGCTGAAACTGATAAGAGGCTGGACTGGGAACGAAAGACTGGGAGACTGGAAGCATGGAGACATGGGTGTTTGGGATCTGGGAATGAGACTGGAAGCTAGAGGCGGAGTCACTCCCGGCAGAAGTCGGACTGTCAATCCCAGAGTCTGGGCTGGCTATAGTCTCATACATGCTGTACAGAACACTGGGTGGAGCTGACTGGGGACTCGCTGCCATGCTGGACACAGACTGGGGACTGGGAACCAGACCGGAAGCAGAATGGGGACTGGGGATGGGACCCATAAAAGAATGAGGACTGGGAATGAGACCGGTCGAAGACTGCGGACTGGGAACCAGACCGCTGGCAGAATGAGGACTGGGAACGAAACCCAAACTCGACTGAGGGCTTGGAGCCATGCCGGGACCGGACTGCTGACCGAATAGAGGAACGGAATGTGGACTCGGAATGTGGCTGTCACTAACAGCTGAAACTGGGGTCATTTCAGATGGAACCGAGCTAATTTGCGACACCGAAGAGGGGGCGGGGCTCGGAGCACTTGCAGCACACTGTGCGAGCTCTTCATCCTCCTTCATTTCCTTCAGCATGTGCATGATGCACATTGGATGAATCTTCTCCCCTTCTTTAAACTGGCTGAAATCGATCTTGCTGAACCTCTTCTTGTTCTCGTCCTCCAACCTTTCGGCCTCTTCCGCTGAAGAAACCACGTCCGTCAGAAGGCTGGGGAGTGCAGACAGCCCGAGTTCTCGACCGTGCAGCACAGCGGCAATGGCTTGTTTAGCCACGCTGGCCTCCTGGAGCCCCGCTACGATGGGTTCGTGTGATTGACGGACCGGTTTCTCGGGGACGAAGGAGTCGTATGGATCGGGATGGAGAGAGACTATGGAGTTGTTGGTTCTTCCGTGGCTGTAGAACTCCTTTTGTTCGATGTACTTGAGAGTACCCGCAGATTGACTGGGAAAAGGAGGAGAGAATAACACAAATGAAACTGATGGTGTAGGAAACTGTTTTAGATTCTTCTCACGTCGCCACTGACACATTAAAGGACATGTGGCAGCATAATATAAGGGCAAAATTTATAAAACGTTACTAAAATGTGCGTGTGTTGCCGTTGCATATACATACATATGTACGTAGCTGTAAGCCTAAGTCTGTTGTCGCGCTGACACATTAAAGGGAATGTGGGAGCATAAAGGGCAAAATTCAGTCAAAATACTAAAATGTACGTGTGTTGCCGTCATTTACATACCATCATGCTGTAAGCCTAAGTGTGTTATCAGCATACGTCAAGGAAGATATAATGTATACAAGCACAGTTGCAAGATTTAGAGGTTTCATTCTCTGAACAAACGGCAACACTCATCTGTGTATAAGAAATAACCTACCTGATTATCTTGATGACTGTCTCGAGGTGTTTCGGTTTGCGCGTCTCCTTATCGAACCTCATGGTCCCTTCCAGCTGTACCCAGGACCAGTCGCCTGATGCTGTCATGAACCTGAACATCGGACTGCAGGCATAGCCCGTCCGTTGCACTGAGGAGGAAGAAATGATAAATAACTCACCTAACGCGATACTATATGCGTACTCTACTCGATGGTGTGGACTCTGAACTTATTGATTTTCATTTTTTCAAGAGTGTGTGCACGTGGATATTTGTGTCAGATTCTGTCAGACTCGGAAAAGAGATAAGTCAAAAGAGAGATAGCGTGATTACGTGCAAGGCTGGTATACTATATATATACAGCGCCAACCTTTTATAGACACATCAAAATATGCTTGAAATTTCCGGCATGCGACTCACACAACATTTGTGGACATTGTCACTATGGTTGTACATACTATGTTTGTCTCAACAACTTGGTAGCGAGGTGGAAAGGCGAGGCAAGGCAAACAAGTCAACTACACCCAGGACAGCTCTGTGCATGCATGTCTCAACAACTTGGTAACGAGGTAGAAAGGCGAGAAGGCAAACAAGTCAACTACACCCAGGACAGCTCTGTGCATGCATGTGTCAACAACTTGGTAACGAGGTGGAAAGGCGAGGCAAAGCAAACAAGTCAACTACACCCAGGACAGCTCTTTCTTTCTCAAAGAAAAGAAGAAGAGCTACCCATGACGTTTGTGTGCGGTGCCGGATATGAATTTGTGTACGTGTGTTATCCATCTAACAATACAACTCTGCCAAAGTGTGTTTGTGGGCCGTGGACTTACACAGCATCTTGCAGGGCATGAGTCTTGCAAAGTCCGACGGATGGAAATAGTCCTTCATTGTGCTCCCGACTAAATCCTTCGGGTCATAGCCCAGAATATCTGTTACCCTGAACAAGGGAGAGGAACCAATGAGCAGTGGAAAGAGGGAGAGAGAGAGAGATATTAGGAAACGGAGCAAAACGGGTGAATTTTCAACTGACCTCTTTCCTCAATTAGCTAAGTAGTAAACCCTTTTGACTTTCATATAAATCTCCTTCTACCGCACACATGTCATTATAAAGTAATGTATATGAAGCTATGAAGAAAGATTTTTCTGCATTGTGAAGTAAAAAAATAATGGATCCTCATGCATAATCACGCACTACGAGTGAATTTTCACAAATCAATAATCACGCACTACAGTTTGTAAGTATTGCTCAGCCCTAGCCCTATACTGAGTGTCAACAGTTTGTAAGTATTGCTCAGCCCTAGCCCTATATAGCAGACTTACTGAGTGTCAACAGTTTGCTAAGTATTGCTCAGCCCTAGCCCTATATAGCAGACTTACTGAGTGTCAACAGTTTGCTAAGTATTGCTCAGCCCTAGCCCTATATAGCAGACTTACTGAGTGTCAACAGTTTGCTAAGTATTGCTCAGCCCTAGCCCTATACTGAGTGTCAACAGTTTGCTAAGTATTGCTCAGCCCTAGCCCTATACTGAGTGTCAACAGTTTGCTAAGTATTGCTCAGCCCTAGCCCTATACTGAGTGTCAACAGTTTGCTAAGTCTTGCTCAGCCCTAGCCCTATACTGAGTGTCAACAGTTTGCTAAGTATTGCTCAGCCCTAGCCCTATACTGAGTGTCAACAGTTTGCTAAGTATTGCTCAGCCCTAGCCCTATATAACAGACTTACTGAGTGTCAACAGTTTGCTAAGTATTGCTCAGCCCGTAGCCTATACTGAGTGTCAACAGTTTGCTAAGTATTGCTCAGCCCTAACCCTATACTGAGTGTCAACAGTTTGCTAAGTATTGCTCAGCCCTAGCCCTATACTGAGTGTCAACAATTTGCTAAGTCTTGCTCAGCCCTAGCCCTATACTTACTGACTTACTGAGTGTCAACAGTTTGTAAGTATTGTTCAGCCCTAGCCCTATACTGAGTGTCAACAGTTTGTAAGTATTGCTCAGCCCTAGCCCTATACTGAGTGTCAACAGTTTGCTAAGTCTTGCTCAGCCCTAGCCCTATACTGAGTGTCAACAGTTTGTAAGTATTGTTCTGCCCTAGCCCTATACTGAGTGTCAACAGTTTGCTAAGTCTTGCTCAGCCCTAGCCCTATATAGCAAACTTACTGAGTGTCAACACTCTGTATTTTCATGTCCAGACCGACGGTACTTGTGAACGAAATCTGTGGCACCTCCAACTCCAGGATGGACGGGACGGCTTCGATGGGACGACATTCCACGATGAGACCTAGAACATGCGGTCGCTGGGGGACCACTTTGTCATGGAAATCCGGGTCGTCTGCCAGCTCGGGGGAGAGCTTGCTGAACGTGATGTTCAGGGAGTGGTCGCGTACTACCTTCAGGTGTCCGTTCAGCTGGAGTGACTGGAAGGGGTTAAACAGGATATGTGGAAGGGGTTAAACAGGATATGTAGTTGTATTAACAGATTCAGCGGTAATTACAGTGAATGTGTGTAGTACACAAATTTGAAACAAATTTAAAATCTGCTCAGTGTCGTACCAGGTTGGTGTTGTAGCGGGAGACTTTGACCTGGCCGGGAGTGACGGCATTGCGCAATCGAATGTAAAACATCCGATGCTGGTTCAGCTGGTTACCTACGGCAACCAAAAGACGTCAGGTGATCTTACAAACAACAATCAATTCCCCAGCGGAGGGACTTGAGGCTAGCAAAGAAAACGGTCATATTTTCTATTGCACACACGCTATAAGACTTCCTTCACATGAAAAGGCTTTTCATCTTCACACAAATCGCAAAGGCCTACACTCTGTTATGCTTTCTGTTGCAACAGATTTATGTATGTATGTACATCCATATATACGTGGATTTTAACACTAACTAAAGCAGGAATTATACTATAAAACGACCAGCAACGCATACTGGTAAAAGCCTTTCCATACACAGTTTTGATAATTTAGAAATTTTTGTGTCGTATACCTTTTGGTTCAAGATTTTTGGTGATGGTGTTGCTGTCTTGTTCTGACTGGACGAGGTCGTGGAGAGAGTGACCAATCACGTCGCGAGGACTGAGGGCCACAAAGGACTCTATGTTCTCACTGGCGTACAGGATCACACCATCACTGGCAATGACCATCAGGAACCCATCCATTGCCTGAGCAGAGAGAGAGAGATGAGAGAGATGAGAGAGAGAGAGAGAGAGAGAGATGAGATCTGGTCCAGAGCAAGAGACTAGTGGGGAGGATGAATACCCACCTGGTCTATCAGATTTGTCAGAACATTCTCCTTGTGGGTTCCATTCTCACCATATGCTATGGGGAGAATAATCGGTCAAGCATAGCTATGTAATTTGGAAGTTTAACATTATCGTGGATTGAGGGCCAACTGGTTAAAATTTCTCAGGGAAACGGCTGAGGGCAACAATATTATACAGTTGGATGAGCTATTTTAGATGGTGCACTCCGTGAATGCAACCAAATCGCCCTGACAACGCTAGCAATACATCGCCCTGACAACTCATTGCTATGACAACGCAAGCAATACTAAACATTAGCGGAAGGAAAAGTGGGGGTGACTGGGAGCAGAGAGAGAGAGAGAGAGAGGAAGTGAGAAAGAAGGGGAGAGAAAAAGAGAGGAAACACGATGCAAATGAAATTCAATGACAAAGGAAGTGGGTCTAAAGGTTAATTGATTGACTATTATCTCCAGAGTACACAGCAACAATGATGCAACTTTTACAACTTCCTTGCTCCCCCCTTCTCACCCAGAAAATCTTATTATCTGCCAGGTTACACACCCAGACACCACACACATCTTTGTTGACTAATACTAGCTATCACTCATCAACATACACGTAACATCTATTACTCAGTCTGTGGAATTTGAGGGGAAAAACACAAACCAGCCAGCTATTCAGTGTATAGACACTTGCTATACATAATGTAGTAAAAAAAGCTCTGTAATGCAGTAATGAATGCTTGACAAAAAGTACACTCCTGTATTTGCCCCAATGTACTGACACATAGTCATGAAGTTCTGGAATCTGATGTAAGAAGTCGTAAGCCTCAGAATTGACAGCTTGTCCAACGACCTCCCTCCCCCTCCCTGGAAGGGAAGGAGCTCTCCCAGCTCGCCTATCTCGTCGTTCTGCTTGCGACGTCGCTTCTTTGCCGTTCCGGGCGCCTTTTCGTCCGCCTGTTCGGCACTGTGCACGGAGAGAGGAAGAGAGAGAGAGAGGGAATGCAGCTAGCATAGCCCAAGACACACGAATCCCGAACGTCTTCACGCTTCATATAGCCACTGTAGTAAACGCACAACCGCAGTTTGTTCAGTCTTTTGTAGCGAAGACATATTCACTTCCCTAGCTACAGCTCCTTCGTAAGACTGTAGCTACGTAGCAGCGTTTTCCACACCGCGCGTTTTTCTACCACACAATATACACCTTGGGAAGAAAGACACTGGCATCTTGAGCTTTCTTGGATTAGTATTCCTTCACAAACTCGAACTGCCTCCCTAAAGCCAACACTTCTTTGTCCAGAGGAATGCGAAGCGAACCCGATATCCTTCCCATTAATGACGATTCATTACAGCAATCACGTGAAGAAACCACGCCCACATAAACTTCTATTTATAGCCTACCGAAGAAAAACGCGCATGCGCAAGTGTTTAATTCACAAACACTTGTATATCTATCAGCTATTGCTGGCTAAATGCAGTAGTTTGGGTGCAGCTTGTCTGTTGAAATAGTCCCTGGCCAGCTGGGCTTGCTCTTCCACTATGTTGAATTCAGGATGTGTTGGTTGCTGCGAAAAAGTAATGACGTAATGCGGTTATTATGCAGAGAAACAAAAGTAGTATAATAGTTTAAGAGGGACAGAAAATATTGCATCTAATTTGGTGTAATAAGTCTTTTGTGTCACCTTTTGCGTCTAAATGTGTGTGTGATTATATAATATTGGGCACTGCACCTGTACACTAGATCCTCTACGACTTATAAGAAATACCAAAATAGAATCTGGGTCATTAGTGATGTCGATGATTGTGCGGTTTCCGTAGCAATGCTGAGCAACCGAGAGCCCACTGAGACAGTAGCAGGTGTGATAGAAATCCGGAGTCCTTTCAGACACCATCGGACAGAGAGAAAAAAATTTTAACTTCTGATAAAATTTGCATCGTACATTTTTTAACTTACTTCCCAGGTTTGTCAATCAGGCCACCTTCGGGATGCTGACAACAGTAGAGAACGTACTCCTGCAATGCCTCTGCAAAAAACATAATGATGTCATATCTACCAAAATTTTGAGGGGCAAACAATAAAAAAAATGGTAAAAGCTTGTCAAAATTTGTTCTTCAAACTCTAAAATATTGAAATTATTAACTCATTACCTTGGTTGAAATGCCAACATTCTGTCAGAAGTTCCTTGTTTTCTGCAGATGGTTGAGTAGATAGATCATGTGACATCATGTGACCGTCACGTGATGCTAGCTCCACCCACCTTCTTTTAATGACTGGTAAACTGAGAGGGAAAACCCCTCCTTGCCAGAAAGAGTAGCAACCATCGACTAGTTTGTTGGTACGACCCTAGAGTGAGGTGCAGAGGGGGAAGAACAGCGAGAGAGAGAGGAATGTGGCATATGCTAAATGTAGACAGTAATTGCACTGGCCCTATTGGTTTTTAGTAATAATTATATTCTCTACTAAATTTAGCCCTTAAATACTGCCACATTCCATTTACATTCTCGGACGCACTCTTTCACAGATTAACAAATCGGAGATATACATAAAGGTTGTCCCAACAATAATCCACAATAAATAGAGTATTAATTGCTCACATACACTCTTTGAGCATGTATGTATGTACATATGTGCACTGGAAACCGCCTTCCACTTTCATCTGTCTTCTACATGTCCATCTCTGTAGTGAAGAATAGGGGATACTGCAAACCATAAAAACGTATGTACAATAGGGGGCAGAGATGAAGCCATGGCTCACCAATAATCTCCTGGCATCACACAGGTGAGTTTTCTGAAGTAGCGAGAGAGCTGCAAACCCACAGAACGTGTATCCACCGTGGGCCTCAGTACCGGGAACTGTGCATCGTACATTAGACACGCAATCACATTGGGAATGCAGTGGAACTCCTCTAATCCAGACACCAATGTAAGTGTCCATGTTAGTGAGGTGTCCTGAGTATTATACAGTGGAACTCCTCTAATCCAGACACCAATGGGACAGAAGAAAGTGTCCATATTAGTGAGGTGTCCTGAGCATTATACAGTGGAACTCCTCTAATCCAGACACCAATGGAACAGAAGAAAGTGTCCATATTAGTGAGGTGTCCTGAGCATTATACAGTGGAACTCCTCTAATCCAGACACCAATGGAACAGAAGAAAGTGTCCATATTAGTGAGGTGTCCTGAGCATTATACAGTGGAACTCCTCTAATCCAGACACCAATGGGACAGAAGAAAGTGTCCATATTAGTGAGGTGTCCTGAGCATTATACAGTGGAACTCCTCTAATCCAGACACCAATGGGACAGAAGAAAGTGTCCATATTAGTGAGGTGTCCTGAGCATTATACAGTGGAACCTCTCTAATCCAGACACCAATGGGACAGAAGAAAGTGTCCATATTAGTGAGGTGTCCTGAGCATTATACAGTGGAACCTCTCTAATCCAGACACCAAGGGGACAGAAGAAAGTGTCCATATGTACATGTATCTATTATACTTATTTCAGGGGTTAAGTTGCAAACAAGAACAGTTCTTAGAGATAGAAAAGGTCCCTTGGAATCGAGTGTTGTATATACGCAGTGCCCCCCCCCCAAGCAGCCCACGGGGCTTCGTGGTTTATGTGTGTGGTCTCAATAAGGAACAACATGGTGACATCGAAGGTTCATAGGTGTCTATTAGTATGGGGCAGAACCGACTAAACGTGTCCTTCGTTCAGAGGGTCTTTTTGCATACATAAAGAAAGGGATATATATGTACAACTAACCAGCAGAAAAGCCTCCCTCGTAGGTCTGACAGCTGGATATCCAGTCAGCCGTCCGTGAGAAGAGTTCCTCTGAGAATGTGTTGGTCAAGACCGCACACACTATGGCACAGTAGGCACCTCTGAATAGGGCAGGGAGGGAGGGAGGGAGGGAGGGAGGGAGAGCAGTATTTGACCATACCACAGATTGTAGGGGCAGGAAACAGACGAGAGATCGAAACAAAGGTAAAAATTTGGCAATCTTGGATATTTGTACTGCAATCTATCCACAGTCAAAGCAAACTTTGAACAGTGACTATTTTTACTGCACTCTTCAGCTATAGTAAAAGTATTCAGGATGGTTAGTTGGCTTATCCCAAACCAATTTTCCACAGCGACTATTGTTACTGCACTCTTCAGCTGTAGTAAAAGTATTTAGAATGGGTAGTTGGCCTGTCTCTCCCCTCAATTACTCAGTAAAAGTACGAAAACTTTCTTATACGACCATATTTTGGAGGAGAATGTTCCAGAAGCCTTCCTCACCTAATGTCGATCTCTCCGTCGTCGTGCATGATGAAACTTCCATCCTCCTGCCTCATGTGGAACAGAAACCGCTGCAGAGCAGGTCTGTTGGAGAATTAGAAAAATCGCCACTGGGTAGTAGTGTGACCTCTGACCTTCTAGAACATTTCTATATACCTGTATAAGCACTTACACAGGTTCAGCCTAGGACTGGCTGAGAGTACGCTAAGTGACAGAATCAAACAAATAAAACCGAGTGCTAGTTGCCAAGTAACGGGGGCAGAGTGCTTTGCCACAGGTGGTGGAGGAACGCAAGAAAGACTCCCAATGATACTACAACCTGAACTCTTCGGAGGAACAAATGGCCTTTTGGTGTGGCAAGCAGTCGGCCCCCCTCTCCATTTTCCCTGGCTAAAACCCACACCTGTCGATGATCTTGTAGGCAGAGTCCTTCCCCAGTGAGCAGAGAGAGAGGACAGCTGCATACGTTGGCGCGAGGTGAGGTAACTGCCCCGGACCCCCTGCAATCATCAACAATAACCAATTTACATACACTTCACAGACAAACAATATCTGGACCATTATTATGTTACTCCACGACCTAGTAATACCTTAAAATTAAAATCTTTGTTGATTTATAACATGTCCTCATTCCAAGGTACGTACATGTGCTCAAATTGAGCTTACTGAAACCTAGAGCGCTTAGCTTAAACACAGCGTGAAAGAAAATCTTTGTTGAAGGTCTACCACACAAAAAAAATTATGGTTGGCCTTATAAAAAAGGGGAAGGGCCTTTTAGATAGAAGGCTAATTACATATATTTGTCATTCAGGACCCTAAATACAGTTCACTGGTAGTGAGACAGATCTTGCAGACTGTTGTTTCACCTCCAAATCCTCCGGACGGTGCCTGGCAACGAGACAAGAATTCGGTGATGTCGTTAACGAGCCCGTCCCCCAGGGGCATCCCCAAAAGTCTCATGGAGTGGACGATCCAGTACACCAGCCACGGTTGACTGGCGTCCAGGCACTCGAAAGGATGAGAGAGAGTTCGTATGCCTCTCAGCAGGTAAACTGCATGCTTTCTCTTCATCAACTGAATACTAATAGACAGAGAGGGAAGCCAGCAAAAGACACATCTGTGTGACTACAGTTTTATGCACCACACATTACAAGAATAGGTCCTCTTGCACCCCTCAGAATAAATTCTCAGCATATTTGTGATTGAGTTCAGTGGCTTTTTTATCTTACTCTTCTGCTATCTCTGCATCCCTCAGTCGCTCATATATCGACGCCACACTCCCTTCAACCAGCGCCTAATACATACAACCGCAAGTCATCGTTAGAACAACCGCATCTAAGCCCACGAGCACAGTTTGTGGGCACAAGGCTACTGCAAAAGCTTTTTTACCTGATCTTTGGTCGTGTTAGTCGGTATTCCTTCGTCTTCGACCTTGTACTGCCTCACTTTCTCTCTACAACCTTCCGCCATCGCCCAAGACGACACCCTCTGAACTTTGGTTGACCCCGCCTTCTTCTTCTCCACTTGAGCCACGTGGGTGTGTGGAAGCGACCGGTTGAGTTGGCGCGCGCCGCTAACAGTGCGCTTCTATTAGAGAAAAGTCCGAGGCTTTCTAGTTGTTGGTGGTTATGGGTGTTCCGGCGTTTTTCAGATGGCTTTCTCGCAAGTACCCGTCAATCGTGGTTGACTGCATCGAGGAGAAGGTGGGTGTTCTGAATTTGACGAAAATCTGGTCAAACTTAGCTTTTTTACCTCCTAACTAAACGGCTTTTTGAGGTTCTGTGTTTTATCCCCTAGGCAAGGGAGTTGAAAGGGTTAAAGATCCCGGTGGACGCCACTCAGCCAAATCCAAACGACGTGGAGTTTGACAATCTCTACCTGGACATGAACGGAATCATTCACCCCTGCTGCCATCCCGAGGACAAGTCCGTTCCTTCACACAGTCCCTATTCCATTCCACTAGTGTCTGTCTCTATACCATTCCATTTCTATGCGGTCTCTATTCCATTCCACTAGTATCTGTCTGTATTATGTTCAAGACTCTGTCTCTATTGTATTCCGACTGGGCGAGCGAAACAAGTCAAATTGCACAATTGTTCTACGATTGATACCGGACGATCGATCAATTATGTGTGAACATAACGTACAGCTGGTTCTTCGTTTGCCAAATGTGTTAATTTACACACTGCCCCAGTCACTACTTTTTCACGCTATTCATGCACCTATGTACACATTGTCCCCATTCCACTCCATACTGTCTCTTTCCCAATCACCCAACCTCGGATTCCACACACACACACACAATTCCATATACTATTCTAGACACATTTCCACACACTGTCCCCTTTCTGTTCCGCCTGACTTCTTGTCCACTCCATACTGTCTCTTTCCCAATCACCCAACCTCGGATTCCACACACACACACACAACTCCATATACTATTCTAGACACATTTCCACATACTGTCCCCTTTCTGTTCCGCCTGACTTCTTGTCCACTCCATACTGTCTCTTTCCCAATCACCCAACCTCGGATTCCACACACACAAACAACTCCATATACTATTCTAGACACATTTCCACATACTGTCCCCTTTCTGTTCCGCCTGACTTCTTGTCCACTCCATACTGTCTCTTTCCCAATCACCCAACCTCGGATTCCACACACACAAACAACTCCATATACTATTCTAGACACATTTCCACACACTGTCCCCTTTCTGTTCCGCCTGGCTTCTTGTCCACTCCATACTGTCTCTTTCCCAATCACCCAACCTCGGATTCCACACACACAAACAACTCCATATACTATTCTAGACACATTTCCACACACTGTCCCCTTTCTGTTCCGCCTGGCTTCTTATTGTCCCCATTCCAGTCTTTATAACTCCATTCCCCCATACGCAGGGCAGCTCCTGAAGACGAGGACCAAATGATGTTGGCCATATTTGAATATATTGACAGGATATTCAACATCATTCGCCCGCGGCGACTGCTGTACATGGCGATAGACGGAGTGGCTCCGAGAGCCAAGATGAACCAGCAGAGGTCTCGGAGGTTTAGGTCTGCAAAGGAGGGCCGGTGAGGGAGAGGGGTGTGTGGAGGAGAGATAGAGAGATGGAAGATAATAATATTCATTGCTACATAGTGACTATGGACAATTATAAGCGATTTTATCAACTCTCACTGTTGCAGACCGACAAAATATGAGAATGTTTCGGCTTCATAGGCCTTCATCCTCAGCTGGTATACAACTCATATTAAGTGCAGTACGTTCATAGATGATTTATTCAAGCACTGGTGTAAGTTGCCGGTGTAGCTAATGGTTAAAGCTCTTGCATCTGGAGCGCAGTTTTTCTGCTACCTCGGTTCGAGCCCAGCAACTACTACTTTTTTTCAACCTCACTGATGGATGGGTATAAAGGCGAAATTTCAACTGATTCCTTCGGGTCACTCATGTGGCGCAATCAGTAGAAGTGGGGACTACCAGTATAAAGGTTCCGGTGGTCGAGAGATCGATCCCGGGCTGGAAGCTGGTAGGTGGTCCAGAGCACTGGCTGGGAACAGCTCTGGTTCCTCCCCTTACCCACTCTCTGTTTGACAATACTGAGTGCCCCCCCTTCACTGGACATGTTGGCCGCATGCTCGGTGGAGTGGGTTTTTTTTCCAATAAATCTCGAAGTGGAAGTGCTTTTTTATTCGTTCTCGAAGGTGTGCAAATGTATGCCAATGTGCATTTAATTTTTTTAATGAAGTTGCGCCAGCGCTTTTAAAAAAAATTCGTTCTGAAATTTCACCAGTGTCATTTATTCTCGAAGTTGCTTTCTAAATCATATAACCCACAGTATTGTAGCAACTCTTTAGCATCCAATATCTTCCTATGTATTTCTCTGTCACACGTGTCTATCACACTTATTGTGATTTACATGAAACTTTTTTATTAATTTTGTTGGCCACATGTCCAGTGGAGTGCTTTTTTTCACTAAAAGTTGTGTCTGGTAATTTGAAGTTGCTCCAGTGCATTTTTTTTCAAACTCGACTTGCGCCGGTGGTTTGCACTTTAGTGCTTTTCATTAAAGTAGTAAGAATAGTTGGTTTGTCTCTTTTTCCACTCTTGTGCCTACAACAAATAGGTTCAGCGAGATGGAATTATGTTACCATTCCATACTCCAACTGTAGTCAAAGTATTAAGGACAGTTGGTTTGTCCCTATTTCCACTCTTGTGCCTACGACAAATGCGAAATCGTTGACACCCTTATTTAGGGGGGACAGCGAAATTTGGGCGAGATTGGGATAGGTTTAGCGAGATGGAAGATGTTACCATTCCATACTCCAACTGTAATCAAAGTGTTAAGGATAGTTGGTTTGTCCCTATTTCCACTCTTGTGCCTACAACAAATGCGAAATCGTTGACACCTTATTTAGGGGGGACAGCGAAATTTGGGAGAGTTTGTGATAGGTTCAGCGAGATGGAAGATGTTACCATTCCATACTCCAACTGTAGTCAAAGTGTTAAGGATAGTTGATTTGTCCCTATTTCTACTCTTGTGCCTCGCCCAAATTTCGCTGTCCCCCCCTAAATAAGGGTGTCAACGATTTCGCATTTGTTGTAGGCACAAGAGTGGAAAAAAGGACAAACCAACTATCCTTAACACTTTGACTACAGTTATAGTATGGAATGGTAACATCTTCCATCTCGCTGAACCTATCCCAATCTCGCCCAAATTTCGCTATCCCCCTAAATAAGGGTGTCAACGATTTCGCATTTGTCGTAGGCACAAGAGTGGAAATAGGGACAAACCAACTGTCCTTAACACTTTGACTACAGTTGGAGTATGGAATGGTAACATCTTCCATCTCGCTGAACCTATCCCAATCTCGCCCAAATTTCGCTGTCCCCCCTAAATAAGGGTGTGACCGGATGATTTCGTAACACCACTGCCTTTCCATCAAGTTTTATTGCTGGCAAACTGTGGTTTCCTTTCCCTGCAGTGAGAAGATAGACGACATTGGCAGAATAAGATCCGACCTCGAATCTCGAGGGGTGGAGCTGCCTCCGAAGAAGCCAGACCACGCCCACTTTGACAGCAATTGTATTACGCCTGGGACGGAGTTTATGGCTAACTTGGCCGTGGCTCTCCAGTACTACGTTCATGACAGACTCAACAGCAACCCTGCCTGGCAAGGAATAAAGGTAGACTAAACCTTGTTGCCGAGCGCGTTAGTGTGCGGCAACTACTCCGGGTTGTATTCTCGCGATATGCGTACGTACGTCCTCAATTAGTCACGCTTAGGAATGTCAATTAGTCACCAAAAGGAAGTGTAACTTCCGTCATTCGTAGGAAGTCTAGCTTCGTAGGAAGTCTGGCTTTGCGTGCAGTCAGTAGAGCGCGTGCACGAGCAGCCTCAGTCGGACTGTTTACGCATTGGCTGGCAGGCGCGAGGCATAATATGCGCGTGCGCATTCCTAGTTCTACTAACATTTTGTATGTATGTAACAGGCCAACTGATAGTTTGTGATGAAGTAATGATGACATCATTGTTTTGTCAGGTGATCTTATCGGATGCCAACGTTCCAGGAGAAGGGGAGCATAAAGTGATGGACTACATTAGGAAGCAGAGAGGGCAGCCTAATCATGACCCCAACACGCACCACTGCCTGTATGGAGCTGATGGTGAGGAAGATAGAGGGGGAGAGGGGAAGGAAAGAGGGAGAAGGAGAGAAGGGAGAGGGTGAAAGGGAGAGGGTGAGAGGGAGTTCATGAGGTAGAAGGGGCAACCTTGCAAAAAATAAGCAGCCAGTGTGTGGAAGTACATACATATGTACACAGTAAAATTCCCATCGTTCCCCTCCTCTCCATTATTTCTCCCTCCCCAGCTGACCTCATAATGCTGGGACTGGCGACCCACGAACCCCACTTCACAATCCTTCGTGAGGAGTTCAAACCCAACCAACCGAGGCCGTGTGATATCTGTGGCCAAGTGGGACACGACATGAAGGAATGCACTGGAGCTGCGAAAAGCATGGAAGGAGAGGTATTATCAGAACACGCTCATGCGTGAAAACTAATTTGCATTAGCTTACCGAGTCCCTGCACACGGCGCTGTTTCCCCGTGCAACCAGTACACGCATAAAAACAAACGTGCATCAATTGAAGTGAGTACTGAATAGGTTAGGCATCTCAAATCTAGAAGCCCCCGGGCCATTCACGTAGCGTCCTCGCTTTGCTCGAAACTCCACAACAATGCAAGGGCTCTCGGGCTTCGTGCGTAGATTTCACTGACTCTCGCTGTCTTACAACTAGAATATTTTTACGCTTTTTCCTCTTCCCCCCCTCCTCCTCCTCCTCCTCCTCTCTCTCTCTCTCTCTCTGATCTCTCTCCACCCAGCACGATCAGTTTGCCAACACTGACGTGGCTCTTGAGAAGCAGTTCATCTTCCTGAGGCTCTGTGTCCTGCGAGAATACCTCGAGAAAGAGCTCAGAATCGACGGACTTCCTTTCCCCTTCGACCTGGAAGTGAGTCACTAGCTATTATTTCCGATACTGCTGAGAATGCGTACCACATTTGCAAGGCACACAATAATACAAAATTGCTAGTAAATTTCCTGTCAAAATAAAAAAAATCTTCACTAAGAATAATTTTCCCCCACTCAGTGTACAACTTATATCAGAGGGCCATTGCATGCATACAATGTGGCAACAAAAGCCAAACTTGTATATACGTACGTCTCTCTTTAGAGGACCATTGATGACTGGGTTTTCATGTGTTTCTTTGTTGGAAATGACTTCCTTCCTCACCTACCTTCCCTGGAGATCAGGTATGTAACATAATTGCCGAGCGCATTAGCGTGAGGCAACTACTCCGGGTTGTATTCTCGCGATATGCGTACGTACGTACGTGTCGGTCACGCTTAAGAATGTCAATTAGTCACGCTTAGGGAATGTCAGCTTCCGTCATTCGTAGGAAGTCTAGCTTCCGCCGTGCGCACAGATTCGTAGGAAGTCTGGCTTCGCGCGCAGTCAGTAGAGCGCGCGCACGAGCGGCCTCAGTCGGACTGTTTACGCATATTGGCTGGCAGGCACGAGGCAAAATATGCGCGTGCACATTCCTAGTAAATTATGTATGCACTGCATCCCGCATGCTTCTAATCTCAACATCTAAGGATTAAAAGTGCATATATATATATATATGTAATACGCGTTCAAAGAGTGTGTGTAACTTTAATGGGCAGGTCATTTATCAGCTCTAGGAAGCCTAGGGCTCTTTCTGCTCATAAACTGTACAGGGGCCACAGAGCTTATAATGACATGTTTTTGCCATACCTTCAACAGACCTTTTAGTACATACTCCAATTGACGCACACTTGTTTTACCGCATGCGCGGGTTGCGTGGGGAAACGGCGCCGCGGGAACTTAGTAAACATGATGTGAGTTACTACGAGATTTACTGAGCGTGTTCTCACACATGGGTGTTGTACTAATTGTAATTTTCCCCTTTAGGGAGGGGGCAATAGACAGACTAATAAGGCTCTACAAACAAGTAGTCCCCCAGACTCACGGCTACCTCACTCACAATGGAACTGTCAACCTACACAGGGTACAGATGATGATGACCGGTGAGAAAAATTTTACTAGTGATCAAAATTTTACTGGTCACCCGATCAAATTTCCGGAGCATAGTTTTCGAGGTTCGGTTGAACATCTCCACAGCTCCATCGTCATTGATCAACCATTGAAATAATACTGTTATCAGCCATTCAAGTTCATTGGTTCACCAGTAAATATAATGTGTGTGCATCCACTCAAATTTTTTACTACACCTATTATTCAGACCATTCAAATTTTTACAGAGCTGGGAAAAGTGGAGGACGACATCTTCAGGACGAGAAGAGACAAGGATTTGCACTTCAAACAGAAGGCAAAGATGAGGAGGAGAGCTTCCAAGAGAAGCAGATCTGTAAGTGTACGCAGCTGTACAATTTCTATGGGTTGGGCAGTAAAATTTTTTGACACTGCCCGTTGAGTTATGTAAAAAAATTTTTAAGTTAGGTGTATTTTTTCTGCAGATGTACGATAATCCTTCGTTCACTCCTCAAGGACAGTTCGCACCTGCTGTGAGTTTTCTTTCCCCATCCCTCACGTTGTTCTCAATTTTTAAAATTATGTCCGAACCAACACGCGGCTCGACACGCATTGCGCATTTAAAATACGGAATTAGCCAGCCGTAGTATATATAGCGGAGTTGCAGCGGAATTCCTACCCTCCATTTTCCCTCCCTCTCTTCTTTCTTCCTCTCTCTTCTCTTTCTTCTCCGTTCTCTCTCTTCCCTGCTTCCTTCTCTCTCCTCTCTCATCCCTCTCTCTTCTCTTTCTTCTCCGTTCTTGCAACCTCTCTCTTCCCTGCTTCCTTCTTTCTTCTTTCTTCTTTCTCCTCCCTCCCCCTTCTTACTCTCTCTTCTCTTTCTTCTCTATTCTTCTCTATTCTTGCAACCTCTCTCTTCCCTGCTTCCTTCTTTCTCCTCTCTCCTCCCTCTCTTCTTTACATAATACTTCCACTCTCTCTTTTCCCTCCCCACTAGCCCCTCTCAGCGTCCCCCTCTCCCATCGTCAACCCTCGTCAAGAAGCCTATCAGATGAGAAAATTCAGCACGTCCGTTGCCGACAACAAATCAGCCGCTGCAAGTCTCAGAGCACAGCTGAAGGGGGGCCTGACCCCCCAGGGGGAAATTTCGTCCTCCTCGACCCCCTCGCAGAATCCGAGCAATGCCAATGGTGCTAATACACCAATCACTGCGGCAAGGAAAAGAAAGAGAGAAGGTATGTGCGTATACTGTGGAGAGCCTATATACAGTACAGTACAGTGGAACCTCCGAACAAGGGACAAGGGACAGCATGGGGCCAATTTTTGTCCCTTCTAGAGAGGTCGTCCCTATCTTGGAGGTCAAATAACATGGTAAAGTATTAGCATGGATATGAAACAAGTGTCCTTTGTAGAGAGGTTGTCCCTATCTTGGAGGGTCCCTTATCAGAGGTTCCACTGTATTACATTGTGATACATTCACATTTTTACTACTTAGCAAACTGCTTAGGGATGTTGATTTTGTGTAACCTGTGTGCGTACCTAGTCGTCTATTTTCTACACTCATATCTTTGCACTGCACACTCCTGCTATAGTGAAGGTGTTCAGGATGGTTGGTTGGCCAGTCCTTCCCCCCACTTGCTTGATAAAAGTACGAAAAGTTTAAGCCTTTTCTCTACAACCACTCCATCGATTGAGTGACATAAATCAGCTACACTCATATCTTTGCACTGCACCCTCCTGCTATAGTGAAGGTGTTCAGGATGGTTGGTTGGCCAGTCCTTCCCCCCACTTGCTTGATACAAGTACGAAAAGTTTAAGCCTTTTCTCTACAACCACTCCATCGATTGAGTGACATAAATCAGCTACACTCATATCTTTGCACTGCACACTCCTGCTATAGTGAAGGTGTTCAAGATGGTTTGTTGGCCAGTCCTTCCCCCCACTTGCTTGATAAAAGTACAAAAGGTTTTAAGCCTTTTCTCTACAACCACTCCATCGATTGAGTGACATAAATCAGCTACACTCATATCTTTGCACTGCACACTCCTGCTATAGTGAAGGTGTTCAAGATAGTTTGGTTGGCCAGTCCTTCCCCCCACTTGCTTGATAAAAGTACGAAAAGTTTAAGTCTTTTCTCTACAACCACTCCATCGATTGAATATCAGCTACACTCATATCTTTGCACTGCACCCTCCTGCTATAGTGAAGGTGTTCAAGATGGTTGGTTGGCCAGTCCTTCCCCCCACTTGCTTGATAAAAGTACAAAAGGTTTAAGCCTTTTCTCTACAACCACTCCATCGATGGAGTGACATAAATCAGCTACACTCATATCTTTGCACTGCACACTCCTGCTATAGTGAAGGTGTTCAAGATGGTTGGTTGGCCAGTCCTTCCCCCCACTTGCTTGATAAAAGTACGAAAAGTTTAAGCCTTTTCTCTACAACCACTCCATCGATTGAAAATCAGCTACACTCATATCTTTGCACTGCACCCTCCTGCTATAGTGAAGGTGTTCAAGATGGTTTGTTGGCCAGTCCTTCCCCCCACTTGCTTGATAAAAGTACAAAAGGTTTAAGCCTTTTCTCTACAACCACTCCATCGATGGAGTGACATAAATCAGCTACACTCATATCTTTGCACTGCACCCTCCTGCTATAGTGAAGGTGTTCAAGATGGTTGGTTGGCCAGTCCTTCCCCCCACTTGCTTGATAAAAGTACAAAAGGTTTAAGCCTTTTCTCTACAACCACTCCATCGATGGAGTGACATAAATCAGCTACACTCATATCTTTGCACTGCACACTCCTGCTATAGTGAAGGTGTTCAGGATGGTTGGTTGGCCAGTCCTTCCCCCCACTTGCTTGATAAAAGTACAAAAGGTTTAAGCCTTTTCTCTACAACCTCCAGCATGGAGTGACATAATCAGCTACACTCATATCTTTGCACTGCACACTCCTGCTATAGTGAAGGTGTTCAAGACGGTTGGTTGGCCAGTCCTTCCCCCCACTTGCTTGATAAAAGTACAAAAGGTTAAAGCCTTTTCTCTACAACCACTCCATCGAATGAGTGACATAAATCAGCTAAAATGTTGCACTTCCATTTGCTCGTCAATTAAAGCATTAAGAGTTCAAATAAGCGTCATTCTTCTTCTGCACAGACAGTGACAGTGAGAGCGAACCGGAAGACAACGTGAGGTTGTGGGAGGACGGGTGGAAGGAGCGTTACTATAACAACAAGTTCGGAGTCCCGGCGGACGACGAGGAATTTGTTAAAGCGGTGGTGAGTAACCTTATCTTTCGATTGACGTAAAAATCATAATTGGCATGCGTGACATGTGTAACTATGTTGTATTACATGGCTGTTGTCTGAAAGTCCCAGTAATGTAATGAATGCAGATTCCGATAATTTTCCTTAATTTGTATCAAACATTCCGCCACATGCATTAAATTTATTCCACATGTATGAAATTCAGGTGAACCACTTCGTTTTTCTTGCCATATTTGGACATAATTCTTGTCCATATTTTATCCCCCATATTTTATCCCTACACCCTTTTTTCTTTCTCTTGCAGGCGTCTGCCTATACTGAAGGGCTTTGCTGGGTGCTTGCGTACTATTATCAGGTACATGTACATACGTACATACAATGTACATGTATATATGTATATACAGGGGAACCTCTCTAATCCGAACACCAAAAGAAGTGTCCATATTAGTGAGTTTCAGGGGTTAAACTTCTTGCACGACCTGTTCTTTGGGAAGGAAAAGGTGTCCTTACTAGAGAGGTGTCCTCATTTCAGGGGTGTCCTCAGAGAGAGGTAATTTTGAAACAGAGATGTTTGTGTTTTCGATGCAATCATTGCCGTCTCTCTCTCTCTCTCTCTCTCACTCTCTCTCTCTCTCTCTCTCTCTCTCACTCTAAAAGGGTTGTTCGTCATGGAAATGGTTCTACCCGTACCATTACGCTCCCTTCGCCTCCGACTTCAAAGACATCACAAAAGTCAGAAACACCTTTCCTCGCGGAGAAGACGCCCCCTTTAGACCACTCGAACAGCTCATGGGGGTTTTCCCTGCAGCCAGCGGGAAATTCCTGCCTCCAGCTTTTAGAGCGCTCATGTCCGAAGAGGTACAGTTTATTTTTGGTCAGGAAGAAAAATTCCCGCTTTTAGAGCGCTCAAGTTTTATGCTGTGTAGCATTTTTTTCTTTGAGGATAAAAAATTTTTAACTTGCTGCACTCATGTCTGAAGTATTATATTATACTCGACATGTAGCGTTTTTTCATTGTTGCAAAATATTTTTCCTTTCCTTTTAATTCTGAAAAATCGAAGCTGTGAGTCCAGGTGCATCAAGAATAAAAATCAGCTGTATTTTTTAAAACTTACTGCAACAGAAATTTATAAATGGTGCTCTTACACCCCCCAGCATTCTACCATCATTGATTTCTACCCGTCTGATTTCAAAGTCGATTTGAACGGGAAGAAGTACATGTGGCAGGGTGTGGCTCTGCTGCCGTTTGTCGACGAGAGTCGGCTTCTCAGAGCTCTCAAGGATTTCTACCACACCCTCTCTCCCGAGGAAGGTCTGTTGTATTTCTGGTCTTTTCTCTTTTCTTTTTAACACTGTCTTCTGTGTACATGTGTGCGTGTGTACTCCTGTTTTCATGATATCGTTAATAATTGTTTACTTTCTATGCTCTTTGCAAACCTCTTTTCTCACTCTTTTACTTTCTGTCTGTCTGTTTGTAAATGGGTCGTTGGCGTGGTTCTATGCTTATTGCTTTACCGATTTTCTCTCTCTCTCTCTCTCTCTCTCTCTCGTCCTCTTCCTCTCTCTCTCTCTCTCTCTCTCTCTCTCGTCCTCTTCCTCTCTCTCTCTCTCTCTCTCTCATCCTCTTCCTCTCTCCCTGCTCTATCTAGAAAAAAGGAACAGTTTAGGCTGCGATCGTCTCTACGTCCACCGACAGAACAGGTTTTACCCGTTTCTCAAAACACTCTACGAGTCCAGTTCCGATTCTACCAAGAACCAGGTATGGGAATGAACCCGCCGCTTCAACCCCACCTCACCATTGTCGCTTTAACCCTTTCCAGCTGGTGGAGATTAACCCCGAGCACACACAGGGCATTAGAGGAACCGTTTTACTGGACGAGAGCATGGAAGAGGTGCTCTCCAATAGGGGTGATGTGAAATCGACTGTTGCTTCACTTCCTGACATTCAGCAGTCATTTGCAATTGGGTAAGTCAAACACCATCTGAGAAGGCGAAGTTTAATTGTGTGAAGTTTATTATGAAAACTTAACAGATCACATGTAAGTACAAGTGAAACATTGCCGGCTATAATAAACGCAGCTGCTGTAACAGAAAATCAACACCTTTTGAATCCAACACCAATAACACCACACTTTCATGTGTATTTACATTTTCACAACAAAAAGCAATTCTCTCTCCCCTAAAATTGCCCCCCAGGGTTAAATTTCAGGACCCCTCGTACCCCATGGATCACATCTACCCTGCAGTATTGCTCCCAGGTGTACGCCCCCCACCGAGGGTTCTAAAACCAGGAGGGGGAAATTTCACTGGTTCCCCCGGTTCTTACAGACCCCATATGGGGTTCTCTTCCAGGGGTTCAAATTTTACCCCTCGGGGAACATCCGGTCCCGCCCATCGGATGATAAGGTTAGTTTGGAGTTTTCGTGAAACTCGTTCATGAACCGGTTTTTCCTGTTTTGTTAGGCATGCAATGTCAGACCCACGAGATCATAGACCAAATCATTCGTCGTATGATCATCAATATACCCCTTCTCGATACCGACCTGAACATCAAGGTATAATAATAAAACAGCTCACTTGTATAATTATGTATATATACTGCATAATATAAAAATTTGGCAGAGAAAACTAGGTTTAGTGAGGCAAAAATAATTTTTATACCAAATTTTTAGGTGTACAAAATCGCCACCAGTAATCTGTTGAGGTTGTACGTATGAGTAATCTTTACTACCAATTTTTACGTAAATACCTCAAACTCTCTTGTCTTTCAGCTCCTGGCTATGCAAACTGGCAACCTCTCCCTCCTCCTCCTCCTCATTTTTCCTACGGAGCTTCTCCTCCAAGATTTCGTCCCCCAGATGACTACCGCCACTCACCTCGACCACCTCATTCTAGCTCAGTTAGGGCCTTTGCCTTGCTCTCTCTCTCCTCTCCTCTCCCTCACACACACACACACACACACGCACCTCACTCCCCCTCTCTTCTAAAAGTATACTGTACCCAAAAAAGTAAAGAGAAAGTGGGGCTAAGGGGAGGGAAAATTTCTCCAAAGGGACACAGAAAAGAAGAGAAAAAGAAAAAAATCTCTCTATTTGCGCGACATAAGGGACTATATTATCACAAATGGCAGTGAACTAACCGACCTTACTGGGCTTAACCACACGTATACAGTACTTCTAGTTTTCATCGAGTGCTTGCGTGTGATCCGAAAGATCACATATCACAAACGCCTCGTGTGTTAACAAGACGCTCACCAGAATATCTACTGTACCACACGTGTGTTGGTCATGTTTCTCAAGCCTCATCCAAATATAGCTACACAGCGTGGTAGAATAGCGACTTGTGGTGGGCCAGTCATACCAGCTCATATTTCAGCCTGGTGGTCAGTCATGCAGGCACAGTAGATCCCTTGACAATTGACCACGTAATCCTACGGGAATCGCGGCAAACTTATGGTTAGTTATCTGAACATGAATGTCGGTCGTCACGGCATGTCGAACATACAAGCCACCGGCACATTTTTTACATCTCCATGCCTCTATTAATTGGTGCATGCTCACCTAGTGATCTTATACACAGGGCTCTAATGATCCCAAATACGCATGATAAATGCATTCAAAATTCCAGTAATATTATTATTGATTGGAGGATGTCATACAAGCACGGACAGTTGTACACAAATTTTTGTGGTGAGGAAAGTATTTGATTGGAATGCGAGCAACGTTGTGTATTCTCCATTCATTCCTTATGCACCTTTTGAAGCAGCTGCTTTCTACTATATTTAGGCCAACGATGTGAAGGGGGTGAGGTTGTGTAATGAGTGGTGTATAGGAACCCAGAGGTGGCATTGCATTGTGTGGTTGTCGTGGTGATACCGGTGGGAGTAATTAAAATTAAGCGGATGTGGAATGGCAAGGTCAGGTGACCTTTAAGGGTAGCTGACTTTTCTCAGGCTCAGGGTACGTCTCATCTCCTTTAACCCCATTTCTTCTTTCATTTCCTTACTAAGTCGGTAATTGGGAAGACTAGTGTTAATAGGGGTTATTGCTTAGTGCACATCTGGTCACTCTGGCTGAGTTTGACAGAAGGTAAATCTCTTACTTGGACTACGCAACATGATTAATTCAGAGCTCCCAAGTCAATTATTGTGACATCATCTGGACGCCGGCAGCAAGATTTCCCAATTAACTTGCACTATGCAATTTTAACTTCACCATTCTCTCACTATAATTATACCAGACATTAGCACACTTCTTTCGGGTCTTGGGCACTCTTTTCTTTATATACATTCATTAAAGTTTCATGAACTTAACTTTTTCCTTTTTCTACACAAACTGAACTATTTCTCCCCACCCATCTTTTTGCAGTGGCCTCCTAACTATCGCAACTACTGAAGACTGTAAAATTATCATTTCCCATGGATTGCCATGTGAACTTCAAGACCTTTTGAACGTTTTATTTTCTGCACAAAACTCCTGTATCATACTAATTGCACATGAAAATTTTGAAAGGTTTGTTCGTGTAACGTTAAAATAGAGAGAAGATTCACTTCCGTTCCATTATAGTGGGCGGGAAACAGCGCACCGCATCCACGCGTGCGTAAAAGTGCCGACAGACTGAACCTTAGAACCAGTGCAGTAGGACGAGGATCGAGTCCTCCGAAAAAAACTCCGACAAAAGTTTACAGTTTATTACGTAGCTATTCTTCTTAGGGTTATCACTTATGCACAGGACGATATGTACGGAATGAGTATGGAGCTGGGAAGAAGAAGAGTTCAAGTTCATGCAGCAATACTAGTCATCGGATGGTACGTTTCCTTGGGTCAAGGGGCCGCAGAAGACAAGCTGCACTGGGCGAACGTAACGAACCGAGCCGCGTTGTGCAACGACTTCACGCAGGCCGGATTTTTCCACCGCCGTCCGACAGAAAACGGAGCAGGAAAGTGGATAATTTACCTCGAGAGCGGCGCCGTGTGCTACTCGAACGAAACATGCAACCGGCGATATTTCAACTCCACTATACAAGACCGAGAAAGCAAAGACAGACACGCCAATAACGGCTATGGGGATTTCGATACGACTGCAGCCTTTAGCAAGTACAAGGAAACGAACTTCGTCAATCCGCTCATGACTTCTATGCTGTGTTTCAACGATACCCGTTTCTTCCCGGATGGGTTGCACATCGAGGGAAAAGACTTGTTCGATAGGAGTACAAATCACACTTTGGCTGATCACGGTCAAGTGGTTATACCTTACTGTAGCAGTGACGTATGGTTAGGTGGAGAAGATGGGACAAGACATGAAGATATTATTGATGATACTCCGTATGGTTGTAGGCAGTTTAGGTATGTTCCAGATGCTGATGGACTGCAGTTTACATTTCGTGGAAAGATAATCTTCCAGAGTGTTCTGAGAGACTTGGATGAGATGTACGGTCTTAGCACCACAGCGACTGAACTCATTCTCGCCGGTTCTTCTGCTGGTGGTGTGGGGGCGATGAACTTAGCCAAGTGGGTCGTGCAAGAGTTCCCTAACCTGACCGTCAAAGTGATTACTGATTCTGCGTGGTTCGTTAACTTTCGTGATGGAATAAACCACCAGTTTGCTGGCCTACAGAAATTAAGTGCCCCATCAGGCAATGACAAAACTGATACAAATCAACCAACCTCATCCTCTGTTCCCATTGGACAATCCAGTCATGTGACTGCAACCCAAAGTTACATGATCTCTTCTATCACAAATGAATACACCTCATCATCCTCTGTTCTCATTGGACAATCCATTCATGTGACTCAAACCCAAAATTACATGATCTCTTCTTCAAAGACACACAGCTCCATGTTTACAACCCCCTTAGCGACCCCTTCACCCTCAATCATGACCTCGTCACTCAATATTCCGATCCCCACCCCAGCAAGTGGAAGCGGAAGTGGAAGTGGTGACAATAACGAAGAGGAAGCAACGAATGACGACGAAATGATGAAGAGATATGCTCCATTGGAGTTTGAAGCAAATCGCTACGCGGATCATCGCGACCGGCGTGACTTGACAAGTCAGGATGATGGTGACCTCCTAAAAATGTTTAAATCGCACGAATCTTGCATGGATACCAGCCGTGGTTTCCCCTGTTGTTTATCAGCCCAATGCCTTCTCTCGGGCTATAACCCAGTCACCAACGAGCCTTATTTCCCCAGAAATGTCTCTCTGTTTGTCATAACCAGCCTCTACGATGCCTTCATTCTGAGTCGAGCTATAAGCGATGTTCAGGTGTACAGTTCCGATAGCGACAGCATACCTATTGGTCTCGCAGTGGAATATCTGACTGTGGTGGGGGAATACGGAGGTGTCATGCATAATTCGCTGGTGGAAGTTCAAGAATCAGATATCGACCTCACATTCTATGCTTCGCAGTGCTTTCAGCACATATACTTCGTCACTTCCTCCTTGTGGGGCGAAGGACGCTTGTTCGGTTCAGACCCAGTACAGATCAATTCAGACATCGGTGCATTCAGGTGAGCTATGAATATAATTGACGATATCAAAGCCACAATAATTGTTTCTTTAATAAGCAGGTTGATGTTCTTGTATTACCCTGAGGTTTGGTTGAAACCTCTTATACAAGACTCTGAAAAAGGACCCTCCCAAATAGACACCTCTCTATACTTGGTTTTGTCCCATACTAGTACAAAAATAATACCCCTGACTAGAGGATAAAGGACCCCACTTTCACTGTCCCTAAGGTGTTCCTTCTTGAGAGGGCGTCTCTTTATATTATACCCTCCAGCCATTATTTACAGCGGAACAGTATTTGATATCTCAGTGTTAAAGCCAGTATAAGCTTTCTGTGTGCTGTTGAAGTAGCCTCGTTCAAAGGATGTCTAAGTGCCCTATTCAAAGAGTAATTCTAGCTTGTGGGTAGCTCTCTGTGGCAGAGGAATGCTGGAAACCCTGGTGCCAGAGAGAGAAAACCAACGTTGTTTGCATTCCTTCTCATTTTCTACCAGAACACCAGATTCAGTTGTATGAATTGTGAAATTGAGCCACGCAGACAATGTGCTTAGAATGGCAACTTTAACCCCAAAATGGCCTTTCCTAGTCACTGTACAAGTGTCTTTGGCCACTGAAGCCTGCGAATTCACGTATTTCTTCGTGTTATGTGAATTATCGTATGTGCAAACAGAATAATGTAATTCACGGGAGTTTACAAATAATCATTAGGACCGGCCCATACAAAGTGCATGTAGGTGTGACAAAATCAACTCTTTATAGACCGTGGCAACTCCCTCTGGAGAGGAAGAACTTGAGGAAATGCTCGTGAATTTGCTTTTAGGAAAACGTCGACCTGTTTTTGCCTTGTAACTATGTCTCGTGCATCTGTGCATGCATGGTGCGGGTACCTGCCTATAGTCATAACAGAGGTAGTATGAAGTATTTGAAATATGGAAGTATTTGAGATATGGAATGGAATCAGTTCGTGTAACTAATACCACGCATGCATGGTGCGGTACCTGCCTAAGTCATAACAGAGGTAGTATGAAGTATTTGAAATATGGAAGTATTTGAGATATGGAATGGAATCAGTTCGTGTAACTAATACCGCGCATGCATGGTGCGGTACCTGCCTAAGTCACAACAGAGGTAGTATGAAGTATTTGAAATATAGAATGGAATCAGTTCGTATAACAATACCACGCATGCTATGCATTGCGCAATGCATTGCGCAATGCATCCCCTCTTCCCCTTAATATATCAACTATAGGTAGATATATACTGGTCATATTACACTGCTCTATTTCTAAGAAAGTGTAACGTATTTCCGTCATTGTTTCCAAATGTCGTTCCTGCAATAGATCAAAATGCAACGAAATTTGATTTGTGGTTTTACTGATTTATTTCACTACTAATTTGTAACCGATCTGGTGTATATACAGCTGAATGGAACCCATGGTCAGTTAAGGAGCCAGCGTCACTTGTGATATCACACATATATACATTTGAATCATTATTCAAAGTCCACAATTACTTGTCAATTAACACACGATCTTGAAGAAAACGAATGTGTCCATTTTAGTGAGATGTCCTTATTTCAGGGGTGTCTTTAGAGAGAGGGCTGCCATAATACCAAGCATCCCCATCATTGTTCCAAAACCATATCAATATGGTTGGCGGATCTCCCTTACAACTAAATAACCCGAAGCGTTGTTGATTCAGCGTGTGATTGCATCACACCTAGCTAGCTATACGTGTCATTTGCCATCTGCTGGTTCAGGGTTGCAGCTGGTCGTCTGCTAATCAAATTATTGCCTTAATGCTCATTGGATATCAACAGTTCCCATCCCCCTTAGCATTGTGACACGCACTGCTGGGGCTTACGACGACAACAAGTGCCTTAAACCACAGTCACTTGTGCAGTTGAGACCACAGACTTCTGTAATTCCCAACAGACTGTGTATGTGTGTCCAGACAGTATATATTGTCCCTATGCTGCCTTCCTCAAGAATCTCTAATCACAACATGCCCATCGCTATAATTATGTACTTAGTGATAATAATTGTGATTTACCTAACATTGAGTGGAAATCTTCTCTAAGGACACCTCTCTAACGAGGACTCCTTCTGTTTCCCAAAGAACTGTTCTTGCGTGAAATAAGGACACCTTACAAAATGAACACTTTTCTGTCCCGTTGGTGTCTGGATTAGAGCATTCCAATGTACACATTTAACTGTCTCCATTCAACTTTTGCTGGATTTTGAACATCACTGTGTTTTCCAGGAAGGTTCTGAGCTAGCTAGGCCTCTCATTTTGGGGGAGTCAAATTGCTTGTAACTCTCAGAAAATACTCACAATTATGCAATATATGAAACATGTCTAACTCACTTATCGAAATGCTGGTGCGTCACGTCACGTTTGAGAGGCCATGCTTGTGCATGTGCATTCGTTAAATTGATATCCCACCACCTCATTCTTGCAGATTATTTCGTTTCACATCGTGTGTGTGTTCACGTACCACCCACTGGCCTCCTCACACTAACTGTTCCCATCAGTGGCATCCGAAGAATGCATAAATATTTATCCTCAAATCGCGACAGTTTTGCAATCCCGATGCAGCACGCATGGTTAATCACTTCCTCCTTATTACTGCAGCAAAGTCAATGGATCCTCTCTGAAACTCTGTGATAAGAATCCTTTCACTAATGCTCGTCTATGTAATTGAATCCCTGAAATAAGTTAATATGGACACACTTTTCCCCATATTGGTGTCGGAATTAGAGTGGTTCCAGGAAAAGGGACATTATAAACTTCTATCTCACCCTCAACAATGCCTCATGTTTGTGCAAATTTTAACCCCTAAGGTTTGGTCACCCTGGAAACAGTGTAGTGATCAGATACCGTTTTTGGTTCTTAGTGGGATAAAATAATAATATGTTCTCCTTTTCCGTGTATGCATTCTAGGGAATTGTATGTACACATGTGATTTCCTCTTACAAGTGCACTAACTTCCTGTCTGAGACAGGGAGGGAATCTTTGACATCTGTACATCTAAAGAACAGTGAATCCCCGGACACCTGTGGGATGGAAGAAAGTGTCCATATTAATGAGGTGTCCTTGGTTCAGGGGTTGAATTGCATAAGCTCTTATAGTTCTCGATTCAGGGGTTTCCTTTAGTTAGGAGTTCCACTGTATAAACATCGCATGCTGTTGTCTGTTGTATGGGTTGTATAATGTATGTGAATTGTAACTTAATAGTTCAATTCACAGACATAAATAACACCAGACATGAACAAACATGTCTGCAGGTACCTCATTTGTTCCATAACAAACAGATGTACACATTGCCATGTTTTCATGTATACCTACTTTGTTTTTGTGTAATAGTTGTAAAACCATGTGTAATAGTTGTAAAATCATGTGCACTGTTGTTCATAGTTTGTTATGTTGTTACAAGATTAATTACAACCACTTACACAGATGTGCATATTTTCGCATAGACAGCATGTCTAACCAACATGTAAGTCCAAACTATTTCCATGTTTTCATGTATACCTACTTTGTTTTTGTGTAAACCATGTTGTGTAATAGTTGTAAAACCATGTGCACTTGCTTACATGTTGGTTAGACATGTTGTCTGTGCTAAAATACGCACATCTTGTAAGTGGTTGTAATTAATCTTGTAAGTGGTCCTTACAAGTACATGACGTCTCCTTGTAGTTTCCTTGTAGTAATGTTGTAGGGTTGTAGTGGAATGTGGGCATTCTTTGTACATTTCCCCCCACAGCTGCTCTGCATGAGCTACAAGATTATGTACAAATGGTGTACAAATCATGTAAAACTCAGCCTTTCTCAGAGAAAGGGTTGCAGTATTGAAGTGGGCTTGAAGACTACCTCTCCGCATTGTTCTTTGCTAGCTAGGCGGCTCAGTTGGGGGAGTGAAATTGCTCAATGAGATTTATTTTTGCCCCATACCACCTACCTACCCACCCTGACCCCTCACTTCCTTGTTTGCACACTAAAACATTCTTTTGGTATTGTTTTGTATTGTCCCATTAAACCTTATTGTTCGCAGACATGTTCAGAGTCTCAGCATAGGTGGTAGCAAGAAACAATGAGTAAAATCAAACAGGGCAGCCCAGCCCATTATAGTAGACCTGCACATGCATGTGGGGTCACTTGCCCAATGGTTTGTCACTTTTGTGCTTTAGTTGACACCTTGGCCTTTGTATAGTTAGTAGCAAATAGCATCTGAACACCTCACTACTTGTGGTTTAGGGTGTGTATACTATGTGAGCTATCTGATAACACTTATCAGACAATGAGACTGTTACTTCGCCATAGATACTGTTTTAAGGCTGTAGCTGACGGTCATTCCGCTGTTCTTCCATTCCCAGACACACGATCCAGTCTGGAGTTTGGAACAGTGCCCCACTGGCATACGACAATGGCACGACCTACACCATAATGGACGCCATCAATGTTTGGTACCATGGGAATGGAAGCAGGGGAATGAATTTCCGAGATATGTGCCAGACCCCACACTGCAACGAGGAGTGCCCCGAGAGTTTCATTTTTAACCCCTTGCGACCCAAGGAGTGGCCATTGGTGGCCAGAGTTGCAGTGGGCACAGCTGTGGTGGCGGTTGCCATTTTCTGCATTCTGTTGAAGGTGAGCTTGCACATGCAGATCTTTCCTCTCTCCTGTTTGTACTGTTTTCCTGCCCCTACATGTTATGTGCCACCTTTTTCATTTGTTCAACTGATAAATTTCTCCCCCTCCCTAACTTCAGAGACCTTGTAACTTTTTTATCCCCTCTACACCTCCACCTCCCACAATTTTTGCATTGCCCCTCCTTCCCTTCCTCCACCTTTCATAAATTATTCTTCCCTTTGTTTTCTTCCACCTTCCATAAGAATTTCCCTCTTTACTCTCTCCCTCTCCCTCCCTCACTCCGATGTGCCACTGCAGACCTATTTCTACCTGTGGCTGAAATGGCTGGAGCACAAGCAGACAATCTACCTCAACTCCATAACACCAGTTGATCCCGATGAAGAGGACCCTATCAGTGGTACGGCCATGGAAGAAGGACTGCGGAGAGAGGTAAATATCTTTCAAACTTATCTCCCTCTCCACTCTATCAACTGTAGTAAAACTAGAGTTGCCAGAAAGTTCTCATGATTTCAGCTGTTTCTAATATCAGTTTCTTGGCTTTTGGGTTTGGTTCTCTTTGACTGCTGTTGCTTTCCCTGGAAAGTGTGTGAGGTTGCCCAAGTTCAAAGTTTACCTGGGTGGTCAGGTGGGGACAGTTTTGTAAACAAGATACGCAATCCAGCTACAAATTGGCGTCCTGTTTATATGGAGCAAACCTGAACGAATTTCCTGCTTAAATGACACTTGCTTTTAGACCTACTCTAGTACTACAAGTCCTGTTTATATGGAGCAAACCTGAACTTTTTGTAAGTAATATCCAGTAATTTATTGGTCACGAATTTCTTGCTTAAATGACACTATGCTTTTAGACCTACTCTAGTACTACAAGTCCTGTTTGTATGCAGCAAACCTGAACTTTTTGTAAGTAAATATCCAGTAATTTATTGGTCACGAATTTCCTGCTTAAATGACACTTGCTTTTAGACCTACTCTAGTACTACAAGTCCTGTTTATATGCAGCAAACCTGAACCTTTTGTAAGTATATCCAGTAATTTATTGGTCACGAATTTCCTGCTTAAATGACACTTGCTTTTAGACCTACTCTAGTACTACAAGTCCTGTTTATATGGAGCAAACCTGACCTTTTTGTAAGTAATATCCAGTAATTTATTGGTCACGAATTTCCTGCTTAAATGACACTTGCTTTTAGACCTACTCTAGTACTACAAGACACGTTTCGCAAGTAACAATAAGATAATTTGCTCCCGCCCAGTTTTGTGCGGTAGGAAATCTGATCCATTTGTGTACAGTTGTGCAATGTTGTATATCTACACTTGATCAGTTTGTGTGCATCTGTGCAGTGTTGCATCAACACATAGTAATGTTTGCACATTCGTAGTTTAAAACATTATGCTAGATACTAGGATAGAGTGAACTATACATTCCTGAGTTTCGGAACGGTCACTTATGCAATCCAACTCTTCCTTGTTCGGTTATCTCACTCCTTTCTCTCTCTGTAATAGTTTCCAATGTGCACGGCGACGCAGGCCATATCAGTAGCATGTCTGGACCTTCACTACTCGGTCACCACTAGAGTCGGCAAACAACTGAAAGACGAGAAGAAGGAGAATTTCGCACCGATAGTTTTGGACGACCTGAGTCCAGAGAACGAGCTGAACGGATCGGAAACCGACCCTCAGGAAGAACCTAGTGAATGTGACGGTCAGTTACACTGTAGTTGTTGATTACCCTTCTCTAAGGACACCTCTGAATTGAAGACACTTCTCTATTAAGGACACCTCTACTTTCACTATTGTTATGTCTCCGCTGAAGAATTCTACCTAACTAGAGGAATAGGTAACCATGCACGGAACTCCTTTAACTTAGAAGGTGCAATGCCCACTCAGATTGCAAAAGTTCTGGGACTTGGTTGTCATGTCGGCGCGATGGCACGCGCACCAGGTGTTACGCGCATGCGCTGGTACAATAAGCCGTCCTTTCAGCCAGCACTTCAGTTCGTCTAAAGCCGACCGAAGCCAAGGACATCAGAGATTTTCTTTTCTTTTCTTCTTTTCTTCTTACTTCACCTTGTTTGTTGTTTTTGTTCAGAGGTGCTGGAAGCTGGTAGGAGAAGAACGATGTCGTCCTCCTCCAACGCTCTACAGAAACTGAAAAATGCCTTCTCACAAGTACGTTGACAACTTCCACCTCTCTTTCCCTCTCTTCCACTCACTCACTCACTCACTCCTTCCCTCTTTCCTCTCCTCTCCCTCCATCACTCCCTTCTGTCTCCCATTGTTCTCTCTCTCTCTCTCTCTCTCTCTCCTTCTCTATGTAGCACCACACCGGCACATATCACGTTCCAACATTCCGAGACGAAAATATCGACGAGTCGATCAACCGCATGACAAACGGCAACGTACCAAAAAGAAAATGGTCCATTCGTCCGTCGCTGCACGGTCGCGTGTCTCGCAGTTCCGACAACTCTCAAGACACTTTCGAGGAAGTGCCGTTGAGGACCTCGCGGACTAGCGACATGTGCTCTGGTCTGATGAAGAAAGTGTTCAGAACGAAGAGGAAGAAAATTCTGAAAGGGATTTCGGTTTACTTTAACCCCGGAGAGATGATTGGAATCATGGGGCCTTCAGGTAAAATTTTTCTGTGGCAGTGTAAAAATTTTTATGACGTGTCATTTAAAAATTAGGTTGTGGCAAGACTACTTTTCTCGATATCTTAACCGGACGACGCAAAAGTGGAATTTTTTCCGTAAGTCAAAATTTGCCTACTTGCACCGATCATAAATTTTTACTGGCATCAATCATAATTATGTCAGGGTCAAATTTTCATCAACGGGGTCCCACTTGAGGAGAATCGCGAGTGGTACACCAGCAATACCGGTTACGTCATCCAGTTGGCGAGACCGTACTACGAAGAGCTAACGGTGAGAGAGAATTTGACGCTGGCTGCTTGGATCAGACTGAAGGACACCGCAAGAGAGAAATTTCAGAGAGTGGAGCAAGTCATGGACGTGGTGAGGCAGGGAGAGCTAGTGAGCAAAGGGTTAACTTGTTTGAATTGAGAGTAGTAAGCAATGTAGTGAGCAATGTAGTGAGCGATGAATTGAGCAATGTAGTGAGCGATGTATTGAGCGATGTATTGAGCATGTAGTGAGCGATGTAGTGAGCGATGTATTGAGCGATATTGAGCGATGTAGTGAGCGATGTATTGAGCAAAGGAGAGAGAGAAAAGGGTTATTTTGAAAGGTCATGGGGGTGTATAAAATGAGATTAGCAGTCACTGAACAAGTCATGGATGTGGAGAGGGGTGAAATAGCTTTCCCTGTACTTGTGATATTAACCTTCTCAAACTATTTAACCCTTTCACTCCTCCCCTATCACTACACAGAGTGGTCTACTGGATCTGGCAGACACAGTGGTGGGCGGGGCTACTGGTCCGGGGCTCAGCGGAGGTCAGAAGAGACGACTGGCTGTGGCATTGCAGCTGCTCAAACTACCCAGTGTCATCTTTCTCGACGAGCCCACCTCGGGTTAGTAGAGATGTATTTCAAAAGGAAGGGGAAGAGGTGGGGCCGTGTGTAAGGAAAGAGAGAGGAGTGGAAATATCTGATCAAATGGATGTTTGCTCATTGACACCTACACATGTGTGCACACAAGCACAACTGTTGGAATTTCGAGAGCGTGTCATCACCAGATATTGAATTCTGTACTTCATTATCAACTTTCCTCTCTCATTCCACACACAAATATAATTACATAATTACACGTGCATGTGTGCATGCACTTGAATGGATACAGAGCAATAAATTTATTATTGAATGTCGTATTACACTGTACAATAAGTAGGTTTGCGACACTTTTAGGGATACTCTCTCTCTCTTCTCTCTCTCTCTTCTCTCTCTCTCTCTTCTCGTCTGCTCTCTCTCTCTCTCTTCTCTCTCTCTCTCTTCTCTCTCTCTCTTCTCTCTCTTCTCTCTTCTCTCTCTCTCTCTTCTCTCTCCTCTCTCTTCTCTCTCTCTCTCTTCTCTCTCACTTCAGGATTGGATGCGGCTTCCTCGCGCGAGCTACTAGCCCACCTCAACAACTTGGCCGGGTCCAACCGTACAGTGGTCCTCACAATCCACCAACCAAGACTCGAGATTTTCCACATGTTCGACCGACTTGTTCTCCTGTCCGATGGAAAGGTGGGTAGATAGATGTCTTAGTTTCGCAGTCAGACAGTTAGGCGGTGGCTTAATTGTGAAAAATCTCCGTCTCTCTCTCTCTATGACAGGTGGCTTATCACGGAGTGCCAGACAAGGCGTACGAGGTGTTTGTGAACGCACTTCGGTCGCGCTATCTTCAACAGCGGCTCATCATACCTGATTTGGAGGACAGGAACCCTGCTGGTCAGCCAACCACACACAACATGAGATATTCAAACATTCCAGTACATATGACAACTTTTTCACGGTTTTGCATCATTAGAACGTATGAATGAATAATTTGTCAGCAATTCTGCACAAACTGTCACAAAAAAACTTTCCATTTTCAAGTTATCCTCTTGTTAGGAATTTCATTATCATGCATTGTAGTAATAAACATTATACCAGTTTGAAAGGGAATACTTAACTCGAATAAACAAAAGCACAAGAGGACTATTTTCACAAGGAAATGACACGTTTTAAAAAAACACTCTTCTCTGTGTGTGTGTGTGTGTGTGTGCGTATGTATGTAGATGTGATTATGGACATGTTGGGTAACCAGAAGATGAGACAGCTGATCACAGACTATTACCAGTCGTCAGGGGAACCCAACCTCGTGAACCGGGCAGTGCAGCAGGCGTGGACCAGGGAGAGGAAATACTCTCTCGATCTGATAGACGGGAAGGAGGGAGACGGAACATCCTTCTGGACTCAGCTAAAGTGTGTAGTTGCCATTTTTATTGTTTGTCCTTTTTGCTTTTGGTTGTGCTTTTTTTATCTCTTTCTTAAGGTTTGGGTTTAGTGTCGCTAATGCTGTTTTTCTCCAAAATTGATAGGGCGTAAACGACACTATTACACCAACTACATCAACAGTGCTACAAATCCAAATTCACCCCCGAAAATTCTTTATTGTCGAGCGCATTAGCGTGAGGCAACTACTCCGGGATGTATTCTCGCGATATGCGATGTCAATTAGTCACCAAAGGAAGTGTAACTTCCGTCATTCGTAGGAAGTCTAGCTTCCGCCGTGCACGCAGATTCGTAGGAAGTCTGGCTTCGCGCGCAGTCAGTAGAGCGAGCGCGCGCATGAGCGGCCTCAGTCGGACCGTTTACGCATTGGCTGGCAGGCGCGAGGCAAAATATGCGCGTGCGCAAGCGCCTGCGCATTCCTAGTATTATATACTAAGTGGTAACCCTGTGCTTTGACGTGCGTGCATGCCATCACAGCATTTTCATTTACCACCTGACCACCACAACATTTTAACCCCTCTGTTACTGAGAAAACCACTCAACATAACCTCATTTTAACCCCTCTGTTACTGAACCTCCTAGGTTCATCCTGAAGGGGACAAGGAAGGCAGAGAATACACAGAACAATCTGCTGGCTCGACTCGGAGCTCTGGAGGCCAGAGCTACAAAGAGAGCCACACCGTTGGTCATACTCTACCTTCCAGTCATCTTCTTCGCTTACGGTGTCGTCCTAGGTAAGTCCACACGAGGGAGAGGGGATTAGTTCAAAATACAAGCCACGTCAAAATATGAAAGACGAAAATCACCCTTTTGTTTAAATTTTGTGAAGTCATAAAACACATTTTACTTTAGCACAAAATCATGTCCAACTCAATAAAAAAATGATCTTTTATGGGTATGAATGTGTTTTTTACAAAAGTCCCGAAATTTTACCCTTGTCAAAAAAAAATTTTCTCACAGGGACGGTGTACCTACAGCAGGACCAACCGTTCCTGATAATGTCCGGATTCTGCGTTTACTCTGTTGCCAGTGCCCTCTTCATGTTCCCCGCCCTCTTCTCCTACTACCAACAAGCTCTCGAGATTTACTCGTTTGAACATGTAGACGGAGCTGGACGGGTGTACGATCTCGTCATTCAGCCGTTTGTCCGGTTCATAACCATGGCGATAATACCAGTCATATCCTGCGCCTTGGTCCTGTATGTTCTGGTGAGTGTTGTATTAATGGAAGTTACTAGGGGTATCATCTGCTCTTGTAGTTTAACCCTTTGGATGCCATGGGTATCTTCTTAAATGAGCAGAATTTTTGAAGTATTACACCTAGTATTATAGTATCATCGTTTATGTGTCCGTGGCTGGTTAAGTGTTAAAACACATCTTCACTTAATCATGGTAACAATCATGTGGACTTTCTGCCATCTCTTCCCCTCTTCTCCCTCCCACCATCTTTCTCCATTTCTTCTTCTTTCTCTCTATCTTTTTTCTCTCTCTCTCTCACTCTCTCTCTCTCACACTCTCTCACTCTCCCTCTCTACTCTCTCTCTCTCTCTCTCTCACTCTCCCTCTCTACTCTCTCTCTCTCTCTCTCTCTGCAGTTGGTGGAGATTACCAGATGGAGTTGGCCGGTATTCACTCAGTTGGTAGTGGTGAACGTGGCCCTCAACCAAGCCTGGGTGGCCCTACTGATTTGGCTCATTCTCACCTTCCCCAAGATTGCAATGCGCCTCTCTCCTCCCCTCGCTGCAGTCATGGGCTTTTCCAGTGGCTTCTTTATTCCATTTAGAGACATCCCCTGGTGGTGAGCTTGTATTCTCTAGTAAACCTCTAGGATATCTACTCAGTAAACTAACTATACGTATGCAGTTTGAAGCGCGAAACTCTTCGGTAAACTAGCAAAGAATAATAGTAAAATACCTCAGTAAACTTAACAAGGCAGCTCAGTAAACTATTGTAAACTATACCCTCTGTACTTACTTACAAACCTATGTATTGTACAGGTATAGATGGCTGACTTTCATTAATCCTAACTACTACGGCTTCTCCGCATCAGCCTTTCTCCTCCTGAAAGACTTTGAGACGGCGTGCCAGAGACAAGAAAACGTCACGGACTTCAAGTGCTACCCGGAGAGCGGGAAATACATTTTGAGGAGATTCGACTTCGACGAAATCAATCCCTATTACAATATCACAGTTAGTGGGCATATCACTGCATGCACATACAAGTGTGTATGATTAATGGCTTAGTGACACCCAATGATTTTCTAGGTGCCCGTTTCAAAATGCAAATGTTATGCACCCAGCTGAAGAAAGACTCAATGCTTTTTTCTGCAGATTTTGCTGGCGATGACAATATTTTTTCTTCTAATGTCGGTGTTGAGCAATTTTTGGAACCACGTGACTCTTAGTCGCGGAATGAAGAAAGTCAAGATCATGGCTCGGTAGGTGCACCGGCCACAGAGTTTGGGGTTTTTAATACTTTTTGCGTTAATAATATTATGTAAGTCTTGTCTCTTGAGCTGGGTAACAAAGCAAGCCTGCTGAGTTGTTCGAAATTCAATATTCAATCACAGACTGTAATAGAGAAGTACACACTACAGACTTCATTGAGCTGTGTGCCTGTAACTCTTTGTTTTTCTGCTCTCTCGTCAATAACCATACTGCTTCCATCATCTACATTTTTTCATCACCTTCTTTCTTTTTCCTCTCTCTTCAGTCGTTTGAAGAGAGCAGCTTCATATGACACTGCCTCTCTCTTCTCCACCGATGATGATACCGTACCCTACATCTACGGCACACAGTTTGACGAACGAGAAGACTTCCTGGTCTCAAACGAAGTCGAACAGGAGGAAGAAGAAGAAGAAGAAGAAGAAGAGGAGGATGAACCAGAAGAGGATGATGATGAAGGTTTGCGGTTTGAAACAGAGAACATTATTCCACACTGTGCCCAAATTACGCATGTATTTCCATGCGTAATACACAACTTAGTGTACTGGGTCACAGGAAAAGGAGTGCTTTATTTGCCATATTGAGCACTGCTGCATTGTTCATGCAGTGCTATAATTATTATAATGAAACGTTTGAGGGACTACTCCTCCACCCAAGTTCGAATCCTGATTTTCCTTAAGGGCTAAGGGTTTTTATTTTATAGCGTTACGTATATACCACCGCACAAACGATTGCATTCACCTTCAGGAATAATATGGTACATTGTTAGATGAAAGAGGTTTTATAACCTTTGTTTCATTGTCACAGCCATGGTAGCTGCGGCTGCCGGTCTGCTCTCCCCCATTGCCGAGAACCAAGAAGAGAGAGAAGGAGGACCGCAGAGTCCGGTGTCTGAACATGAAGCCACACCACGACGTCGATCCCACGACCCTCACCCATGGGCCCAACCTCATCTTCTCTACCCCAGTGGAGGAGTTCCTCTGCCCACATCCATGCCTGAGATTCCCAGTGCTGTTAGTCCACAGCCTTCCAGTCCTCGGGAGAAGGCCATGGAGAACTGGACTAGAGCTGTGGAGGTATGTTTCTTTAGACGGAATAGTAGCTCATTACAGATTAAAAAGTAATCATGAATAATTAATGAGACGGGAAAAGTGGTTTGGAAAAAAACAGCACCGGGATCAAACTTGGGCATTCAAAACCATCTTTGAAGAATTCTCCCAACTAGAAAGTAAAACGTTGGTGTGTTTAGCATAAAATTCTCTGGCAAGTTAACTCCCTCTCTTCCTCTCTCCTAATTAGATCACAAGAAAACGCAGGTCAAACTCAATCGAATTGGACACGTTCACAAGTGCCCGGTCAGAGCCTCAGACACCGGAAAAGAACATACCGTTCCACGATGTCTTCAATCAACGCCGAGCCACCAGAATGAATTCTCTCGGGGAAGGCATCAACCGTCACTGCCGCAGGAGAAAGAAATCCGTGAGAAGCGTCTACCTTCGCGACGGAGAAACTCACACCGTTTGGAAACCGTCCGCGCCGAGCCCCGTAACCCCCACGGCACCTCCGTCCCACTTTGCAGACGTCGTTCATGAGATGATGCGGCAAAACGGGAAGATGAACCTGAGGGAGCGCCAGCGGCAGCTTCTGAGTCGAGTCACCGCCACGAGACAGGTGCTGAAGGAGCAAAACGAAGAGTTGGCTGCAGTGGCAGAGTTGACCGAGGAAGAAGGAGATGAGGACAAGGAGGGGCAGCAGAGGAGTGTGAGTGCTCCGGGACAAAGAGACACCCCCGGCAGGAAAATGTGGCAGCACCTAATCAAGAGCGTCATCGATGGGAAGAAAGAGAGCGAAAGAGACCGTAAACGCAACCGAAAGAGGTCCACCGTTCACTTTCACGAAGTTGTCACCAACAAAGTTGCGAGTATGGAACCAGTGGTACCGCGAGGTTCAACCTTGCCCTCCGTCTCAGAACAAGGTGAGATGGGCAATGGAAACATCCCTGTTACTCCGCGCAGGGCCAACCGAAAGACATCGGTGATCTCCAGAGGCAGACTAGACACTGTGACACCCTCCGGCGCCATTCCATTCACAGAATGGAAGACTCAGTTTTACGAGCGGCAGCGCATCGGGAGACAAGAATCGATGAAACGGTTCAAGAGTGACTACAACCTCAAAGCCAGAGCCGACAGTAGGCTCCAGAGGATAAACTCAGACAATAATCTAACCCTCCCGGTCCATCGAAGGGTGTCCGTGGCATCGGGGGAGGACTTGGAGCCTCGCTCTAAGAGTGTGAGTCAGTACCGACAGATGCACGCGAGACTGCGCCGCAGTTCAAGCCCCGACGTATTGGACTACAGCGACTACGAGGACCACGGAGAGATCTCAGACACTTCTGTGCCTCTCGACGATATGTTATCACCTCTCTCTAGTCGCTCCGTCTCTCCCTCAGTCTTCTCGGACGAAGAGGAACAACGGAGATCAAAGATGCATTCTCGTACGCCGACAGCTGCCCGGGCACATCAACCTTTGATGAAGTTGGATTCTGAAGAGGCCAGAGTCGTGGGAAATCCCTCAAATATGCACAAACGACTGCGGGGCCACCATCATCGGCACCAGTATCAAGACAACACTCGCAGAGGTGATGAAATCATCGAGATTGAGCCTCCCGCGAGAGCGCCAATCAAATCACCCGGATCATGTGACAAGGCCAGACTCCAAGAGGAGACCGAAACAGTGTGTCAATCTCTCTCCCGACATCACCCCGGGGTACTCCGTCACCCCGACCCACTACTCCACAATCGAACCTCACCTCAACTCGTGTCACTTCCCCAACTCGGGGTATCCGCCGTGATTCCGTCCTTCCTGCTCCATCGATACTCAACGACCGAATAACTAGGGAGCAGCGTCGTAGAGAAAGCCTTCCCCATCTTCTGGAGCTAGCAGAGGAGGAATATCAGCCACAGCCTCACCGCAGAGCCGCTACACCAGACAGTCAGCCCCTGCATCGCCCTCTCAACCAGTCCTTGCGACGTTCCTCAACTCCAACCCTTTTGAACTCTGGGCCTCCCCCTGCTCCGTCTTCTGTTTATGGGGGTCGTGGAATTTTGGCCCCCAGTCCCCCTCCCCTTGTGCCCCTGTTGTCAGGGGCTGATAATGAGCCCCCCAGGGGTAGAGCGGAGGGCCAGTACCCTCAATTGCATTCTCCAACTGGGAACAGATATATGACTCAAACTACTGTGTGATTGTATATATAACCTGGTCATAATATTCCTATTCCTACTTTGTAATAATACGAACTTTAGAAAACCAAATGATGATCAACCACATCTAGAGATAATTATACAAGCATACCACACAATTTAAGTCTTCATATTAGCTAACTGCCCCTACACAACACTAGTTCGGCTAAGCAGAAGATGAATCAAGAAAGTGCCTACTAGCACACAGTGATGATTATTCTGAACATCAAGCAACTGGCCAACAAGTATTTCACATTCTCATCCAGCAGTTGATCATTTGTACTACCGCCTCCCACCTTTATGGACTTGTACATAACCTTTGGGAGGAATTTAAACACATATTCGCCGTCCTTTCCCCTCATCTCTCTGGTCAAAGTCATGTTTCTGGTCTTCAGCAGGTGATGATGGTCTCCACCTTGATTGAGTAGTTCAAGTTGAACTCTTACTTCTACCGGCCACTGGAGATTGTCGTCGTATTCACAATTCATTAGGTGGAGAAACACGCATACGGTTGATCTGACAATGTTGGATGCATCAACTGCCGCGTCTTGACGATGGACAATAGCTATATTTTCTTAGAGTTGTAATTAAGCTTTCTATTACTTTGCTATCCCGGTCTAATTCTTCTTTCATTTGTTTCAGCCTTTGTGACTGATACTCTTTAGAGTCTCCAAGTTCTTTTTTCCTCTTATCTTTGGTTTCCTTCTCTTTGTTTCTGAATTTCTGCAATAACTTCTCAAAGTCTTTGTCCTCATCGCTACTCTCATACAAACCAAACTCATCCTCTTTCTCTTCTAGCCTTCTCCTTTTCAACAAAGTCTTTCTCTCTTTCTGTAAACTCTCTCTCTAAATCTTCAAAGCACTTATCTAATTCTGATTTATCTTCTTTTCTGTACTCTGCAGACATCTCAGTGCGTTTCTTTTGTAGATCTTGCCACATGCACCTTGTTTCTTCTCGTTTTAAAAGTTTTGAAGTCTCCAGTTCTTCCCTGTAACAAGCATCACTCAAAAGATCCACCCCAAGCTTGAATTTGTAGCCGTGATGATGGGAATAGAAAGACTCAGTATACAGTAGTTGATCAGGAAACTTCCACGTAGGCATCTCACAGACGACACATGTTCCACCAGCTCGATGCAGCTCAACGCAGCGAATAGTGTCCTCTACTTTCCTAACGTAGGTCATGAGCTCGCACTTCCGTGATTCGATCCTAGTTTGGGTATCCGCAACTATTGCACTCATTTCCGCTTGCAGTGCAGCAGTATCTTGCTGCAGTTGATCGACCTTCTTGTCTCTTTCTGCGGAGTCCTGCTGCAGTTGTCTGGTGAGACGGAGGTTGAGAGCAGTCATGGCCGTCAGGTGTTGGAGCTCACTCTCTCTCATGTGCGTCGCCAGCTCACTGCGAGGGACCACGACACTACACCCAAACTCCTTCATCTCGCAGGCCACGGGCTCCAGTGGACACACACTGCAATGTTGCTCCATCCCACACCGCTCCACATTGCCCACCTCACAACCATTTGGACAAGGCTCGGGGAACTTGTGGCATTCGGGCCAATGCCTTTCCACTCCTTCTCCATAGGTACACTTGAGCCCACAATACTCACACTCCCACGGTCTAATTACGCAGGAATCTATGTGCCGTTCGAACTCGTGCATACTTCCTTCCCACCCACACCCGCTCCCCTCATACCAACATCTTCGCGCACTTGGTGGACTTTGCGGCGATGATACTTGTCAAGATCAGCGCTCCACTCTTCGCTTTTACACATAGGACAAGGCTTACCCTCCTCTTGAAGCTTTTTAGCGGCTTCTTGCGAAAGGTGGTTACCGCAGCATTTCGTTTGCTGCGGCTCCAGCAGCAGCTCCAGCGAGACGGGACAGAAGTACTCTAGCGGCGGTTGCTTGATGAAATCCAGTTCCTTTTTATAAACGGTGTTGGCCTCAACAGACTGGATTTCCTCAGTACAAGATTCTTGTCTCGGAGTCGCGTTCGGAGTCGCCATTTAGAGTGTGGGAGAGAAGGGGCCGGGCGGCGTAAAAAGTCTGCGCCTTTGCGCATGCGTAAGCGAGGTAATTTACGCACATCCGCAGTCTATAAAGTGTTACGGCAGGTTAGAACCTCTGCTTCCTATAAGCGTTAGCTATTCTGCTCTCTCAGCTGGTCTTTGTGAAAACTATTGAGCGGGCAAAGCTATATCTGCACCATGGCGCAATCCCGAAGACGCCGCGAGAACGACACGTTCACTGACATGGCGGAAGCGCTACCGATCCAGGAGAACGCCAAGGACCTGGACAAGGCCTCGATTCTGCGGGTCGCCATCAACTACCTCAAGTTGAGGGATCTCGTTGGCGAGAACGAGCCGGAGGAATCCGGAGACGCCGCCGAGAAAGACGGAGTCGCAGAGAACGGCGGGGCGACGGTGAAAACTGAAGACTCGGAGAGCGAAGTCGGCGGATCTGGTGCGTATATACGTCAATGAAAATTTTCACGCAAACGAGTGCGGGTCGTTTTGTGTGTGTGTGTCAATGTGTTGTCTTTTTGTCATGTTCAGAAGACGCTACAGAAACGAAGAAACCATCAACCCAACTGCCCAACTTTGCCAAAGACGTGCTTCAGGTAAAATAAGATATGAAACAGAGTGAAACTCCAATAATATGCAAGTTTCAAAGACACTTTTGTGAAAAGGAGTTTAGAGAGTTCCCCCAATTTCCTGACTAGCACTACCTCACAATGACTTCATATTCGCAGATCCACACTACAAATCCTCATTTCTAGGCAACAATAAGACTGATGAATACCTTCTCCTATATATATACCTAGGGTTCTTTTGGTACCATTTTCGTGCTAAAATATCATGCGCATGGTTTTTTTCCCTGGAAGTGTACTGAATACACTCTTTTTATACACAGGCATTGGATGGGTTATGTTGGTGATCTCCAGTGATGGCAGGATTCTTTATACCTCTGAATCAATCTCTACTTACCTCGGCCTTCGACAGGTAAAAAAAATATAAAAACCTTATAGCTACTCTGATTCCTGTAGTATGTCTCAACAACTTGGTAACGAGGTAGAAAGGCAAGGCATGGCAAACAAGTCAACTACACACCCAGGATGCATTCTTGTCTGCTTTTCGTCTTGTTTTGATTGAGTTTCAAGTCAAAAAGAGGTGTAAATTTCCTCTTGTTTAACAACCCTTAAGTTACCCAAAACAAATGACTTGTTTGCTTGTCGCCTTTGCTTTCAATACAGGAACATCTGTGGATATTTCCCTTCCTTATACCACTATCAACACTTATTCTTGTATCACATTCACTTTGTTACTACTAAGACCGTAGCCTGTGCTACCCTACCATCTACACACAATGTAGCACCACGTTTCCATTGCAGTCCTCAAAAAAAAGCATTACATAATCTTAGATCAAGCATCCTGTTTTATTTGGCACCAGTGCGGTTCCACTACATTTCCAAAAAGTGTTCTAAAAAAATTACAGTCACATCCGATAAAGTGTTGACGATCCCCCCATCACCCACACATTACCTCTTACCAAAACTTAATGGAAAAAAATCTCAGCTTAAAAACTCTATACTCCTTATATGGGCCAACGATAGAGCGGCTCACTCCTACACTCCTACACACCTTACATACCTTCCCACAGTTATTAGAGTATACGTTACATGTCTGGATATGGCTCTTCCTGTCCTTCCCCTTATACTCTGTTGCACAACAAGGAAGTCCTCCAATAGAGGCTTACACCTTTCAAACATGGAAAAGTGCTGAATGTATATGCACTGCGCCTAAATCTGTCCATTGCACACACACACACACACGCGCACTGGTAAACAACACCTCTGCCCTTGTAAGCAGCGAGGCACGGTGCTAGCTATAGACTGTGAGTGTAGGTCACATGGGCGTTAATTTGACTCTTGTTTGTCCGAAACGGGACTTGTGTGTGCCAGCAGAGTTTGGAAACACTCACACACTCCCTCTCCCACACTCTCCACTAGGCTCAACATCTATAGCTAATTGAAAAGAATGTCACGTTAATTAGGTTAGCCATTCTCCCCATTTATTGAACCATAAAACTGCATTAATAATTATGTAGTTAGGTTACACAGGTAAAATTCCCATAAGTATATGCTCAGCGTCTCGGAACTGGTTCAGTCAAAACCGCGCTCACTTCCTTCTATTCACCGGAGCCCCTGAAGTACATATCTATGGTTTCGTTGCTCACGCAAGTTGATATGTGGCTCAGGTTACTGTATGAGGTTTGTAGGAAGATCTGTGGTCGCAGCATCTTCCTCTAAATTACTACGTTCGGCAGCCATAGAGTCCTGTCACTGTCTAGTTCCCATGCAGCCCTTCGTATTGTGGGATAGCTTCTGACATTTCTACGGCAATGATGTAACTATTACATAACCGTGGCAGGAAGCCCGTCCATACTATGTTTAGAACTTGGTGGGTCAATGGTGTGTATATACTAGTGAAGCAGTGGTGTTAATACAAAGAGGACCAAGTCCCAAAATTGTGTCACTCGAATTGGGTTTCCACTCGTGAGATGGTTGTTTAGCTTGTGGGGAAGCTCTTGCTTCTTAGATTCCTTTTCATTGCGGTGTAGCCTGCGTAGTGTGGGGATATCTCTCCCACTGTGATTCCTTTTCATGCACGACCTATCCTTTCCAAGCCACAGTCCCAAGTTGTTTTGTAGGACACCCTCACTCAACCCACACACACACATTGCTCATCCACAATTTTTAGCCACTTTCACACATCTGCTGTGTTACTACAAAACTCCTAAGCAGCTCCATGCCTGCTGAATTAGGTGAAGCAGTTTGGCAACACAATACAGACTGTTAATCTTTCTTCTTCGTTCAGGTTGATGTTATTGGAATATCAATCTCTGAGATTGTCCACCCTCAAGACATATCTGAGTTGGCTACCGTCTTCAAAACCCAAGGAAAAGACTCTCAGCATGGTTAGAAAAATAAGACACAGTCAATATTTATAACTCCTTTTTAAAAGTATTGAAACAGTTCATGCATGACGTAACCAGCCTTTATGGCACGAGTAAGATAGCAACTGTCTTTCTCTGCAGTCTTTGACAGAAGCGATCCACTCAAAAGGAACTTTGTGATCCGCATGAGGTGTGCCTTCACTCCCAGTGTCCGCTCTATTGCTCGCTGCTCAAACTTCAAGGTACACTTCTAACCCTTTTTATAATATGATATTCGTACACCTATTTATATTGATGCCTGCCTGCCTGATAATGCCTGCCTTGCCACGTAAGACCTCCCTGTTTTACCGGCGTGTGCAGGCCTTGCGCAAGTACACTGAAGTCCTACTACAACGTGCATACACACGTCAAGCTTCCGCACATTGGCGTCCCCTTCGCACTAACATCTTCCTACGCTAGTGCATTGTGGATCTATTGTCCTTTCTGCAGCCCATCTACTGCTCGGCTTCACTGAAGTTTGGAAAAACCGAACAGACCAGGGGAAAGTTCCAAGGTATAAACCCGAGTGATGTTCACTTTCAAAACGATGTATTCCTCGATAACTGTGTGCTGCAGTAGTGCACTTTCTGTGATGACACACGTATAAAAAATATTGTTAAAGGAGGGAAATATCTGTAGGCTGCCCTCTTGAAAGTACAGTGGTGCCTCTCCAGGGACACGTGAAACAAGGACACCTCTCTAATAAGGACATTTAACCACTTAATCAAGGACACCTCTCAACTTTCTTCCGTCTCATTGGTAGCCAGATTAGAGGGGTTCCCTGTATATTATTAGTAGGTTTCCTTCTCTAATAAGCTCACGTTCCCTTCACCTGTCTTCCTTCCTCTCTCCCTCAATAGGTATTGTTGCATTGTGCAAGTTGGCTTCTGCCTCAAAAATCAGGGAGATGTGCGTAGGAGCTTTCTTTAAGACAAAACACTCCCTAGACCTCGGCTACACAGGAATTGACACCAGGTAAATCACTCAGTACTTGTTATACATAAACGTATGCAAATCATAAGTACCGCAAACAATACGATGGATAGGGCCCTAGTATAGCTACAAAGACACACATTGACATAAACTCACTTGGATTTAAGGAGACCAAACGCAATAGCATAGAGTGAAGGGTAATCAAAATATTTTATATGCGCACAAACAGTCTTCTTAGAACGGCTTGTGGATGTTCATAGTCCACTTTATGTCTCAACCACTGCTTTCAATCACTAAAGCCTGCATTCTTTATGTGACCGAAATGGCATATTGCATCAAGACGCCGAGACTGGCTTGCTTCATCACCCAACGATACGACCTTTGCTCTATAATTATTATTATTATGTCAATTAACTGAAGTGTCAGAAGAGAACTGTTTGTGTTGTCTTGCTCTTGGTTTGACGATAAACCCTAGGACTGTTGCTTCCCATTCCCCCAAAGACTAGACTGGTCTTCTGTTTTGGTGAATTGTATGACTGCTGTTTACTAGAAATACCAGCACTAGTAACAACAACAGTATCTCAATGTCTATGAAGCGTAAATGACACCACTGAAACGGGATTTCTTTCAAAGGCAACTTTGTGGTTTTAGAAAATTGGAGGCTACAAAATACGTATATTGGCACCAGGAGCATATTTCACACTTAGCTAAACTTGCCTCGTTATACTCCTCCATTGAATACGGCAGAATACACATACACCAGGAAATCTAATAGTTGTACTTGTTCACCAAACACTTCTCCCTCATTTTAGCACAAGCACTTGGTCCCTTATATACCATATTTGGTTCTAAGGAATCCATCTGACTGCCATAAAGCATCAAGAGGCAATTTCAAAGTTCTCCCACACACAATGCCTGTACAGGTACCACGTAAGAACATTGCATCCTCTCTCTAGCCTTTGAAGAGACGCTCACAAAGCTTCCGAAGACAAATTGCTGCCATTGGGTCTTCCTCTACTAAGAATTCCCCACCCAACACCCACCTCGCTCCCTGCCTGTACACATCACTTCCTACGTACCAAACTTGCTAATAACTGTGTCTTATATCATCTTTACCTAAAAGGAAGAAGCTTAGGTGTTACTCCGACCTTACTAGTGACATACAGTGCTCGACAAGAATAATAAATAGTGACATTCCTTTTACAAAAGTGAGTAACTGGAGTGATATCCACAAGAACTTCAACCACAAATAGGAAAATACAAGCACTGTAGTATAGTCATGAATGTGTTGACTGAGTCTCCTACCTGGCCCACTTCTCTAACTGCACCTCTGAGGGTTGCAGCTACTGAGTATATATACACTGTGCAATTGATTCTATACTCTACACCCTTATCCTAGTTATGTAGCAGTTCCTTCGTAAAAGGGCATGAGTGTGCATTAACATCCTTTTCTCATCAATGAGGGACTGTTTCAAGTTAACTAGTGATAGTATCGGTCAGCCATCATTGACTTGTTGAAAGTGTACACTATGGACCTGGTTAATTAGATTCACAACTGTTTGTGATTTAGGATTCGCTGGATCTTGGGCTATGACCCGACAGAGATGATGGGGCACAAGGCCTACCAGTACTTTCATCCTCAAGACCTGACGGCCACCTCTTCCTGCCACATGAACTGTGAGGGTCTCTCTTTCGCGCACACACGCTCGCACTCTCTCTCTTGCTCAAACGCGCTCTCTTGGGCATGCACACACGCTCTCTCTTGCACACACACACACTCTCTCTCTCTCTCTCTCTCTCTCTCTCTCTCTCTCTCTCTCTCCTCTCTCTCTCTCTCCTGAACGCCTGTGTACGTGCATGGGCATCCTCTGTCTCCCCCTCTTCCCCTCAGCATCCCCACTTCCTGCATTTAGTTAGCACAGCACTCCCATCATCCTACTTTCAAGGAAAAGGAAATTTTCTCTGTGGCCTTTAGGAACAGGAAGCAGGAATAGTAATTTTCCCCTTAGGTCAACTTTTTAGTCAGGGAACCCCTGACCATCGTTTCCTGTTTGAGAGGAAGGAGAGGAAGAGGGTACTTTGTTCAGGAAAAGGATTATACCACCGCTATTATGCAAGACTAATTAGTAGTGCTTGATTTAGGATGTTTACTCTCTTTCTCCCCCTCATACACACCACTGTGTTTTCTAATCTCCAGTGCTCACGCAGGGCCACAGCCACAGTCCTTGCTACAGGTTCATGTCTCGGTGGGGCGACTGGCTCTGGGTACGCTCCAAGAGCTACGTCACTTACAACCCCATCACCCACATGCCAGACGGTCTCCTCATATACACCTGGATCGTGAGGTATGTCACGGGAGATATTACGCACTAATTGATACAACTCACCCACATAAACAAGCTTGTTGTGTGGCTTGTATACTATATTGCACATTCTACATTCAGCAATTTTGAATTGCTGCATAATATGCTGGACAACCCACATGAACCTCGCTTCCGTGAGAAGCTAGCATTCCATCATTCTTCCAACTACATTCGAATGAGCATTGAAGTGCCACTGCGTACCACTCTGCAGAGTGTAAGAGGAAGAAAACATGTTTACGTTCCAGCGTTCTTCTAGTAACCTTTCCCACGAGATTCCCAGTAATAGGCCAGATTCTTGTCATTCTAAATAAGCCACATGACTCTATATTATACTTGCAAGCCTTTGAAGAGGAAGAGAAATAGCACTCCGTATTTGGTTAGTTCCGCCTAATATTCTTAGCAGGTTTATTGCGCTTGTTGTAAAGGTATGGTTGTGGGTATCAAAATTGAACTTTTCCTACTCTGATGCTAAACCCAAGCCCACCACATCATCTAGGCACTTCTAGAGTCAGGTGAGGGGAAGCACTTCCTGTGGGCTAAACCACAATTCTAACCTCCATATCCTGTGTCAAAGACTATTGGTAGTGGAATGGAAGGATGTGGAGGGAATCAAAGACTGTTGCTAGCAAATCTTCCCATGTTTTGCCCCTTTAGGATCGATGAAGATGATGATCGTATGAAGGCCATCCAGGACGGCAAGTCAGCAGTGGAGAAGGAATATACCACCCTTGGATCCAGTATCTCCACCGAAGGCGGTTCCCTGGACATCACCAAACTGGCCGACCCGAATTCTATTTCCGGGACAACTACACCTGCTGAACCAGCCCCAGCTACCTCCCCAAGAAAGGTAAAGTGCTAGTTACACAGTACAAAAGTTTCAGAGATGATAGTTATACATATGATGAGTTTTATAAACATGACTGCTATAAGGGACTCTGCACCCTCTATGCCTACAGGCATCCCGACCAGCCATGATTGAGAAGAGAGAGAGTGGCTACCTCTCGTCCTCCTCTTACCCTTCCCCACATTCCTCTGCAATGATGTCTCCACCCCAGAGTGTGGCCACACCTCCCGACTCTGCCATTTACACGGTGAGTAAAGAGAGAGAGAGAGAGAGAGGGTGGGGGATTTGTTTGCATTGTCTGAATACACCACCATTTGGTGTGATGTTTTGCCACCTGCAACGGCTTCTGTTCAGTACACATTCTGGTAAAACGGATTAACGCCTGACAAGTTTAGCAACTCAGCAAGGGCCTCTGGTGGATAATCGAAGCCCTCGCATCAGAAAAGGAATTGGCTTTGTTTTTGCTCGAGCTTGCTTGTTTCAGACCAAAAGTCCAACTCATCAGCCAGTCTGTTTGTCCTGAATCAACCGCAATGTGTTGGCTGGAGACGGCTCTCTCCCACCGGGTTGTCAAGGGATACAGTCCAGGAGTGGCAGGGAAGGTTTCTTTGGACTGTGTTTGGCCGGCTGTGGTTGCTACTCTGATGCCCTCAGACACAACCGTCTCTACACGTTTGCAACTCTGAGTTTAGCAGGTGTTGTCGTTTGGCTGCCTTCACCCAGCAGCAAACAACTCTTAGAACCTCTCAAATATGTTGGGTGTGGCTTGTTTAATGCTACACCAACAGATCTCCGTAATAAACAAGGAAGCTACACTCACAACATATCACACAACTTGTCTACACAAAAATTATGGGAAGATACACTCGGTAGATCCTGTATCAAAGGTCCCTTCCGAGAGCTTGTATTAGCAAAGACACACGGGAACAGCTGTGCACCAAGTTGCAAGAAATACTCCACGCAGGAGATCAGTTGGCTAGTCAGTAATAAAAAACCTCTCTGGGACTGGCATCGTTTCTCAACCACAGCAAAGGACCCGAAATTGCTCAGATTTCTGGTGAAGTGTTTGTTCAAGTTGTTTTGGGTTATCTCTGTGTAGCCAATACATATATTTGGCAGCGACTGAAGCGGAAAGTCCCTAATAGTTTTACTGTGTACACATAACTATAAACTGTAGTGATGTCATGCTTTGATGGATTGTTATTCTTATCCACAGCCTCAACAGTTTACTGGAGGCAGTATGTGCGGATCGCCAGACAGTCAGTCCAATTCCTGTCAGACCAGTTTGAACACCAGTCAAACTGGTTACTTTGGGAGCATGCAGAGTGTCCCGGGACAAATGCCGAGCCCTCCCTACGATCTTAGCCCACCTCAACTGCAGCAACAGTTTGTGGATCCATACGTACCAGGATCTACTTTTCAGCAGTTTGATGGGTACCCCCAAGACCCAATGGTCCCAATCTCAGGTGGATACACTCCTCAATATGAACAGCAGCAGCCTCAGACGGCGGTAGATTACGGGGGTGGTCAGTACATGCCACAACAGTGTCCTCTTCCAGGGGCTCAGGGTGGGATGCAGTTCCCCACGCAACAGAGTTGCAGCGTAAACAACTCCACCTTCTCGATGCAAGCGACGGTGTTCACATCTTCGCCCGATTCGTCAACCATCTGCTATCAGCCGCTGAACCTCACCGAGCTACAGTTCCCAGCTGAAGTGCAAGCCTACCAGGGATACCCCGCAATGCCGGCGACTGGTATGGGTGGAAATGTCGTCGACAGAGCTTACGTGAATACGGCTCGCGAAAGGTATTCTAGAGTTGCCTGCCCGACGCAGGGAGGGGTTCACGTGGGGTCAAAACGACCGAGAGATACTGTACCCCCTTCGCAGCCTCGCGGAATATCTGACTGGTCTCCACAGTGGCTCCAGGGAGCTGCACCACCAGCCCATGTCTACTGAAAATCATGTGACTCTCCTTTAACCGCATTACCACTGTTTTTCCCCCGCTTCCCCCTCAATCATCCTCATACATGCATCCACACCAACAAGTGCAACATGTTCAACAGTGATGCATTAGTCAGTCTAGCAGACACTTATGTAGCACAATAAAGTTATGTGTGTTGAAATATTTGGGTTTTGCCGCTTGTTATATACCAAATTTGAATTTGGCCATTTTATCAGCTGCGCACGCGCGGAATTTCGGCCAGTTACGTTACGCATGCGCACACTTGGCAGTCACCACACCTGCTATCGTGGTCTTACGCATCACGCGTGGAATGCGAGAATCACATTCATACGGATTCGAAGCACAAGATCACCGATGCATACTTTGTTATGGCGTACCGAGCGCTGTGACTACGCCCAACAACGGTCCCTCTCTACTACACTTCATTGTCAAACCATGAAACGTCGTCAGCAGAATTAGCTTCAACGGTGAATGAAATGGGAAGCTGTATCTCCTGCTGCTGTTGTTGCGGGTCCAGAATCGACCCCGAGAGCCCCTCGGTGACCGCGCACATACTGACCTCCCGGTATATTCGTCACGGTGCAGGAACGAGACAGAAGTACATCTGTCCTACGCCGCGAGCCGTGTACGTACGCAGAGAAAAGCTCTACCTGGATTGGTGCGCTTGCGCCGTCGGCGGATTCCCGCTGAGCAAAATATCGTCCGTGGACGTTGTCCGCGGGGCCACGATATTGGTCGGAGACCGGGGCCTGTTTCTGGACCCCGGCGTACGAATAAAGGGGAGCGACGGGACGGCCATCGCATTCACGGCGCCCAATGCAGAGGTGGACATGTTCGTTTTACAACTGAGGTCGGCAGTGGCCGCTGCCAAAGATAAAAAGAGATAAAACTTCTTCAGATCACCAAACGCACTTTTTATCATGAATAACTAACTGAAGTACGGCAGTGAATGCGCATGCGCAGTCGGAAGTCGGCGAGCCCACGCCCACAATCGATCGCACACGTATATATATATACGTACACACACACACACACACACACAGAGACGAATGCCATGGGGAACTGCTGTTGCTGTGCCGGATCTGCAGCAGATCCCAGCGATCAGGCCATCACTGCGCAGATTCTCACGAACAAATTCGTACGCTACAGGGGATTCGTCGTACTAGTTCGCTACGTGTTTCCGAGTGGGTCAAAGGCCGTGTACGTCCGCGACGACAAGGTCTACTTCGACTGCTTTTCCGGGTGCATTGGCGGATACCCTCTGAAAAATATCACATCCGCCGAAGTCGTCCGCGACGCCACGGTACGTTATCCAGATATTCCAGTCCGCTACGCCTACGGCTTGGCAGGATATTACTCTACCAGGAGGGAAAACAGCTCGTTTTGCTTGAACCCCGGAGTCAAAATCACGGGGTCTGACGGAACCGTCATCGCGTTCGTGGGTGGAGAAGGAGAAATGGAAAAATTCGTGCAGGATCTCAATACAGCAATGAAGACTCGTCAGAAGGAATCTGAACTCAGCCACTTCCATACCTACTAACCTGCAGATAAAGCTTTGCTTGAGAAATGTGTCAAATTTGAGTATTGCTGCTGCGCGTCCGTTCAAAATTTATGGGCATGGGTTAGCACAAAAAAGAGGGATTTGGCGGCAGGGATAGGCAGTAATTTTGCTTGATTATCAAGCAAAAAGCAGGATGGTTGGTAGCTAGGTAGGTGCTATAATAATATAATATGGACTTGGCTGTCGCGCATGCGCATGTAATTCTGCGCTGGGTGCAGTAAGACTGCATTTCGTGCCATGGGAAGCTGCTGTTGCCTGGGTACGCCGGTGGATCTCAGCGATCCGGAGGTCACCGCGTACATCTTCACTCGGCAATTCGTACGCCACGGGGCGCCGCTCAGCTACAGCTCCATCATGTACAGGGGCGGGGACAGGGCGGTGTACGTCCGCGAAGGAGAACTTCACCTTGGCTCACACACCGGTTGCATGGCGGGAGGCTACCCATTGCGGAGTATCAGCTCAGCTGAGGTCGTCCGTGGAGTTACGGTACAAGGACACATGCCCTTCACTTTGAACCCCGGGGTCAGAATCACGGGGGCTGATGGGACGGTCATATGGTTTTCGGGGGCAGAAGGCGAGGTTGAAAATTTCGTACAGCAAGTGAACATAGCTATGGAGAGTGCTTGGGGCGATAACCAATGGAGACAACTCAGCACAAAATTTTAGTAGCTATAGAGGCTGCTCAATGACTCCTTAGACTGTCAGCATAATTTTTAACACAATAAACTTTGTGAGTTTGCATCTATAGTGTTGAAGCATAATTAACCCTCGGCGCGCATGCGCAGCGAGGGTTACTGTAGTTGGGTTTGTGTGTGTGTGTCTGTTACTCTACATCTCACCTCTCGAATGTCTGTTCGTCCCAAAAACGATACCATCTACCCAACGGGCGACGAAGGTCAGAAAATATGTGGGGTTTTCTCTGAAATTGCTCCGTTGCAGAGCTAGAGCGCTTCCACCATTGTACGGCTAATGCCGGTAGTCGCCATTTAATCGCTGGCGCATAAGACGCATGCGCTTATACAAGCTTACGTCCGCTTGCTCTGTCTATCTTGATGGCACAAGAAGTCACAACGAATGGCGTGTATCGACTCTCGCGTGCTATCTACTACTGTAGCTAGCCCGTGTCAGACTCTCTGCGAGCTACTTCGCCGAGGGTTTGCACTTTAGTGCTTTTCATTATAAAATGGTTTACAGTGACAGATGCATTATAAGGACAGGAGAACAGTATTATGTCACACGAAAACTCTACATTTTAATGTCCAGGATATGACAGCCACTTCAACGATAAAAGATGGCACACTGCACAGAATTTTATTTTCACCATAAATTTCTCTTCAAAGTTCCCCTTTTTTGTAGTACTCAGAATATTCATGCATGTGGAAAAGACAAACAACTTTGATGTTTACATAAGGACAAACTAGCTTGATATTCTATCAGCAAAACTATACATACTGCACCTATCAAAATCCAAAGATAAACTAGTTTGATGTTTTATCAGCAAATTTCACCCTTTATATACATCAATAATGTACATACTGTATAAGAATACCTGCAGAATCCAAAGATAAACCAGTAGTCATCACAGCTCCATTCATTGACAATGAAGAGTGCCAGTGATATGCAGGCACTGACATGTGATGTTATCGCTGAAACACAAGCAGTCAAGGCTTACATACTGAAACATTGTGACACTTAGGTTTGAAGACAAATAGCTGGGCCTTTTTGGTCAATAAGCTATCCGTGTCTTCAACTAATAAAGAGTTGCCTCAACACGGCCAGCAAATTTTGCACAATGTTTTGGTATTGCATGCTGTTTTTTTTTGCATCGCCTTCTGGGGCAGTTTTCTTCTCCGTAATCTTGATTTCACCTGTAAATTGTGTACGAATTTTGTACAAATACGGATGGAGCTGTAGAGTTGGATGCTTTGAGCTATGGCATTATTGACCAATAATGAAGAAGTATTGGATACAGAAGATAGAAGGTAGAGATGTGAACATTGAGAGGCCGAGGAAAAATCCACCAAACTCTACAGCTGTGCAGAGCAGAGTGAACGAGAGAGCCAGCAGCAACCTGCAGACATAGCCGCTACTTCACCACTCAATACACCATTGATAGGAATGTACTGTAAGTCTTTTCTCTTGTACTCCGAAGAGCTCTCATCTGCGTCGGCCGAGGTGCAGGCTGAAATGTGAGGCTCCTGCATGCAAGAGATGATGGAATTAGTCCGGGGCTCCCCAGTGCCAACGTTGCCAAGGAAACAACGTGAGAAACCCGGCTAGGATACTGTTGCTTACTCGAGACCAGTAGAGCATTATTGTGAGCACCAGATGAGCCGTTAGGGATAGGAAACGGGCCGGAACTACAGCATGGTGCACCATTCTTCTCCCTGGCATACTAGACTCTGCACGACGCACCTTGGTCGCTCTGCTGCGCGCGTGCTCTAAATAAAGCGCAGCTGCCGCTCGAGTCCCGTTCTGATTCTGCAAGAAGGTCTGCAATCCACGCTACTCGACAGAAGTATTGATGGCGACTTGCAGCGGTACTTATCTTCATGCTCTTCTCACTGGACCTCCAGGTCTTGACAAGACCATAGCTATATACCACCTCTCTGATATATAGGAGTTTTTGCGTTCAATAATAATGTCTAATCTGGACCCTCACTGATTCTGTTGGCATTGGTTTCTCAGTAGATTCCATTGTATATATGGTTATCTACTAGCCACTCTTTTACGTGATATTCCAACGATAAAGGTGTGGGTAAGACTACACTCATCAAGAAGGTGTGTGCAGTGGTGGCTAAGAAGAGAGGTGACGTGAAGATGAGCGGATTTTACACGGAGGAAGTGAGGGAGGGAGGAGGGAGGGTTGGATTTGACGTGGTGACATTGCAAGGAGAGAGGGCTATTCTAGCTAGGGTCTCAGGGTAAGCCCCTCTTCTCAGTAAGCTATTATAGCTATGATTGACAATGGCACCCAGCTAGAACTGACAACAGTTTAAGAGAACTTTCCTGGGTGGGACTCGAACCAAAAGCACTCTCATGATATGATACGTTGGGAGAAGCTCTTTCCTGGAAAATGATAAATTGGGATTATTCACCACTAGTTAGGGAATGCCCTAGCACTAAGCTAATTGTGTGTCCTTTATTTTAGCGTATGGTCTCTCTAAACTCTGATATTCAGTTCAGAAAAAAAACTTTCTCTATTGGCAGGGTTTCCCAAGGTCACTCAGTAACAGAAGGAGCCACAAGAAGACCAAGAGAAGCTTCCCCAACTGTGGGAAGATATCAAGTAGACGTCACATCCTTTGAGACAATCGCTCTTCCAGCACTTGAATACAAATCAACCAAAACTCCAGTAGCACTCAGTAAAGTAAGAGGAAATTCTTCTGTTTCCGACTCACCAAAGATACTAGAAAGGAAGCCGCCTGGGCGTAAAACTACGTCAGCTTATTCTAGCACTCTGGAAACTGGTGTGAAATCTGGAAAACGAGATGAGCTGCCAGTGCAGCTTCACATGAGGGATTGTTTGGTTGTGATAGACGAGATTGGGAAAATGGAGCTGTTTTCCAAGAGTTTCGTCGCATCAGTCGAGGGTTTGTTTGAAAATATGTCGAATGAATGGAGAGTTGTGTTGGCTACGATCCCCGTGGCTGGACGTGGGAAATCTCACTGGTTGTTGGAGGAGCTAAGACACCGCAGAAACTGTAGGCTGTTTCAGGTATATTATATGATTGATGATACAGCAGTGTGAGAATATTGATTGCTATATTATGTTGGACTAGAAGAAGTCTTTTTGTAGCTATTAGAACATGTACATTTGTACCAAATGTGTGGCACTTTCTATGCAATTTAATCAGTGTAAATAAGTGAAATAAACCTTTGAATATTCCATGTCCTTTTGGCAGAAACCCGTGGCCCAAACAAAATCGCAAGTCATACGGTTGCTCATAATTATGCTCCCGACAAAATGAATTGTTGTGCTTTTTTCTGCAGGTGACAGAGAAGAACAGGGACAGTCTTGTGCAAGAAGTTTCCGATTTCGTTCTCCAAAGGCTGACAGCAGCGCAATGAACTATTATGGCCACTTTTGCGCATTATAATTATATAGTGGGCGTGTTGTGCGCCAAATTTTACTACGCATGCGCAAACTATTCATTGACGTAATGCGAATTACTTGTGCGCGAGGGTGTACGGAGGTTTCCGGAAATGCACTTGTGTCTTCTGGATCAAGGGGAGGTGAGTTTGTGTGTGTATTGTAAGTGCTGATTTTTCGTCCTTTTCACGTCTGCATGCGAGCATTTCTTTGCTAATCTTACTAAGTACTTATATTTCTACAAAATGGGCAAAATACGCGGGAATATCTCGATGGGCGGCGAAAAAAATTCAAGCCAGGCTCGCCGCGTTTGTTTTTCAATCTGCCGCCATGTTCACTTCGGCGACTGACTCTATGTGTCTACGAAACGTTCCTTGATTATTATACACACCGTGCTTTTGAAGCTTCTGCTAGGTTAGCGTTGAAAATGACGAGAAATGCGGTGTTAGTCAGCGAGCATAATGGTTTGTGGTTGCCTAGCTAGTGTGTAAAATTTTATTGCGTGTTCGTGCGTTTGTGTGTGCGTGCCCGTGCGAATTATGGCTAGTGTGATTGTCTAAGGGCATAGTTTTTGTTCTGGTCTCGCGTCAGAAAGCTTCCGTGTGTCAAATGTTTGATTGACTAAAACCCAACTAGCCCGTGGGGGAATGGTTCACATATCTGTTCTATTGTAACAGGGAACAGGGGCAATTTCTGTGGGCCACACTGTCCAAGTGGAAGCAATGTCAGGGTAAGTGGATGTAGCTATCTATCAACTACACATGTATAATAGGGGGAAAGGGATGGGTGGGTGAAAGTGTGAAAACTGGTGTTTGTGAATGGTTGATGCTTGGTTAGTTACACCGTAACAGCTGGAATAGGACGCAAATGTTCTTTTATTGGCATTCTATGCATGCACTGCTTTGCAAACATGAATAAAATGCCAATGCAGCATTATGAATACGTGTTGTGAACCTTACCTTGCACAAGTATATACGTAGGCCTGATTTGTATTATCATACCTATTAATTATCACCATTTGAAAGTCACTTAACGTAAATCAATTTCACACGTTTTTGTATGCAGTGGAACCTCACTAATCCAGACACCAATGGGACAGAAGAAAGTGTCCATATTAGTGAGGTGTCCTGAGCATTATACAGTGGAACCCTCTACTCCAGACACCAGTGGGACAGAACAAAGTGTCCATATTAGCCAGGTGTCATTATTTCAGGGGTTACATTGCATGCAAGAACTGTTCTTGGGGAAGGACAATGTGTCCATATTAACGAGATGCCATCATTTCCTTAGAGAGTGGTTACACTGTACTCGCGAGTGGACGTGTATTCACATTCAAAATTGTGGTTGAGTTGTTTTGTGTCCACGCACGCAGCATGAACACTCGGAGTGTGCAGCGTGCATTAAATAGCATCATGGGACCTACTGCAGAGGCCATGGCAAACGGATTGCAAGGTCAGTAAAGTTGAATGTTCCACATTTCATTAACACACGCGTATGCCGAAACGTGTATATATTTCCAGCTGTGAAAATCCTTGTGCATGTATATATACGTAATTATCACTCTGAGTATATACAGTAGTACTTATAATAACGAAGAGAATAAACCATAGCTATGTAAATGGAGCCTCTTGTGTATAATGAACACTCTGAGTAAGGGACACCTCTCTGCAAAGGTTTTAATGGGGAGAAATTTCATGATTGCATCCTTTCATTTGGAGGTTCCACTTTGCATAGTTTGATGGTTTGATCGTGCATCCAAGTCACTCCCCTGCCAGGCCTGATTATAGCAATTACCTAATACACACAAAGTGAGATGGTGACATACTGTTGAAAAGTGGAACCCCTCTAATCCAGACACCAACGGGACAGAAGAAAGTGTCCATATTAGTGAGGTGTCCTTATTTCAGGGGTCAGATTGCATGCAAGAACTGTTCTTTGGGAAAGAAAAGGTTTCCTTGTTAGAGAGGTGTCCTCGTGTCTTTGAGAGGGGTTCTACTGCATATACTGTTGTTCTTATTGACTCAGAGCCAGCAATGCGCATTGGGGCAGAGTTCCAAGTTGCCATTCCAGACATGTCTGAGTTCCATTCCACCACTGACCCCGATTCCATGTCGCAGGGATCCGGTTCCATTCTTGTGTGGACTCCGAACCCAAACCTCAAGACAGAATATTGTAAGAGAAACAGAGAGGGTGAGGAGAGAGAACTGAGGAAACTCACCCCTGAAAATGAGGACACCTCGACACATTGCTTTTCTAATGCCTGTTTTTTTATTAACCAGCCCCTGAAGTAAGGTCACCTCTCTAATAAGGACACCTTGCTTTTCTATTGCCTGTTACTATTAACCAGCCCCTGAAGTAAGGTCACCTCTCTAATAAGGACACATTGCTTTTCTATTGCCTGTTACTATTAACCAGCCCCTGAAGTAAGGTCACCTCTCTAATAAGGACACATTGCTTTTCTATTGCCTGTTACTATTAACCAGCCCCTGAAAAATAAGTACACCTCTATATGGACAGCTTACTCAGTACCATTGTTGTCGGAATGGAGGGGTTCCACTGTAAATGACTACGTAATGTGTCTAATAGAGGGGTTCCACTGTAAATGACTACGTAATGTGTCTAATGGAGGGGTTCCACTGTAATGACTACATAATGTGTCTAATAGAGGGGTTCCACTGTAATGTCTACATAATGTGTCTAATAGAGGGGTTCCACTGAAATGACTACATAATATTATGTCTATACATTAATGTAGTAGCTATATATAGTCACATTCCTTTGTCGGTGCTTCTGTGGAATTTCAACTATGAAAATAGTATATGTACACACTTCCTCCTCCCCCCTCCCTCACTCCCTCCCTCCCTCACTCCCTCACTCCCTCCCCATCTAATCTCAGTGGATGGTTATCTGAAAGTTGCCAAGGAACAATTTGGTTACGGAATGGAGCAAGTGAGTAAGACCCTACTAATTATGCATCTGTAATACTCTAATTGTATAGAGACATAGTTTCAATTTCAATTTCGGTGACATTTCTATGTCCTGCAGCGTCAACAACATGGGGCTGGCCCTAGTAGTTATGAAAACAGTTTTTCATACATTTGTGTTATTCTAGGCACTGGGTCTGCTGTATTGGCACAAATACAACATTGAGAAGGCGGTTGAAGATCTGTCCAATTTCTGCCCCATACAAGGTATATGTGACACGTAATAGTAAAAAAATTTGTGCATTTGTGTGTCGTTGTTGCGAATCCCACCCAGGGCAGCTCTTTTTTCCTTGGAAAGAAGAGTTGTCCTGGGTGTAGTTGACTTGCTTCATTTGCCTTTGCCTTTCTACCTCGTAGTTTGAAACATGAAAATCCCTAATGTATGGGCATAATGCAGGACAACCTGTGTCATCCCTATAATATACTAAGTATTATACTACCGTACTTAGTGATATGTGTTGTAATGTACCTTGTACCCTTGCTGCGAGTCTTAACACATGATGTAATGTATATATTGCTCGCAGAGGAGTGGAATATGGAAGATAAGGTCACGTTTGAACAGGCTTTCCAGTACCACGGCAAGAACTTCCAGAGAATAAGAACCATGGTAACGTATAGTGCATACTGTACCTTACGTAGGTTGCCGTGGTGACGTGGTACGTACTGAACTAGAGAACGAGGCTAATCGGTTTGCTTTCGAACCCCCAGTGGCGGATCCAGGGGGTTCCTTGGGTTCCGCGGAACCCCCTTTTTGTTGTATGCGTCGCCGGCCTAGTGCGCGCACACGAGCCGAATCGAAAAAGTTCTGGACAGCGGAACTCCCCTCTCAAAATCCTAGATCTGCCACTGAACCCTCCTCACCTGCTGAGTTATCATCGTAGCTCAGTTGGTAGAGCGTCTCTACCCTTCTTAGTCTATAATATAGCTCTTTCTTCCTTTAGTGTGGCAATTATTACAGTAAATGGTGTGTGAGTGTGCAGTCAAGGATTAAGTTATGCATGTAACTACACACAGAGTTGTACTTAACCAGCCACAGACACAAAACGTGTCCAGAGCCTCCATTAGTCCATAAGAATTTATATAGGGGTAATAATACTAGGCGCTAATACTTTGTAAATAAACGCCTGCTTATTGAAGAACCATGGCATTCAAAGGGTTAAGTTATGGCAAAAGTGTGCAGGCAACTTAGAAGTTAGCTGACATTTTATGCTGAATAATCCTACGGGATTCTCTATTTCCCCCCTCAGCTCCCGGAGAAGCCAATTAGTGGTCTGGTTAAGTACTACTATCTGTGGAAGAGAAGCTATTCCCAGTACAGTCTCATGGACAAACATGCCAAGAAGAACGGCCGGCGCATTGTGTAAGCCACACACTATAGTTGTGGTAGCATGTTGTATAACTGTAGCCCTTCACACTTCTCTAAGGACAAGCACAACTTTCCTGAAATGAGGACACGAAATGAGGACACCTCGTTAATAAGTGCATACTACATATGTATGGTATATATTGTAGCCCTTCACCCTGTATGTAATGATCAAGACACCTCTCTAACAAGGACAGTTTTCCTGAAATGAGGACATGAAATGAGGACACCTCGTTAATAGGTGCATACTACATATGTATGGTATATATTGTAGCCCTTCACCCTGTATGTAATGATCAAGACACCTCTCTAACAAGGACAGTTTTCCTGAAATGAGGACGTTGCACTAATAACGGTAGCTTTCTTTCCTTAAGAACTGCTTATCGGGTGTAGTTCTAAGAAGGCCGCCTTTTCTTTCCCCGAGAACAATTTCTTGCATACAATTTAACCCCTAAAATAAGGACACCTCGCTAATATGGACACTTTCTCTGCCCCATTGGTGTCTGGATTAGAGAGGTTCCACTGTATAATGCTCAGGACACCACACTAATATGAACACTTTCTTCTGTCCCGTTGGTGTCTGGATATGTTCACTGAACACATTCCATTGACCAGCAGCTCAGGTCAACTGCCCAACAATGACGATGCGGACAGCACAGGAAGTTGGTCGACCAATGACACTCTACCATTTTCCCAGCCCACCACAGTGCTGCTCTCCAGTAAAGGAAAACAACTGCCTAGAGTGAGTTTCATCCTCCTCTTGAATGACGATAATGGCGACATTATTGAAAGTGTTACCAAACGATGGAAGTGAACAATATGGCCCAGTGAAAGAATGCAATTAGTTTTCTTTATCACTACGCTTCAGTTTCATGGCACTTAATGTCAGTAAAAGGTTAATTTTACAGTTTGTATATATAAGAACAATCGGAACAGGTATAAAGTAGATAAAGAGTGGTTGGTATAGGGTTAATCTGGCTCTCTCAGTCAGTGTCAAAAGCAGTTTGAGAAGGGTTAAAAGGTTTTTAGGTGTGGTTGGTAAGGGGTTAATGCAACCTCTCTTGTTGTCCATCATAATGTACAGGGCATTCACCTGCATACTACTGAGCTGGTGGCGGTGTCTAGCGATGTGGAGAGAGGGGCAGATAAGACAGCTGGACAAAGAGATCAAGAACTTGAAAGAAAGGGTGAGAGAGAGAGGGAGAGAGAAGGAGAGAGAGAGAGGGAGAGGGAGAGAGGAAGAGGGAGAGAGAGGTTATTGACTTCGGCTGTGACACTATGAGAATACTGTGCTCTATAATTGGAAAGCGAAGCGAGCCTGCCAAGTCGTCTGAATACGGGATTTTGCCATGTATTAAACATAATATTATGGATCGGCACATACCATAATGTTCTACTTGATTCTAAATACGCATGAAACACGTGCGAAAAGTCAAACAGCTCGATTCCCTCGCCAAAGATTTGTTACATTTCTTCTCATGCAGAGACATTCGTAGAAAATGCTTCCTTAATTAAAACCCTTTGGACGCCCCATGGGTCTGCTTATATAAAGTATTAGCTCCTAGTATTATAACCCCCATATAAATTCTTATAGACTTATGGACGCTCTGGACACATCTTTATGTGACCGTGGCTGGCAAAGTGTTAAGCATCCTCCCATTTTGTGCTGATGTAAAATGTGTGTTCCTCAGATCCAGACCTGCAAGCAGTCGGTGAGCGGGAAAGTCAGTCCAGACAACGTCGAGCACCTTCGTCCCCAAGAGGTACATACATACATACATTCACACAAGACATGAATGTACAGATAGAAAAGTGTGTCCTCAGAGGTTAAATCAAATACACCGCTTTTTTTCTTGCAAGAACAATTCTTGCATACGTACCATTTAACCCCTGAAATGATATGTCACTGACACGGACATATCACCAGAGCACGCGTTGACTGAAACAACCGTAGTAGTGATCCATCCTTAAAACCCTTTGGGCGCCATGGGTATCTGCTTAAATAAGCATAAGTTGATGTATAAAGTATTAGCGCCTAGTATTATAACCCCCATATAGTTTCTTATGGACTTATGGAAGCTCTAGACACATTAATTATGTGTCCAGTGGCTGGTTAAGTGTTAAATAACCACAAAAGAACCAGTTATACTATTGAGGTGTATATTATTAGTCGATGCCTAATGATACAGTAGTTACTATTGAGCTATCAGTAGATGCCTAATGTGTTGTCTGCAGTATTCGAGGAAGATGCCATTAGGGGAAGCACCAGGTGGAGCAGGAGGTGGTGGTGGTGGATCTGGGACTTGCAAATGGAGCGAGGAAGAGATCGAGATTGCTCTGGACGGTACATGTTGCATCCTACTTATGTACATACGTCATACGACAGCATTAAGAACAAAGTTTGTAGTATCTTATGTTCAAATTTGTCGCTTTTTCAGAGGTATATATAATATAGTAGGGGGCAGAACCACAGTGTCCTTTATTGAGAGGTGTGCTTTATTTGGAGGATAGGCATCAATAGGTGGTTTCACGTGCATATTTTGTCCTTTTTTGCACTTTTAAACGCAACCGTTTCTTTTTCCTTCCCTCCACACGACAGTGGTTAGGAAGAACGGCAAAAACTACGAGGCTTTGGCCAACTCTCTGGATGACAAGACGGTGGCCCAGTGCCGCAACTTCTTCACCAATTACAAGAGAAAACTCAATTTGCCCCGCATCATTGCCGAATATGAGACAAGAACTGTACGTACACATCATTTGTTGGATATCCCTAGGCAACCGACATGTTGGATATCCCTAGGCAACCGACATGTTGGATATCCCTAGGCAACCGACATGTATGAAGCTAGGTATATACTGGGGGATTTTATCAGCCTATACAATCCTACATGTGCAAGCAGGGTTCATACATGTCGTTTGCCTAGGGATATCCAACAAATCTGTTGCAGTACCCAGACAGGACAGCATGAGCCCTGTGCAACATTATATACAGTCAGTAGACACTTATATTACCAGCCAGAAATACCCCTGCATTCGCATACATACACCATAGTCAACATTTTCAGGGTATATACATAATTATGTGTACATGTAGTATGGGATATATAGCCATTGACTGTCTCTCTCCTGATTTCAGGGTAGGAAACACTCTCGCTACGTCAGAGGAGCAACTGTAAGTGAAAAACTAAACTGCAAAACTTTTTCTAAATCACAGCCTTTCAGCGTGGAACATACAGTACTCCCTATCATAGTGCCACACACGCATATGTATGTAGTGTATGTAGGTGCCATACTGAACTTATAATGTACAAAACCTACTTATAATGTACAAACCTAATTGTTCCACTGTACATAATATAAGTTTCAGTATTGGATTGGCCTAACACGAGTAGTTTAACCCTTAGCAAGCGACAGGCATATGATATAATATGCCCAGAGCCTCCATAAGTCCCTAAGAATGTATTATGGCTATAATACTAGGCGCTAATACTTTATACATCAATTTCTGCTTATTTAAGGAGATACCCATGGTGTCCAAATGGATTAAACTACTCGTGTTAGCTTGCCAATATTCATTCTAGTAATGATGTAATCACTGCCCCCTCCCTGTACAGGACTACATCAATGACGACCAGGGACCTCTCGGAGACGACCAAGAAGAGGGGATGTTACCACGGATGGGCAGGATGGGCGGAGGTCACGATCCTCAGCCAAAGAGGATAAGACTCATGTGCGGTAGCATGATGGACTAGCTTCCTACAACATACATTCTCCACGTGAAGAAATGTCACGATTCTTCGCTAGAACTTTCCTTCACAATTGATCTCTTTTCACAATCCACTGTTTCCCTGTGTTAATGTTTTCATTGCTTTTTCTCATTATACTTGAAGGTCATTATCACAATTAACACATCCTGAAAATTTAGACCTGTTACCAACACAGCTGTTTCGTTTGATGGTTGTTCATCGTTTTTCACAATGCAGTTAATTTTCATCATTATAACATGCTGTTTACTTGGGCAAAATAATTTCCAAGTGCTAAAAAGTAATACACAATTAATACACTGCAAAATATGACGTAGTGGCGATGTAATCTTAATTAAGTCTCTGGTGTTTCAGGTTTAGCAGGAGTTTCAGGTTTAACAGGAGTTTCAGGTTTGGCAGGAGTTTCAGGTTTAACAGGAATTTCAGGTTTAGCGGTCAGTCTAGTTTTCGTCTTCACTGGTTGGCAGAGTAGGTCAGCTCTGAGGAGAGTGTTCAAGAGTGGGCAAGAGAAACAATGGTGGGAGAGAAAGAGGTATAATAAGACTAGGCAGAGAAACAAAGATGGAAGTACATCCTCTGTAAAAGGACCCTCGATAGAAGGACAGAAAACTATTACTTTCTCTGTTAAAAAGTAGTGAACTACTTGTCTTTGCCCCATACTATATACCTCTGAGGAAGGGACTCCTCTGAATAAAGGACATTTTACAATCTCCCCCGGGTGCCCTTATTTAGAGATATCACCGTTGTTTAGTAAAGAGCCAGAAATTGGTGACATTATAAGTATAATGGAGGGAGTTATAAACTATGGAGAGGGAGTGTAAAGGTCTACACTCCCTCTGCTGAAGGTGGAAAGAGAAAGGGGTCTGAGAAAAGAGAGAGAGGGAGGGAGGGAGGGAGGGAGAGAGAGGAGTTTACATTCTCTGCTGGAGGTGGAAAGGGAGGAGATAGAGTTGTGCATGGGCCTTAATCAGAGCAATGATACACAGCTGCTCCAGAGTTGGAACTGCAGTGGAAGAGGGGTTAAAACAGTGGGAGAGGAGTAAAACAGTGGGAGAGGGGTTAAACAGTGGGAGAGGTAAAGGGGTTAAATTGGATGTGTTAAAACTGACTGAGGTGCAGTATGAACATGTCGCTGTGATCGAATAGAACGTCTAGTCTCTTCCCATCTTTCTCCACCGTCTTTGGACTGCATGCACACAAAAACAGGTCACATAATCAAGACTATTCCAAGTACATTATAATAGTCTTGTAACAGATGCTAAGGGTACCTTAGAAAGCAGGCTTGTGGCAAACACTATAAGAAGCTCACAAATTTGATGGTTGACGTGAATGTTCCATGGTCTGACTTACATATACCTCATGCTGAGACAGTATGATGAATGTGGATGTGTGTATGTATGTATGTATGTATGAATGTGTATGTACCTAGTCCCTCCACATATCATAGTGTAGCATATAAGATGCTCACAAATTTGATGGTTGAGTTGACGTGAATGTTCCAAGGTCTGACTTACCTCATGCTAGACTCGGTGACACAGTATGATGAATGTGATATGCATGTGAAAACTACGAGGTAGAAAGGCAAAGGCACAACAAACAAAACAACTACACCCAGGACAGCTCTTTTTCTCCAAGGAAAAAAGAAGAGCTGCCCTGGGTGGGATTCGAACCCACGACAAGCTGCCCTGGGTGGGATTCGAACCCACAATAAGCTGCCCTGGGTGGGATTCGAACCCACGATAAGCTGCCCTGGGTGGGATTCGAACCCACGATACTCTGCAGTCTAGGCGAGCGCTCTACCAACCGAGCTACCAGGGAGATTATGTATGGATGAATGTGTATGTACCTAGTCCCTCCACATATCATGACGTCAGTTCCAATTCGAGCACATCCCACTCTCCTCCTGGGGGGCGGGGCATCTCCAAATGCCCTCATCTCCATACATTCCCATGTAACTGTAGCATCAAATGGCAAGCAAATGTGAGTGCGAAATTTCATCAGTTTTACGCATAATTAGAATTACATACAGAGGAACCTCTCTACAATGGACACCCCTGAAATTAGATCTTTTCTTTCCCCGAGGACAGTTAGTTCTTGTATGCAATTTTTAACCCCCGAAACACCTCACTAATGTGGACACTTTCATCTGCCCCATTGGTGTCCAGATATGAGGCAGCAGTATGGATGGCAGTCTCATCATACAAACTGAAAACTCACATATTAAAGAAGACTATGTGGGCTTACTTGCTGACCAATAAACGAGTAAAGTAATCAGGAAAAAAAGGGGGGGAAAAATAAAAAAGGAAAAAAACTGACTGGTATTGAGCATGAAGAGGTCTCCATAGTGAGTCTTCTTAGTCGCATTGTAGCCGCCGAAGTATAGAACGCTGTCGCCAACAGCAACTGATACGAGACTCCGCCTACCGTCAGGACGATAGGGACCCTTCTTTGGGGCTTTGAACCACTGAGATATTTCTAGGAAAAAAATTGTATATCAATTTCCCACACATAGCACGGCAGAGCACTCTGTGTTCTAGAGAGAGCTCTACCAACTGAGGCAGCTCAGCTGGCTGGGCTGAATCACTCATAAGAGCAAGCGAGCACTCTGTGTTCTAGAGAGAGCTCTACCAACTGAGGCAGCTCAGCTGGCTGGGCTGAATCACTCATACAGAGCAAGGCAGAGCACTCTGTGTTCTAGAGAGGGCTCTACCAACTGAGGCAGCTCAGCTGGCTGGGCTGAATCACTCATACAGAGCAAGGCAGAGCACTCTGTGTTCTAGAGAGGGCTCTTCTAACTGAGACGCATCTCACCGAGATTATAGTAGAATACTTCGTGAGGATAGATATCATTTGCAGTGAAAAACGGTGCAAAAACGTCGCTTCGTCCACCAAACACGACCACCTTGTCTCCCACAACTGTCGCCGAGTGAAAATCCCTCTCAGGCACTCTCTCCCCCTGGTGAGAAAAGGGTTAAAATACAAGGATGCAAGGGTTAAAAAAAGAGAAAAGTCGATCTGAGAACTGTTAAATTGTTTTGTTCACAATCCTTCTTTCGCCTCTATTGCACTGTTTTTTTCCTCTCCCAACGGTGTCGCATTTTTTGTAGGAACATCAGTGGAAGAAGAGACAAGCCAACCATCCATAATATTTTGACTATCATTGGAGTATGGAATAGTACCTTCTAGTGCCTATTCCTATCTAGCTTCACCAACCCCTCTTTCGCTGTCTCTCTGCCAATCCATCCCCAACCTCTAATAAAGATGTCAACGGTTTCGCATTTTTTGTAGGCACACCGGTGGAAGAAGAGACAAGCCAACCATCATTGGAGTATGGAAGAGTAGTGCACTCTACCTTCCAGTGCCTATTCCTATCTAGCTTCACCAACCCCTCTTTCGCTGTCTCTTTGCCAATCCGTCCCCAACCTCTAATAAGGGTCCCAACGGTTTCGCATTTTTTGTAGGAACATTAGTGGAAGAAGACACAAGCAAACCATCCGCCATATTTCATATATCTTTGGAGTATGGAATAGTAATGTACTCTATCTTCCTGCACCTATTCCTATCTGAAAGGCAATGGGTTAAATGTGTATATACTTCTCACCCTTTTCGGAAACTTTCTCCAAGTGTGATGGTCCATGTTAAACGCATACATGTCTCCACTGAACTTTATAGCCTGTATGGAAATATGTCACATGACATCATTTTACATCACCATAGGGTCACATGACACTTACAGACGACATCATCAAACTCGCTAAAACATATCTGGTAATGTAAACAGGAAAACTTGCACTGACTTGCACAAAGCAATTTTAAGCACACATGTACGAACATCGAACACACTACATAACTACAATAGTCATGTGACAGTCATGTGATCTCACTCACCTTAGAAGCAAATCCTCCGTGAACAATCATCTCATTGTCCAGTAGAGAACAGGCATGGCCATCTCTCGAACTAGGGCCGTTTCCACTTGTGTGGAGCTTCACCCATACATTCAGAGCTGGACGAGTGAGAGAAAGAGGGGAGGGAGGGAGGGGAGGGTGAGAGAGATATGACAGGAGAGTGCTCAAAACAGTAGAACGTCAAAAACTTGCTAGTTTTGCTAGTACAATAGAACGTGTCAGTCTTGCTAGTTTTGCTAGTAATAAAAAACTTGCTAGTCTTGCTAGTACAATAGAATGTCAAAAACTTGCTAGTTTTGCTAGTAATAAAAAACTTGCTAGTCTTGCTAGTACAATAGAACGTCAAAAACTTGCTAGTTTTGCTAGTACATAAACAAAAAAACTTGCTACGTCTTGCTAGTACAATAGAACATCAAAAACTTGCTAGTTTTGCTAGTAATAAAAACTTGCTAGTCTTGCTAGTACAATAGAATATCAAAAACTTGCTAGTTTTGCTAGTAATAAAAAACTTGCTAGTCTTGCCAGTACAATAGAATGTCAAAAACTTGCTAGTTTTGCTAGTAATAAAAAACTTGCTAGTCTTGCTAGTACAATAGAATGTCAAAAACTTGCTAGTTTTGCTAGTAATAAAAAACTTGCTAGTCTTGCTAGTACAATAGAATGTCAAAAACTTGCTAGTTTTGCTAGTAATAAAAAACTTGCTAGTCTTGCTAGTACAATAGAACGTCAAAAACTTGCTAGTTTTGCTAGTAATCAAAACTTGCTAGTCTTGCCAGTACAATAGAACGTCAAAAACTTGCTAGTCAAAATACTAAGGCCCCAACGCGTGGTTACACTAGTAACGCACTGCAAGTGAATATTTCAGGTGTTCTGCTGGTCTCAAGTGAAGCTGCAAGCATTCCTATTGCGTGCAACATCTTGGGTGGACCCACACGTACTGAACATTTGAAGTTGCATGCAACTTTGTCTCGCGAAACAAATTTGCATCGTTGTATATATCATATCGTCAAAAACTTGAGGCTCTTGCAAAGAGTTTCAGTGCTCACCGGTATCATAGCAGTCGACGTCGGAGAATGAACCGTCTTCGTCGTTTCGGCCACCATACATGTACAGCTTTCCCTTGTACTGGCACACGGTGTGTCCATATCTACATCCTGGCACACTAGCTCTGTGGGGGATTATTGAGAGAGAAGTCACACCCATAGTAAAACCTGGACAGATTTGAATTTGCATGCAAATTTGTCCCACGCAAAACAAAGTTCCATTGTGTGCGTATCATGGCGTTAAGGAGTGTGTACATAGTATTAGCTGACCTCTGATAGGGGTGTGGTGTCAATGTACTTGTGCTCAGGAGGAGCCTCACACTGCGTCCATACTTTATTCTCTGGTGAATTGGAGGAAAAAAAGAGAGACAGAGTACATACACAAATTTAACAACTTCCTTCCCCATAAAAAGCCATGCAAAATATAAGCAAAACTGGGAAAAGGATATTAATCACGAAATTTTACAACTTATGAACGTTTCCCATTCGCTGTAATACATAATACGTTGTTTTTTGGACAAATAGAAGGGAACTGATCAGGACACCTCACTAATAAGGACACAGCACTAATCAGGAAACCGCACTGATCAGGACACCTCACTAATCAGGACAACTCACTAATCAGGACACAGCACTAATCAGGACACCTCACTAATCAGGACAACTCACTAATCAGGACACAGCACTAATCAGGACACCTCACTAATCAGGACACCCACCGAAGTCAAGGCAGTGTATGTCGATAGGAGAACTCTTGAAGAACGGACCGCCTTGGGCGTCGGCCTGCAGCACCGTCCTCTGGTCCTCGTCGGCATGGTAACCACCCAGCGAGTAGACGTAGGAGGCCCCGTCCTTGTCTCGGAACGGACACACTGCGTGATTAACCTGAAGACAAGGGGTTAACATTCATATACACACACGATCTGATAGCATAAACAGTGAATGGTATTGCGGTAAGCCATTTACGATCTGCACTACGTCCCCAAGGTGTTCTTTATCCAGAGGTTTTAGCTACCGTAGTTCAGATGTGTAGAGAATAGAAATACACCAACAAATCCGGGAAAACCGGTTACAGACCCGGTTTGGGAAGCCACTGTCGACGTAGTGACTCCAGAAGAACTTTCGGTCGTAGCTCGAGTACAGATCATCGGGGTTTCCTGCCTTTTGTTCTTCTTCCCCTTGGTCGTGAGGCAGCTGCCCTTGAAACCTGCAGGGGTCAGTCAGAAGGTGTGTTTTTCTAAGGGGGGAAGGGGAAAAACTGGGAGTGAAGTTTTTGCGTGACATTGCTCGTTTTTTTGTGATAGTACACTGGTAGGTTGAAAACTGACTTACATATAGAAAGCTTGATGAAAAGATAGCGGCTTTTTAAGGGGGCAAGACTACAGAGTTTTCATTATCATATTATTAGAGGGTTCAAGTTAGGCGAGCTTTTTCAAGGGAGATAGTAGAGCCCCTGCTATAATAAACTGTAGAGAGAGCGTGGGAGGAAGGGGAAAGAAAATGAAGGAGGGGGAGGGGCATCTTTTTGGTGGGCGGGGCAACAAAACAACAAGTCTTTTTCCCCTTGCCACACTTACAAGAAAGCCTTCTATGAACGGCTAACAAGTCAAGAAAACAAATGCAAGGCTCAACTTTGACCCAATGTAGGTACGTATATAAGTACGAATACTGTCGATACGTCTCGTTATAGCTCCCTGTCTACAGGCTGTACGTGTACCTTCGTCCCCACATGAAGGCGGCGAGGCCGTCTCCGTCCGAATCGTTCTCTGACTCAGAGCTAGAGTGCGCCGGGCTCTCCTCCATCTCCTCCTCCTCATTCCCTGCTTCGCCCTTGCCAGCCTCGGCCTTCTCCGGGTTCTCTTCCATGATCAGTCGCCTGTATGTACTGCATGCACTGGACTGATTGATTACTCTGGGGGTTTTCCCAGCCGCCGGCCACTTCCTTGTGTGCGCATGCGCGCGAGAGAGCGACTTGAAGTTCAGACTATTTCTGGAAAGGGAACTTGATATTGAATGATCAGAGCCTGAATAATGCTCACTGTTCTTCAAACATTATTTCAATAAATACACAACTATGGAACAAAATCTACAAATCACTAACAGAACCAAAAGGTGTGTGAAATTTGGTGGAGGACAGTCGACTCTGGTGGTTGTGGGAGGAGCCAGCTCTGTTTCTTCCTACCATACTGTCATCTTCCGCCTTCTGCTGGACTCCGCCCACCCTGAACCTGGAGAATAAGGGGCGTGGTCTGGGAATAGGCGGAGTTAGGGGAGGGTAATTTAGCACAGACGACTGGTGACGAGGAGGGGGAGTGGTGAGGGGGTTAAAATTATGAGGAATGTCCATGACTGGAGATGTTGTTGAAGAAAATGGATCGTCTTGGGAGGTAGTATCGAGCATAATATGATGACATGGCGATCGGGAGAGGTCAGAGTTCGAGCTACGTGGTTTAGGGATGGTCAACGATTTTTGAGTAGTTGTTGGTCCGGCGGTCACGAAGTCAGTTTTGGAATCCGATTCTGAGAAAGTTTTGTTCCTTCGCGGCTTCACCTGAGGCTTGTTGGGTGACACTGGGCGGTGTGGTACGTAATCACGAGCCGGTGGAACAGGAACGGGAGAATCAGAGGATCGGATTTCCTGTGTAGCTATCACGTGAGGCACTGCTCCCTTACCCGGTCTAATGGAAAACTGCTGCGTCAACAACACGATATCGTCGTAAGCACCAGAGAACGAGTCAGTTTCTTCTATTGTTTCTGTAGTTCTTGGCGGTGACACTGTTACATCCTCCACCAGAGGCTGGGGCTTTGACGAATTCGACGAAGTCTGAATTGAAGGGTCGCAGAAATCCGATGGCAGACCATGGCTGGTTGGTTCGTCATGGTAGGGGTATTGAGACAGATCATCAGCAGTGTTGTTCTCGAGTGAGGGGTCAGGAAATTCAGAACCCCCCATAGGGGTTCCGTGACCGTTGGACGCATTGTGTGCGTAGAAATAATTCACGTAGAAAGGACTGCTAACGTTAGAACCCTCGGGTGATGAGTCGGGAACATTCGAACCCTCGAGATCTGATCCCAGCTGTGGAGGTTGGGGTAGTGGCACTCTGGTAGGGTCACGGACAACGCTGGGTATGAAGACATAGGACTCGTCCGAGTCAGACAGTTCACTGATACGTTTCTGGAGTTTTCGATTAGCTCTCTGCTCTTCTCGGCGAGGGTGCGAAGTGGGAAGGGAGACTGTCCGATTTGGGGAGCGAGGTAGAGGGAATATAACTTTTGGTGCATCGGGGTAAGCTTTCGGAGTGTCGGGGTAAGCTTTTGGGGTGCCGGGGTAAGCTGTTTGGGTGTTTGGGTAATCTGTTGGGGTGTCAGGGTAAGCTTTTGGGGTGTCTGGGGAGGCTTTTGGGGTGGCGAGGGAAGGTTTTGGGGTAGTGTTGGCCTTGGAGCGAGGTGGGAGGGGGATGCTTCTCTTGAAGTGGAAACCACCGTGGTGCTGTGGCTTGTTCCCCAGGATATTTCGCTCGTATTGCACCTCACCAGAGTTTGTGATGATGATTCGACTGCTGATCTGGTAGGGAGACTCGAAACTGGACGAACACGTCTGTTGGAAGAGCTGCGGTTGGAAATTCATGTAGGGGTGGGCAACTGCAGGCACGGCCGACTCAAATCTTTTCCGCGTGATGTTCCTCGGTGGGACTGACTGGTCATCCATGTTGTTAGTTGGTACTGCAGGTTGTATTGGGTAATGAGAGCTTCCGTCTCCTCCGTTCGCAACGTTGGTGTGTGTGTTAACATCCCCACGAGTTGTGTAGACGTTTGCCGAGTGGAGGTCACTCAGAGTTTGATTGACGTCCCCGACCCCTGTCGGAGCCAAACGTTGCTGGCTATCCGTGTACGACGGAGGTCGAGTGCAAGCATGGTTGACTGGATACACAAACAGACCGCTCTCGTTTGCAGGCTGGTTGCTGATGCGAGCCTCCTGGCAGAGAAAGTCGATGCACTCGCCATGAAAGATCTTGTCAAGAACGAACGTGATGGACGTTCCCTGGAGGTTCGAGGTGACGCAGTAGCCGCACAACTCCATCTGAATCCCGATGTCGAGTTGCATGAAATGCTTAACGCGATTGAGATCCCATGCGTGAATGTTGATGTCATTGATCGGAGATGCCAACACGAGGACGCGGTCCAATTGACCCACTCTGTGGGCAGGCAGGTTGACCGCAATGCTGTAGAGCAAGGCGTGCTCCAGTCCCTTCTGCGGAGTATGGACCCGAACATGGAAAATAGAACCTGCAACAACAAAGTTGTCCAGCTGTTGTTATGACAGAGGGGATCATGTGATGGGATGCATAACTCTGGTAGTAATCGCTAAGCCATGTTACTGAACTACAAAGGGAGAAAATGCCAGGCGACACAGTAGGATCTCACTTCTGGCAAATCAGGCCACTTTTGCACGCTAACAGGGGAGTAATTCACACGTGTGCAGAAGCAACAGAAGTTTGAATCTGTGTGTGATTGCGTGTTTATTGAACTCGGTGTCTTGTTTCCCAATGTATGGAACCGGAATAAGCTTTTTAAAACCTAACTGTACATTTCCAGGCAACCCATTAATAGAGTTCAGTACAAACCTGTAGACGAGTGTAAATTGGCAAAAAGAACACAGGTCATTTCTCTGAAACACCAAAATGTAGGCTGGTGAGACGTTCCCTATAGTCTCACCTCTTCCAAGGCCAACTTTGATGAGTGCCATCCAGTAGGCCTGGCTCTCCATGTTCTCAGCTCTGAACTGGAGAATCTTTCCACTCGAGAGGAAGATCTGGAAAAAGCAGTCGCAGCTGGCACGAATGGTGACAATGTCCTCCATGGGAATTCGATCTTTGAGCGTTCGCTTCCGCGGGTCGAATATCAAGAGTTGGTAGGAGACTTTGCTACCTGAATTGGTGAAGAGAGGGAAGGGGGAAGTGGGGAGAAGAGGGAAAATGCTTAGAACCTCCATTAAAGGACATCTTCTCAGTAAAGGACACACTTTGTGGTCCCAAATCACTTTTCTCAACTCTAAAGAGAGGGCAATCTCCCTTTAAAGGGCAAAATGAGTCTGTGATCCTGCAGCCCAGCTTTGTGCAACAAAAACAGGACATTCCTCATCCGCTCATCTCTGTATATGTAGTTATCACTCTTCCCACTACTCTTCCCACTTTACACATTTGCCACAACACAGAAAGCAGAGGATTTTTGTCTGTGGCTCTAATGATGAGAAGTTGGTGGATTCCCCACACTTCACGGGGTAGCTAACAAAATTCCCAGCCATTACCACATCCTAAATCACTCAACAGTGAACACACTGTTGCTATACTGACACCCCACACTGTTTACTTTACCATTTGCACCTCTTACTACAAAGTGGCCCACCTCTACAACAAAGTGTACTATCTTGCATTGTGTCATCACTGTAGTATCGTGCATTGCGGCACATGGCCCTCTCATGGAAGTGATGGAGACTAGAATCTTCACTCCAGAACATCAAATAGTGAACTGAGAACTAGACACTAATCTTACACTGGAATCTCTGTGAATCAGGTGAGCCAAACCGACAAAAAGTAAATGAGGTTCAAGTGCACCTAATCACACCCACCTACACTACATTTTACTTTGCTTCCCATGAAAATCCTACTCCACCTATTTCTAAGCGATTTACAACTAAATTATTATAATGACATGGAGTTTGCCTGGTTCTCAATTAATATGTATGTATGTATGTATGTATGTATGTATGTAGCAAGGTAAACCAGGACATTAACAAGGGAATTGAGTAAAAATGTATCTGAATATTTCGTATTTCCCAATGGCAATGACCCATCTACGTAGTGACACTGCTATTGAAATGGTGTGCATTTGAGGCTACCATGCTTGGGTTGATAGCGTCCCAATATTTCAGTTATTCATAGCCCACTCCTTACATCACTAATGCGCCTGGTTCTTAGGTCATACCCACAACAACCTGTTTACTGCACATTGAGGCGTGCAAAGGGAAAGAGTATGAAATACTCAGAACACCTCCAATGGGGAAATGGTTTTTGTGTTGTTAACAGTGCTTCAATTTCACAACATGCTCTATAGAGTCGGAGACTAACATCAAACTCTTACAGTTTGCCTGGTCGATGGATACCCAGGTCAAGTTGGAAAGAAAAATAACCAACCTTTGCCAGGAGTGACAGGAAATACGGTAATCTAGCTATGCTATACTGTTGATTGCTAATAATATTATACCTCATGCTAAGTTCATAGCAGCTAGAGCTACCAAAAGCATACACAGCATACATCAAGTTGGAAAGACTGTTGATTGCTAATAATATTATACCTCATGCTAAGTTCATAGCAGCTAGAGCTACCAAAAGCATACACAGCATACATCAAGTTGGAAAGACTGTTGATTGCTAATAATATTATACCTCATGCTAAGTTCATAGCAGCTAGAGCTACCAAAAGCATACACAGCATACATCAAGTTGGAAAGACTGTTGATTGCTAATAATATTATACCTCATGCTAAGTTCATAGCAGCTAGAGCTACCAAAAGCATACACAGCATACATCAAGTTGGAAAGACTGTTGATTGCTAATAATAATATACCTCATGCTAAGTTCATAGCAGCTAGAGCTACCAAAAGCATACACATGTGCACAGCAGATAAGGTGTTTAGTGTTTCCCTTTTGTGTACCCTATTGTGTACAGTAGAGCTGAAACTTGCAGATATAGATAATGCGTAAATGTGATTTTCCTACTAGACATCTGAATGCAGGATTATTTCGTTTATCCAATGATGTCACCGTACCGTAATGCCACAATATGGCATGTACAACCGCTGAAATTAATCTTGCATTCGTCACTCGCCAAAAATGCATTCATTCCATAGTATGCGAACAGTGATCTCACCTGAAAATTCTGCAGAGTCCCTAATGACTTCCACGATTCTCTCTCTCCAACTTAGCTGCATGCACATGTAGGGAGGGTGGGAAGAAAAACACGGTTGTGGTACTATTATAATAGTGTTGATCTAAGCAAGGAACTTTCAGTGTTATGCAGGAAACACATTAGTGCAGGAAAATAGCTATATATCGCCTGAGTTTGTTTTTTTCGAAAGGAGGATTCACCGTTAATGCAAATAGATGTGCAGTTGTTTTTGCACAAACTCATCATCCAATTTTTCCCGTTCCTTTCAGGTTTTGATCAACAACCAAGCAGTACTTGTAAGGCCTGACCCCAACCATTAATTTCTCTTTGAATAGGAAAATGGTATATAACTATAGGCTTGTATACACACATTATTATCGTTTATATGAAGATTGTACATTAGGACTTATTCCTGCATTTAATGTACATCCACTGCTTGTATTGTCTGGTATAGTGATGCTACGTATCAAAAGTGATCGCGTACAGGCTAAGACTCTTGCAACTGCAACACGGTTTTTGGGGCTACCTCCGTTTCACTGCTGAAAATGTGCACGACTTACCCTGCATCTCTTCAATAAAATCCCCTCGTGGACCGACGTTCTCGACGACTGGCCGACTGAGAGATTCATCCGCTGGCCGATGACGCGGCCCTCTACCGGAGGCGAAGGCGGGTGATCCAGCGCAGAGGAATTACCGTCCAAGGGCCCGCTTATGACGTGCACTGCACCACCTTTCTTCGCCGAGGCTATCGAGGCCATTTGTGGGCAGTGTATTGCTTCTTACCAAGAGAGAAAAAAACCTACTAACAGATAGGCAAGGCGAACGGTTATAAACTCGGAAGTGGGCGGAGGTCGATCGCACATAGAGATGCGCATGAGCGCGCAGGTTAGTACTCAGTGCGCATGCGCGCCGAGGGTTACAGCTCGGAATCGAATTAAGGAGCCGGCGCGCACACCGCAGCAGCGCGCCGACGTTTGCGCATGCGCCGGGGGCACGCGCAAAGTCCAGACGAGCACCACGTGCGACGATGTCAGAATCTCCGACGGACGCGTTCGTCAGAAATTGCATGCGCAGTTCGCTGAGGAAAGTTTTTTCAAATTTTTTTGTGTGTACTGATCATTCAAAGAGAAAAAAAGGTTGGTGGGGATGCAAAACTAAAGTTAGGGAAATGTGACATGAAAAACCCAAAAAATTGAGCTTAGATACGTAGCAGCAATTTCATCAAAATTTTACCACAGAATTATTATGTAGTAGAGTTGCAGTTTTTATTTGGTGTGCAAGTGCGAGGAAGCCAAAGGCTGTGCGAACCCCCCACCACCCCCAGTACCCAATGTGTCGATAAAGTCGAGAATCTGCAAATCTTCTCCCGTCAGATTGATCAAGTCCGGAGTCACATTACTGGTCACGTGACCCATATTTCCAGCCACCCCGACACCCGTCGTCTGAGGATTTGCAAATTGCTGCGGGTGGGAAAGTGGAATACTCGCGAATGAGTTTCCATTGCCGGAGGGTCCCTCGGCTACCCCACATTGCGAAGGAGGGACAGCTGGTTGGTTTGTGGAAGCACTGAATAATTCCCTGGAACTATTGGATTGGTCCAGCGTGGACAAAAGTGGTAGGGTTTGGGGGTTTAGCCCACCCGGGTGCTGATTTTGAGGCAGGGGGTTTTGTGTGGGAGGGGGAGCTTGGAAAGTGGGGCTTTGAAAATTATGGGGCAGGGGGACTTGCTGATGCTGAGTTTGAAATTGGGAAGATGTCATTTGGTTGGTATAGCCTTGAGGAGGAGGCACTTGGCTGTGGCTTTGAGGAGTTATTTGGTGGGTGTGGCTTTGGGAAGGAGCCATTTGGTGCGGAGGAAGAAAGCCTCCATCAATTGGTAGATTCTGCAAAAGCCTTTGATGGGGATCTTTGATGTTCGTAGCTGCGAAAGAGGAAGAGTTTTCGTGATGTAACTGGTAAGAAGGCCGTTGTAGAGGCTGGTACTGGTACTGCTGTGTCCCAATTTCATTCCCCTGCCACGAGGTCCCGGTTCCAGTCTGCGTCGGATTGGAATAGCGACAGGGAGGTTGGGTTGCTTCTTGTTTCATCATCTGTTGCTGGGAGACATATCCTGGGCGTGGTACGGGAATTGTGGAGGGGGCGTGGTTTGCAATGTGATTGAGTGGCTGTTGGTAGTGTTGTCCACTTTGGTAGCTGAGTGGTTGCTGTTGGCTACTTTGGTAGCTGAGTGGTTGTTGTTGGCTACTTTGGTAGCTGAGTGGTTGCTGTTGGTTACTTTGGTAGCTGAGTGGTTGCTGTTGGCTACTTAGGTAGCTGAGTGGTTGCTGTTGTTGGTCACTTTGGTAGCTGAGTGGTTGCTGTTGTTGGTCACTTTGGTAGCTGAGTGGTTGCTGTTGGCCACTTTGGTAGCTGAGTGGTTGCTGTTGTTGGTCACTTTGGTAGACAATTGGCTGTTGTAATTGCTGTTGTTGACCACTTTGGTAGGAGAGTGGTTGTTGTTGGCCACCTTGGTAGCTGAGTGGTTGCTGTTGGCCACTTTGGTAGCTGAGTGGTTGCTGTTGTTGGTCACTTTGGTAGCTGAGTGGTTGCTGTTGTTGGTCACTTTGGTAGACAATTGGCTGTTGTAATTGCTGTTGTTGACCACCTTGGTAGGAGAGTGGTTGTTGTTGGCCACCTTGGTAGGAGTGTGGTTGTTGTTGGTCACCTTGGTAGATGAGTGGTTGCTGTTGTTGACCACCTTGGTAGGAGAGTGGTTGTTGTTGGCCACCATTGGAACTCAGTGGTTTCTGCTGAAGCTGTTGGTGATGGCACACAGAGGTGTTTTGAGGAGGCAAACCACCAGCAGACTGGCGTCGACAAGATGGCCTCAGAGGCTCGGAATCCCTCCCCATCGTTACTGACGGCAACTCTTGAATGACAGGGTCTTGGTACACAGAGGAGGGCTCTGGTTCCAGTACTGTGGTACTGGAACCAGCGTATGACAGTACGGCGGAGACACCACTGTTAGAAGAACTCCGTGATACTTCGCCGTGGCTGATGCCGCCGTCACCAATGAAAATGACGGACGGGCTTACTGTGGAACTAGTCCCCGTTGAATCAGAATCAGACGGGGTCTTCTTGGGTCGAGCAGAGTATGAAGAAGTGCGAGTGTTGTACCCGGACTCACCGGCTCGGTTTATGTCGTACCCTGGAGATGCTTCACCAGCCGAAGTCGAGTCAGGGACACACTCGTTACTCATACCTCCGCCAGACGAAGGGGTGTGGTCAGGGTCATGGAAACGACCTCCGACCTCTGCCCCTGATGATACGTCGGAGGACGACCCTCTAATAGAAGGCGGTGGACCTGTAGTTGAAGACGGTTCCTCTGTGTTAGGAAGAGGAGGAAGGTGAGGCGGGCTTTCTGCCTCCATCTTCATGGCCCCCGTCCCAGGTTTCCTGCCGCTGAGAGAGGAAGAAGAGAAAGAGAGAGAATCCGCGGAAACTTTATCGCTCGGGTCGACAGAGAGAGGGTTGACATCCATCCCGTCTTCTCGAGGGATTGGAAACGGGTCGTGTGCTTTGCTCTTCTCCTCCGAGATGAAGCCTTCGGTCTTAGAATCGAGGGGAGGGGCTGGCAGAGCTTTCCTGGTCCCAACACTTTGGATCCCCTTCTCCTTGCTGTGGAGAGAGAAAAAGGGTTAAAACCAACATGTGAAGCTAAGTGTAAAGCGCAATAACGTTACTGGATTACATACATACATTAGCAACGAGTCTTTAATACCAAGTATATACTACCGTACTTAGTGATACATATGTAGTGCTCATGCCAGCTCATTTCACTATGATATAATACCCTACAATTTTACTATACTTGTTACATGGGCAATCAGTGCATAAATTTTTGTCTCACGCAAAATGTCAGTGGGCGGGGCAAAGAAAAACGAGCAAAAATATAAGGTTTGCAGCTTAAAACACACAGGGATTTGAAGGGTTGGCAGAAACGCTCAAATTTTTCTGTGGTTTTTTTCTCGATAACTATACACACGCGAAAGGTCAATCAAAGGTCAATCATGATGGAGAAAGGTCAATCATGATCGAGAAAGTCATCGTACTTGATGATGAAGTTCATGCAGACGATGTATGACGGGTTCCCGGTGTGGCTATCAAACATCATGGTGGCTCTTGTCTGGAGCCACACAAACTGCCCGTGCTTCGTTATCATCCTGTAGTAGCCGCTCATCCCCTCTCCACGGGCTTGAACTGCATGGAGAAAGATAGGAGGTGACTGCGTGAAATTAACAGAGAAGGGCAGATTCAAGAATCAATCCTTATCCTTCTTTTTTTCCTTAGACAGGTGGAAATAGCAAAACATCACTGAATTTTCAATTGCAGAAGTCATGATTTTCACATAATATTCGCCTCAATAAATGTAAAGCACTAAAGTGCAAACCCTCGGCGAACTACGGACGCATGTGCGGTGCCGCTAATGGGCTAGGCCAGCTATTAGCGTTTACCCGTGGTCTCCCGCTAGTAGGCCGCGGAGAGTCTGACACGGGCTAGCTACGGTATTAGATAGCATTCGGGAGTCGATACACGCACCTTCGTGGTGGCTTCTTGTGCCTCTAAGATCGATGATCGCGTCTGGTATACGCATGCGCACCGCTTATTGATGGGTTGGGCCACGCAACGCGGTCCATGACTGTGCCAGTTTGTCGCTCTCGAACGCAGTCGTTTCAGGAAAATCGCCCGTTTATTTTTCAGGCTTGTGTAGTACTGAAGCCGCTGGTATCGCTAATGGGCCGCCTCGTAGCCTGTAGTTCCAGAATAAGCGTCGACACACACACACACACACAGACAGACAAACCAACTACCGTAATCCTCGCTGCGCATGCGCGCCGAGGGTTAATAAAGTATGGCTATTAAAAAGGTGCCACACTATGGCAAGCTATGCGAGTGCCACGCCCTCTTTGTCGAGCCTTAGTTTAAGTGGAGAAACTTCGACACACCAATTTCTCACCAACTACAGTACAGGTTTACATAACAAAAAAAAGGATTTTTCAGAGGGTTACTGACCTCCTCTGCTGCATTCCAGCGTTGCATCGGTGTCGTCATGGTGATGAAAGTCGAAGGCCAGTTTACCCCTCAAGTCTTCTTTTCCGTAGCCCATGAGATGGTTGAGCCTATGGTAAGTGTAGGAGATAGATGGAGTCAAAGAACGAATGCCACACATTCTTGGCAAACGACCATGAGCAGTTCAATATTTCGTGTGAATCACGTAACAATACAGCAACGTTTATCACTCGAGCCCTCCATTTTTATATGTTTTCTTACACGTGTATATGTTGTGCGTTATTTAGAGTAATCGCATGTTTTTTTCTATCTAAGTTGCATCGTCGTACTGTAAGTTTCAGTTTTTATATTTTTCTATGAGTCTATTAATTTGGGGGGTGGGTGGTTGGGTTCTTTCTTTTCCTCTCATATTATTCTTTTAGCTAGTATGCTATAAACATGTTTTTTCATGTCTCCTCCCCGTTCTCTCTCTCTACTCACCTCCCGTCAAAGAAGGTGCAGTGCATGTCCAGAGCGTAGTGAGTCACAAACATGTTTCCCTCCATCCTTATCTCCAGTATGGAGGGCGGAGTCACGGGCTTCACCAAGGCAACCAGGAATGCCTCGCTCCCGTGTAGCTGGAAATAGCCACTGGTGTGGACCACCTTCAAAATGAAGGGAAGAGAAAGAGAGAGAGGAAGGAGCAGCATATTATACAAGGGGCAGAGAGAGAAAGATAAAAAATGTGGCATTTAAAAGATGAAACTTGTAAACAATAGGGTCAAGTGAAAGAATGCCGCATTTTTCAAAATCTACCACTTCCACATTACGCTCGCTACTCGATAGCTGACTTTTAAACGAGGTTCACCACCAAAAATAGCATCAACAATGTACGTACGTACGTCGCAGTTGACCTACTTGCCTTGCTTTGCCTTGCCTTTCTACATCGCTACCATGCAAGTTGTTGAGACATGTATGTATGTTTGTACTACATGTGATAAGTCTGTCCTGGGTGTAGTTGGGTGTAGTTGACTTGTTTGCCTTGCCTTGCCTTTCTACATCGCTACCAAGTTGTTGAGACGTACCATACCTTGTAGCCAGGAGATTTTGACTGCGTGTTTGCGATTTTGTTTCTTGAGCACCTCATCCGGCAGAAGAAGCTGCACGGGACACTCACACCTTCACGAATGGCAACAAAACGCACAACTCAATCAGTGTTTTAATCCACGTTATACATAAGTAGTACGACAGCTGTAATTAAAAGGGAATGTGGCAGTATAAATTTAGAAAGTTGGAACTCAATTGCATTCTTTCACTGTGCCCCTATTGTTTTGTTCTATCTTTAGTAACATTTCTAAATTTAGTCCTTACATACTGCCACATTCCCTTTAAGTTACAAGTTCCTTCTCGCTTACCATTAGCTACTAGAAGAGCAACAGAAGTAAAAATACTTTTATACCATGATTATACCTCGTTTGTCTTGTACATTGGGTTATTCTCATGTAATGTAAATTTGGGGTGTATACGGGAAACCATAAACCTTGTTTTTGGGCCAAATCATGGTTATAAAATTGTTGTGTGGAACTGACGTTTAGTGCCTATTCTGGTATGAGCCTTGATCTCGGCTGATGAGAGGGCGAGTTTTACACTAGTTTGATCTTCTTCCAGTACTAGGTCGTAGAGAGAGGTCCCCATGTGCTCCGACTGGTGACGGAGAGGGAGAGAGGAAGGGAGAGAGGGATAGGGAGAGAGAGGGAGAGAGGGAGGGAGAGGGAGAGAGAGGAGTAAGAAGAGATACACACTTATAGGGTCACGAAAAACTCAAATTTTCGAAACCCTTTTTGGAGGGGGGCACTTTCCCTCTGAGATTTCCAAATTAAGTGAATCAGATTGTGCCCTTGTCTTTCCTCCCCACCCTCCCTGAGATAAACCAACCTGAAACAGCCCCATGTGTTTTTGGATGCTCTCCGAGAGATAGACGATACTTCCATCAGAGAGCAGGACCACCAAGAACCCGTCCATCGCCTGCAGGGATACCGGAAGAGAGAAATCATAGACAATGGAATAAGAGAGGGTGAAGGGCCATAGGGTTAGACTAGACAATGAAAACACAATTAACGGAACACGAAATATACATGTATATACTTTCGTGAGTCGAACAGTGATTTATATGACATAATGACAATTAAGGGAGTGAGAGTCCACGAATTAGCTCCTGTATACTGCATATGGTGTGTAGATGTATGTGGTACATTCACCGGAAATGTCACTACAACTTACAGTACTGTAATATATGTATTGTGCCCAACATATGTACGCCCATTATACGCCCGCGTTTGTGTTCATTACCATAAAGAGTAGTGGTATAAAACAAACTACGTACGTGTACAATCTGTACATTGTGCAGTTGGTATAATATGCTATATACAAGGCCTCAGTCTGCCACAGTCATTCCTGGAACTCATATGCCAGACATGCAAGAGCTCAAGTGCAGGAATAATGACAAGCACTAAAGTGCAAACCCTCGGCGAACTGGGGATGCGCGGTACCGCTAATTGATGGGCTGGGCTGCTATTAGTATGCGTTTACTCGTGGTCTCCCGCTAGTAGCTCGCAGAGAGTCTGACACGGGCTAGCTACAGTAGTAGATAGTATGCGAGAGTCGATACACGCCCTTCGTTGTGACTTCTTGTGCCTTCAAGATACACAGAGTAAGCGGACCCGGTCTAGGATATAAGCGCATGTGCATTTTCCGAAAACGAAGAGCGAAAAGAGGGGATGAGAGAGGTGGGGGACAGAAAAGAATAAAAGTGAGGGCGAGCATTAAAGTGTAGGGGGAAAGCCGGGGAACGGCGACAGGCAGCAGCTAGAAAAAAGGTGCTATTGGGGTAGCGGGGGGAGAACAGATGAGAGCAGGAGGAAAGCAGTTGAAATGCAAGGAAAAAAAGCGCGAAAATGAGGGAAGATCCGAAAAGCGGAGGACAGCGGGGGAAGGTGGAAAATGACGAAAGGGAAAGAAGAGACAGAAAGCGAGATCAGAGACTGCACACAGGGGTGGGATGAGAAAGCAGTCAAGGGAGCCGAACGATGGGGGCCAAGGATGAAAATGGTCGTAGAACCGAACATTACAAGAGATGGGTTAGAATGTAAGCGGTGGAGAACAGAAGAAGGAGAGAGTAGGAGCGGGGCAAAAAGGGCAAAGAGAAAGATGCAGCGAGCTGGAGATATTGGAGATAGATAGAAAACTGGGGAAGCGGTTCAAATAAGTGGACTTAAAGCAAGAGAGGAAAAGGAGACAAGAAGAGAAGAGAAGAAAGGAGAGTTGAAATTAGAAAACGCGAGACGGTGGCGCAAGAGGGGCGGATGTGGAGGACCCATTTGTGCCCAAACCAAGTTGGCATAGGGAGCGGACCACATAAAAATGAAAAACCTCGAAGCACAAGAAGAGGAGTACACGTGTAGCGAGGGTTCAGGGCGCTGAAATTGACGGAAAAATGGGAACGGAAGGGAAAAAATAAGAACGTGGGCATAGAAAAAGACGGGGACGGAAAAAAACGAATAAAATAATAAAAAGTGAAAGCCGCAGAGGTAAAGAAGTAAAATACAGTGTAGAGGAAAGAAGAGAAAAATTAGACGAGGAGAGGGTGGAAAAGTGGTGAACATCATAAGGAGTACATAAAAAAAAGACTATTAGAGGATCAAAAAGATAAAGTCAAAAGGGTTGGTAGAACAGATAAACCATGGAAATAGAGGGGGGGTAAGTATAAATAAAGAAAACGGGTGTGGGGGGGGGGTGGGATGGCCAAAAGACGAAAAGCGTGCAAGAAAAACGGGGGGCAAGAAGCGAGGAAGGAGGGGAAATCAGGGGAAAACGACACTATAGACCGTCAAAATAAAAGAGAGAAAGCCCAATGAGGAAATACGAACGCAAAACGGGGGAAAAAGATGAAGAAAAAGGGCGTCAGACGGCGACGAAAGGATAGGAAAGAACTCGTCGAGTAGGGTAAAAGGGGCAGTCGCGGAGAGGAAAATACGAAGTATAGGACTGTGGAAGGGAAGGAATGACAGGGCAAGCAAAATACTGACGGAGCGTAGGGAGGGGGAAACGGTGAACGGAGAAAGGGAACACAGGAAAAAGTGAGCTGGGAAGACGGCGGGGGGAAACTGAGAGATAGGGGAACGATATAGAGGATGGGGAGAGGGAGAGGAGGAAAAAAAGAAGTGTAGGGGGACAAGACGGATGGGAGCAAGCAAGGAAAATAAAGAGACTAAAGCAAATTCTAGGATCAATAAACGCGAAAAGAGAAAGAACAAAATAGAAAGAAAAACGAGAAGGGGAGAGAGCGACGACGAAAAAGGAGGAGGGAAGGGTGAAAGAGTGGGGGGGAAATATCAAAGAAGAGACGAGTAGAAGGACGACGAGGGGAGACGAGACCAAGGGGGGGAGAACAGAAGAAGATAGGCGGTCATGGGATGGGAATCGGGGAGCGGGGGAGAGGGAGAGAAGGAGGAGGGCGTGGTTAAAAGAAGGACGAAAAATTAGGAGTGAACAGAGGCAGAAAGAGCAAGAGGCGGCAGACAGTAGGAAGAGAGAGAAGAAGAAAGTAGAAAATGAAAGACGAATCGAGGAATAAAAGAGGTCCTGGATGGCCAGAGACGAGAGACGACGGGAGTAACCAGAAATGGGAGCTGGATATGGCGAGATAGACGTGCAAAACGGTAGGACAGCAAATACCATGTAAACCTAGCAAAAACGCGGCAGAAAAAGACAACGCGGAAAAGACGAAGTAAGGTGAGATCGCGAACCCACCTAGGAAGGCACCGATACAGGCAAGGTCAGAGGATACGAGAACAATCGAAGGGATGAGGATCGACACAGTGAGTAGGAAGATGGTGATGGCGATTAAATAGAGAAGAACGGGGCAAGCGATAAGGAGAAAGAAGCTAACAGCCAAACGGAAAGAACGGAAAGGAAGATCATGAGAGGAAGAACCAAGAGTGACGATAGGATAATGACCCAAGGAAGGAGCGGGCGTAAAGGGAAGGGACGCAGGGGGATCCGAGGATGAGGGAAAGGAGAAACGGTCAGGGCATGCGGAGTAAGGGGACGAGAGGGGTAGGGAGCTAGGAGAGAGGCGATCGGCCAAAGGTGTCGTATGCATAATCCATTAAGCACTTGGAAATAAGTAAAGACTCGCCAGAAAAGAAATAACCTGACATGAGGTGGAGCACAGTAGAGGCACTGGAAACCCGCCTTTCTGAGAGGACGAAATGAGAAAGAGACGAGACTAGCAAAAGGATAAAGGGGAACACTAAGGACATGACGCAGGACCTAAACAGAGATATCGGTGCACTAAATATCGGCGGGGCTACCAAAGGGTACATGTGGAACTAGATACAAGCGGGGTTAGTAGGCAACCAAGTGGGGATTCAATAGATGCCGGATACAAGAAGACGTAGGGTGGGGAACTAGAGAAGAAAGTAGACAAGAGAAAGCCATGAAGCATAGAGAGGACGCGATCGAGAAGTAAGTGAATGGGAAAAAAAACGTACATAGAGTAGGACTGAAGAGACGGGGCAGTCGGAAGAAACAAGGGACTCCGGAGGTTTGCAACAACAGAGGACCACTGCAACTTACAAAATAAAAGACAGAGTACTCACAATAAAATAGGACGGAGGTGATATAGGACCTAGAGTGAGAGCCCAATAAAGTGCAGGGCGGTCGCCAAAGACACGTGGGAGAACTGAATCAAAAAAGATACAAACCGAGGTAGGGCAGATAGAGGAAAAAAGGTTAGCTGTGGAGGGGGGGAGACAGAGGGCAAGAAGGGGTGCATAGGAGGCACCAAAGGAGAAAGATTCTTTAAGCTAAGGAACGGAAGACGGAAAAATGCTGGTTACTAAGCTCAAGGACACGTAGGTGGACACAGCGGGCTCATAATGTGAACAAGGCCCACCTGCGATACGTAGAAGGGAGAGTCAGAACAGACGAAGTCTGGATATAGGAAAAGAGCAAAGCACAAGAATGGATCAGGCAAAGCAAAAGGGAGCGAAGAGACAACGAAAGAAACACGAATGTTAAAGAAAGGAGAAAAAAGACAAACGAGTTTTTCCAGTAACAGCAAATTAAGAAGAAGAGGAGGACCGAAATGAACACAAGAGGGAAGAGAGGAAGCAAAGACAGGAATAGAGAGAAGAGGGTAAGGGCGAAGAGGGGAGCAGGTGGGATAGTGCGGAAGGATATACGTAATCAAGAACAGGAGAACAAATTTAGAGTAATTTGAAGCGAGAGATGGGGAAAACAAAAATCGAGAAAATACCGAAAAAGCGAGTGCAAACACAAATAAATGGGGGGGAGAGAAGAAAATGTGGTAATACCATGGGGGGAGGTAGTGAGAGAGGAAAAAAGATATGGGTAAATTGGGCGGAGAAGGAGCTGAAGGGCAAGTATAAAGGCAGGGCGCGAAGGAAAAGAGGAACGTTAATGCGGCAACGGAGAGGAAATCAGTGAGGATGGAGGCAAGCACGATAAAAATGGCCGACTACGCATTAGCCGTACAATGGTGGAAGCGCTCTAGCTCTGCAACGGAGCATTTTCAGAGAAAACCGCCTTTATTTTCTGACCTTCGTCGCCTGTTGGGTAGATGGTATCGTTTCTGGGACGAACAGACACCCGAGAAGTGAGATTGAGAGTAACAGACAAACAGACAGACAGACAGACAGACAAACCCAACTACTGTAACCCTCGCTGCGCATGCGCGCCGAGGGTTAAAAACACAGCGTGCGATCGTACTACGGAAATTAACACAGTTTGTAATTGTATGTATTAGTAGACTTATAGAGCTAAGCTGCCTTGTAGCTCTGTAGGTAGAGCACTCTTGAAATGCA